GGCAAGGCTGGGGTGGGACAGAGAGAGAAAGCTAATGATGGAAGCTGCTGGTCAGAAGAGGGACCTAAGAGAAGTCAGAGGGCCCAGGGAGGAAGAGGCAGGGGCAGAAGGGAGCTGTCGTCAAAGAAGAGCATGTGGAAGCTGGCAGTGTTCAGATCACTCTAGAGCAGGAGGCTGGGAAGCAGAGGGGCAGAAAACAGCAGCTACTTGGACACCATGTGTCTTGTAACAGGAGCTGCCCGCAGCTGGTCACAGGGCCCAAAGCTGGCACCTAAAAGAGGAGCCCCTCCAGGTTGCTGTGTGTGCATCGGCACTGTCTCCTTCTCTGCAGCCGAGGCAGAAAGAGCTGGACGCTGGGTCCTCGTGGGCTGGAAGTGATCCAGGACCACCATCCCACAGCTTGTTCTGCCTGTTTCCTGGGACTTCTCCTTCATCTCTCGACACAATCACCACTGGTTCTCCAGTGACCTCCCCCAAAAGCACAAACCCTGAGTTCTCTGTGCTTCCACCCTTGTGGGTGGTATCCTGGCAACACTCTACCGCAGGACCCTCCGTAACTTCCAGGCCTCTGCCTGGGCGCTTCTTCCCACCGCCTGCCTGCACCATGCTGGCAGTGGGCCTTAGTCCCCTCCCCATGAACACAGCCACTCCATGGCCTGAGTCAGACACCAGAGGCCTCCACCCCACTCCCAGGGTACATGTCCTCCCAGTCTTCCACGTCCTGCTGCCCCTCCCCTCAGCCCCGGCTCTGGCACACTCTGGCCCGGGACCCTTGGCAGCCCCTAGCCCAACCCTTTGCCCAAACATACACCTACCCAGGCCTCCTTCCTTTGCTCTGAAATGAAGCCATCTGCCTCATGCTGGCAACCAGACCTTGCCAGCTTCACTACCTGGATTCTACGCCCCAGCCAAGGTGGAAGATGCCCAGCATCTGCCTCAACTGCTTCACCTTTGCCCTTCACCATGGAGCACTTCCTGGCACCTTCCACCTTCCCCAGAAACCGCTATGTCCACTTAAGAGTCCCTTTTCTGGGTTCCTGGGGACTTTGTGACATGACACACTGATTGTGGACCTGCCTCTAACACCTGCCAAGAACACTCAGGGAAGCTGACAGCTCTGGGCAAAGGAGGGTACTAGAAAAGTACTTTGATCAGGACCAACATTTTCTGCCCTGCCCCATGCTGAGTACCTCTAACACATTCTACTTGGGATCCCAGCAGCTCTTGGCCCTAAGGTGCAGTTACAGACCCGTCAGGGTCACTGTCCTATCCCCACTGTCTTTTTGGAGACCAGAGCAGCCGTGTTCTCAGTGTCTCTGTGCCTGCCATCCCATTGGTCTAATGCCACACGTGAGCCAGGACCACATGTTGCTGTCTGGAAGGGGAAAGTGGCCCTGCAACAGGGGATCCTTTCACATCTGTAAACATGTAATTAAGCCCTGGTGTAATTTCCACTACTATGATGTGATAATAGCCCGAGGGCTGCAAAAAGCAGGCAGGAGAAGGGGGTCACAGCTCTGGGACTGTGGTGATGCTCTGGGCCAGGTCGGGCAGACCCCAAGGACAGGGCTGATGTGGACACTGCCTGCTGGGACAAGGAGCCATGGGGATGGAGGCAAAAAGAGAAGAGCTGGGCACCAAGGCAGGAACTAAGGGCCCAAGGCCGTCAGCTTGGTAACTGTAGACTCTCGAGGGCTGAGAAGCATAGGAATACTTGCAGAGGTTAGGGCTGGGTAGAGGAACCCAACCAGGAAGTGGTTACAGTGCAGGTGAGAGCTGACCGGGGTGGTCCGGATGGCAGAGAGGAGGTGGAGGGTGAGCACAGAGGATGGAAGAAGTCTCCAGCATGACGGAGGCAGCAGGCAGAGCCATCACTGACAGGAGGCTCCGGATCTGGCAGGGGTCTGGGCCTCCATGCTGGCCGTGACATGCCTTTCTCTCTCTCTTTCTTTTGTGCATGAGGAAACTTGATCCTAATGGAAGGCCAAGGACTAGGGTAAGACTCCAGGCCACTGGGATCTGCCCACAGCCACCCCGGGGGTGCCCAGGAGCACAGAGAGGAAGGCCCCACCTGTGGTGAAGAAAGCACACCTGGCCCTAGGCAGAGCCTGGAGTCTTCACTAGATGGAATGAGTAATTTTGGTAATTGAATTTCTGAGTTAGAGGTAAAATATGGCCAAGATTGAAGAGGCAATTTGGCAGGGCCAGGCACCCCCAGGCAGGTTTCTCGGCCTTCACAATGCTAAGAACTTATTAGCAAGATCACTCTTCCTCCATCTATGTACCATCTGCAATTCTCATCAGGGCTGCTGGATTGTGGGTGTCTGGGCCCTGGCATAGGCCACGCAGGGACACTGTGTCAGACAGGAGTGGGTGAGAAACACTGGTAACACAAGTAAGGGCCACAGTTTTTGCAAAAGACAAGTGTGGGATGGCTGCATAGAATGATCCAGAAGGCAGGATAATTTCGAGAATGGGCTCTGACCGACTCATTTCCCTCATATGTGAAATAGGTGGGAGGTGCAGATGAAGGGGTAAAGGGGCACAGCCATCTGTTGAGCTGTGGGGCCTCAGGGAAGTGGACAAGTGGGCTTCATCCCTGCCAACAGGGGGCCACTCCCTGGGCTGGGGGAGCACAGGCCCTGGGCCTCTCCCCTCCTCTCTGTATATATTTAGCCCCTGCAGCTGCTCCTCTCAGGTGTGCTGCTCAGCCACACATCATGATTAATTTCACCAACAGGGAAATTGACGCATTTTTCTGATTACTGCTTCAGAGCCTCCTGAATTCGGCTACTGGTAAAAATTAACTCACCGGAGACAATGGAGCTTTTCCCAAGGTCCAAATTGTCCTTATTTGCAGAGTTTGTTCTTGGCTCCAATCCAGCCCAAACAAACCAGGCTGTTCCTCCACTTCCCAGAAGAGGGAGGGCCTCCTGGAGCCCAACGGTGAGATATTTTAAGCTGGGGAATGAAGATGAATTTTCTCTGGGTCACCATGTTCCTGAAAAGCTGGTGCCCAGAGGCCCTGCTCCACAGACCTTCCTCCCAATGCCCCCTGGTGGAGTGCAAGACAGGCCAGGTACCAGGGGTTCTTCCCTCACCACCCCCATCTCACGCCTCGCCAACCACCCAGTTCAGCCCCCACAGACTGCATGCCAGGCAAGGTGGTTAAGAACCCTTCACGGACGGGTGCCTCACCCAGGTCCAGCCTCCAGCCCAGGCTGGGCACTGCCCTTCCCCCCTCCGCATACATCTTATACCCCTGCGTCCATGCCCATCAGACCCAGGAGCTGCACACAGTACTTCAAAACTCTGCCAAGCACCAGTCTTAGATACTGAAAAAGGGAGACAGTGTGTTGGCAAGTCTTACTGCACAGCCACTTCCAGATTCCAAGGCTCACAGCAATTCTGTTGTCAGGGTTGGGCCAAAGGGTGGGGAAACTGAGGACAGAAGCATGTGAAGAGACACACCCAGCTTCTGCACCGAAAGGACCAGGTGCCTTCTGCAGAATGGAGCTCTATGAGACAGGACGGCTAAGCTGGGCTTCCCCACTGGCAACTATGAAAATTCAGTGCAGGTGCACATGACCAGTGGGTGCAGATGGAGGAGAGGGGACCGGGTCTGGGCTAGTCCCTGGATTCCTCGCCTGGGTCTCAGCTCCCCCTGTCCAGCTGCGCATCTACATCCCCATCACCATGTCTGTGCAGCTGTGGGCCAGTGGGGGGAGGGCAAGAGGGACCAAGGCCCTGCTCACCATTCGCTAATGCCCTTGGCTTCCCCATGAAGACAGGTGATCCTAACCAACACCACAATCCCCACTGGACTCTGGGGGACTCCGTGATTTAATGGGGGGAGTGCCTGTGAGCCGCGCCGGCCTGAGCAATGGAGTTATTAGGATCTCTTGGCAATGTGAAGGCAATATTTCCCAACCACAGCCTCCCCCAGGGCCGGGCCTGTGTGCTCAGCCCATCCACTGCGCCCGTGTGGGCCAGGTGTCAGCTACTCATTGTGGACACAAGATGATCTCTCTAGGAGGGCAGGAGAGTGTGTGCGTGAGGGGGGTTTTGAGAGCAGAGATGAGGGGCATCACCCAGCGCCAGGGGCTGAAAAGACTTCCAGCTGAAGAACCAATGTAATACAGCTGGAAAAAGGAAAGGCAGGAGGCACACTTCAGAGAGAGGCAGCATGGAGGATGCTGGGAAGAGTGGGAAGGACACAGGTCTAGAACCAGCTGGAGTGCCAGGAGGGGAGAGGAGAGGAGAGCAGGAGGGGTCTTATAAACCGCCACAGGGACTTGGGCTTGGACCAGAGGGTGGCTGGAAATATCCAGTGTGTGGCATGGTGGAGACCACCTGTTTGGATATGGTTTTCCTTAGCACCTTGGCAGGGCAGGGGAAGGGATTTGGATGTGAGGAAGCTGGATGGAGAAGAAATAGAACAAGGGGCTTATGACAGAGGTGAAGGAGAGGGAGGAGAGACAAGGACCTCCAGGAGGTCAAAGCAGAGAGGGAAGGAGGTAGAGGAGCAGGAAGGGCAAGGCAGGGAGGCTGGGACCAGAGCAAAATGGCAGCACAGGTAGTTTAGGAGGTAAAAACAAATGAAGGGCCATCCTAACAGACACTCAACGACCAGGAATGATGCAGGGGTTGGAGTAGAGAGGGAGACTGAGTAGGGACTGAGAGGGCTCCCGGAATAAAGCTGGTGTGCGCAGTGGGTGCTGGCTCTGTAGCACCTAACAATGGGCTCTAGGCTGTGAGGTGGGAAAAGCAGACCAGGAAGTAAAGTCTCACGTCAGCATGGTCATGAGGCCCATCAACGTGTGTGCCCTCAGCCCCGGACCCCGCCCCACACCCAAACAGAGCCCAAGGCCTTTCCAGTGTGGCACTGAGGAGAACCTGACCCAGCGGACATTTCTGTACACAATAGAGGGAACAGCAAATTTCCTCTGGCCAGCAGCTCTTGCTCCGCACCAGGAGCGACAGTTGGAACAGAGACAGTGTGATCTCAGGCACAAGCTTTATTGGCTGAAAGTTCTCCTCAGAAGCCTGATCTGCTGGGACTGGACGTTCCTGGATGGGCGCCTCCAGGCCTGAGCTAGGACAAGGAGGAGGAAAAAAAATGAGAATTTTAGGTCAACAGAGGGTTTTTGAAGTAAGATCCCTGACAGAGTTAAAGGCAAGAAGCTATTTTGAAACTGCTTTCAAAGACATACTGTTTGATCAGTAAATATTTACAGAACAAAATGACAAAGATCATACAGTATTCATACATCCCAGAAAGACTTAACAAATGCCTACTATGCGGCAGTCGCCGTTTGCTCTATTTCTCACTTGTGAAAAAAACTGCATACAGACTTAAAAAGCAGAGCAAGCTCTGACGACAGGCATGATAAAATAGAACTTTTTGTGCTCTGTTGGCAGAAAAACACAGCTGTGGTTCCACCTTCAACTTCATGTTTCAAAAGAAGCTGGCTCTGCCCTGGGCCACCCTGCTCATCATGGCCATCCATGAAATAGCTTAGAGGCCTTACCTCCAGGTTTCCTCTGGCCTTCCGAAGGACTTTGTGGGTGACGGCCACTGAAGAGAAAGGAAAAACGGGAGTGATGAGAAGGCGGGGTGAAAGCAGGGCTAAGGGAACGCAGGCCCCAAGCCTGAATGGTTCAGACTTGTGAACAACCCCAAAGCACCCAGACAAGAGAAGACAAATGCCCTGTCTCCTTCACAGAGCTCTGGGCCCAGAAACCCTCCAGAAAGTGTAGGCCACAGATATCTCTTCACGTCTTCTCTAGGTCATGGCCTGATGGGGGCACAGAACATAGAACATGCCATCATACCATTGCTCTGAATGGAAACTCAGCTGCCAGGCATGCTGAGCTCATCTTGTGGGGTGGGGAGGGCAAGGGCACAGGAAGGGTAAAGTCTTGGGCCCTAACAGCATGTGGCATTCTTGGGTGTCCTGGGCCCTCTGAGAAGCAAGGTGGGAAGCAAACCCACGTATGGAAGCCTGCAGGGGTCAAGAGTCCAGGGAGTTTTGTGAAGCCAGGATTTTACAACACACTCCTTGAAGCAAACCCCCAAAGGACTGGAGGAAAATACCTGGGCATTTTTGTCCCCCTCACCTGCCCTTCAGTGGGCATAATAACCCAACATTGATCCCCTAGGCAAACAGAATTCTGCCTGGACAGGAGGGGCTCACAAATGGGTTCAGAGGATGCCACCAACTCCACCTGGGCTGCATCCTAGACAGAGCTGCAGTGGAGAACTCTGGGAAAAGCAGTGATGGTCGTTTCCTCTCTCAATCTTTCCTTACACATAAACTCTAGCAGCAGCTACTGAATGGATTTCAGATTCTGATCAAAAATCTGTTCTAAGTAGGACTTAGTAAGGTCAGATCACCACTGCTCCTGAGTAAACCAGGTAAGCCTTCCAGATCCAGGCCTCTGGCCAGTGGTGACTGACACTGAAACAGACTCACTCCAACCCACGACCCCTCCTGAATGTCTTATCCAGAATAGGTTATCTGTGGTGGCCTGGGAAAATATCTGATTCACAGAAATGTCTACCTGAAGATACTGAACTCTATTTGAAACCTACCACCTTGAGGGAGGAGACAGACTGCATGAGCTTTGTAGCTGGGCAAGAATAATTTTGGAGGGCTGGGAAGGTGGCTCAGTGGTAGAGTGCTTGCCTTGCATGCATGAGGCCCTGGGTTCGATTCCTCAGCACCACATAAGCAGAAAAAAAAGGCCAGAAGTGGCGCTGTGGTTCAAGTGGTAGTGCACTCGCCTTGGGCTGAAGAGCTGAAGGACAGCGCCCAGGCCCAGAGTTCAGGCCCCACGACCAGACCCCCCCCCCCCCCAAAAAAAAGAAGGCCCACATTAGGCTGCAGGAACCACAGACATGCTAAGGATGGCCCTATACCCTGCAAATGATGTACAAAGTGTGTTTGTGTTTGTGTTTGTGTGTGTGTGTGTGTGTGTGTGTGTGTGTGTGTGTGTGTGCGCGCGCGTTGTGCATTTTCCTAGGGAGAGTCCATCACTTTCTCAGGATTCACCAAGTGCCAGGTGTGAAGGTTAAAAATAATCTTGAAATGTACTGGATGCACCGTGTGAGTAAAACCCACCAGAAATGCTAAGAGATGCCTGGCCCAAGATCTGAAGTGGCTCTTAGACCTAAAAGCACAAGAATGCCTGCTATGCTGAGAAGACGAAAGGACAGAGCTGTAAAGTCTGCGCCTCAAATAAGGCTGCTCCAGTGCAGTGACATGGCTCATACCAGAGCCCATAGCACACCTACACCTCAGCAGAAGGCTGGCAAGGAAGAGGGCCCCTAAGAGGGCCACATGGCCTGGGAGGTGTCTACTGTGACTCACTGAGGACCCTCAGCCCCGCAGGACAGGACGACTACCCTCACTCAGCAAAGCAGGGGCTACAGGCCCCGTGACTAGTGAGTGGCAGGAAAGGTCTCAGCTGGACACCCGTCCCTAATTTGCTGCTGCACACGGAGAGGAGTCAGCTTGACCCAGGCAGGGCCAAGCTGCTTTCTTCCCTCCCAGGTTAGACAGCAACAAAGAACCTTTACTGCATGCAGCTGCTCCTCTGCTCCTGACACCTGAATCCTTTCATGGCACAGTACAGTCCCCAGTCCCCTGGCTTTCTACCTCACTGTGCCACAGGCAGTTTTGCTCTATCAACACAAACCATTTCTAGTTTACCACCTACAAAACCTTATTTCTTGCCTCTGTCCCCCCAGTTGGTGGCCTGGACTGCCATTGGCTCCTGACAATGCCTAACCCTCTTTTCAGACCTGGCTCAGGGTCACTTCCTCTAGGATGCTTACCTCCCAGGGTAGAGAGAAGTCATCCTGCTCCTCCCAGCTCAGAGCACCTGTAAGGAGCTAGCCACCTACACAGGTACTGTAAATGAGCAGACTAATCTGTGCAAGCGAGAAATGGTACAGTAGGAAAAGAAATGATCACAAACAACCTGGACTGCAAAGAGAGCCAGTCAGGGTGGGGCTGGCGGCACTCATAGGCAGGAAATGGTCAGACACGGTGGCCACCTCAACCACTCACTTACACTGATCAAAGATGACTTTTTCCTGGTGCTTGCTCTGCTGTAAAAGCTTCACACTGTTCTGCAGCTTCTTTTCTTGTTCAAACAACGTTTTGTAAAGTTTGGTGATCTCTGACTTCATTTCACCAATCTAAACAGAAAAAGATTTAGAAAATAAATGAAATAAGACAATGAAACGTTACATTACCTAAGAAGAAACTACAACACCATATCAAAAGATGGTCAACTTCAGCCAGGAGCTGCTGGCTCATGCCTGTCATCCTATTCAGGAGGCTGAGATCTGAGGATGGCACTTAGGAGCCAACCCAGGCAGGAAAGTCCATGAGTCTCTTATCTCTAATAGACCACCAAAATGCTGAAAGTGAAGGTATGGTTCAAGTGGTAGAGCACTAGTTTGGAGTGAAAAAGCTAAGAGACAGCATCTAGACCCTGACTTCAAGTCCCAATACAGGCGAAAAAAGAAAAAAAAAAGATTCTCAACTTCACTAGCATGGATACTTGAATAAAAATCATTAGATTGGCAAATTGGTTAAAATGCAAGAAGGAGGAAAATCTAAGGTCTGCTGGTAGAACTGAAAAATAGCATGGCCCAGCAGAATGCCCAGACACCTACTATTGTGAACACTCCCAAGGCTTGGCCCCAGCAGGTCTACAGCATTTCCCCCAAGCAATAATAGGTAACATTAGTATATAATAACACAAGCCAAAGAAGATGCATGCTCACTTCAGCATGCTTAATAGTAGGAAGAAATAAACCTGATTTGCTTAATATGAATCTGAATAAATTACAGTACTTACAGAGAAAGGAATAATTTTTCAGCTATTAAAAATAATGTTGTAGAGCTCTATTTATTGATATCAAAAGATGATTATAATTAGTAGCCAAAGAGCTCAGAACAACACAGGCTATATACTACATCTAAGGCATTTCTGCTTCATAAAACTGAACACACAACAATTAAATACCCCCCCCCTTCCATTAGTATAACTAATGTAAGCTAATAAAAAAAAAAAACCACAAAAGTGATGACACAATTGGTACACATCCATAGATGTAGAAGTCAGTGTGGCAACAAAACATTAGTAGCATTATTTCCAAAGGATGGAACTTCAAATTGCTTGAGGTTATTTCTTTTTACAAGAAGCTGTAACATTGACTTAAAATACTGTTAATGATTAAATCTTAAAAAGATAATACAAAAGTGTGACTTAGTGAGTATGACCCATAAGGATATACTTTGAGTATTGTTCAGACGGAAGGCAAACTGGTCCCAGGGCCTCTGACATGAAATACACAAAACAGACTGTTCACCAACCCAGGCAGGGACAACTGTCTTCCTTTCTACTGGCCCTGGCCCCCAGAACTCTTGGTGACACTGAATCACTTCAGTTCCCAAGTGCAGACAAGGTGAGTTGTCAGCATATGAAGAGTCCCTTTAGTGTGTCTGTTTCCAATTGGTTTGACAGCTATACTTACATAATCAAATTACAGAATCAAATTAAATATTAAGTAAAACTACAAGCTATGTGTATGGACAGAGAGCTGGTTGTTGAAAACTAACATACGCTTCAGGGAAGACCAGATAAAGGCAAGTCACTGAGAAACACATTTCTGGCAAATTAGGTGTGGGGGAGACAACTATGAAAGATGTGGGAGGAACTGTCTAAAAGAATTCTATATATTCAGATTGCTTTGCAGGAGTCTAAGCTTTCTCTTCATCTTAAAGAAACAAAAACTGGAAGTGACAGACATACATTATGGATGTGGTTTATGAAAGAAGATATGACACTCCAATCAGCAGACAGATATTCAAAGAAAAAGTCTGGACTAACATCGAAAAAATAGCAAGGGAATGTACATTTGTCTGTTTTAAGTTAAACTAAAATGTTTAAGGGAAGAATCATTGATTCCCTGCCTTAACCTACTTTTAAGATTAGCTAACAATGTCAGGTACAAAGACTTCAATGGTTCTTCCAAAACAGATCCTAATTTAAAAGTTAGATTTGCTTCGATTCTCACCTGCAGGCTAGAAGCCACAAAGATTTGGGTTCTGGTCATGGCTTTACAAGTCTATGTATCCTAGGACAAAGTCACTAAATTGTCAGAGACTTAGCTCCAATCTCTGACCTTGAAGTAACTATCCTGACCCATCTGTCACAATGCAGTAGGGTAAACTCAGAGAATGGGCACTCCCTACCCTGATGGGTAACCCCCTCCTCCTCCTGTAGCCTTTCCATAGTCACCTCCTCCAGATGCCCCTTCCCACCAGAAGCATCCCTATCACTCTAGATATGGCAGTGTCTCTGACCAGCTCCCCACTCCTTTCTGGCCTCAGATCATTTGTGCCCAGAAAACAGCAGGTGCTTTGACACCATTCACCAAGTAGTAAGTCTGTTTTCATGGGTAAATGTCTAACAATATGTGCATAGTCCAGCCAGCCCTTAAAATGAAAGATTTTTATTTACTTATGTGTTGCTGGATTCAAATCCAGCATAAAGACACTGTATTAAAAATAGCAAGGGCTCACAGGGTGCCTGGACACTATATTAAAAAATAGCAAGGGCTCACCAAGTGCCGGTGGCTCACGCATGTAATTCTAGCTAAGATCTGAGGCTCGTGGTTCATTCGAAGCCAGCCTGAGCAGAACAGACTCCATGAGACTCATCTCCAATTAACTAACCGGAAGTGGTGTTGTGGTTCAAGTGGCAAAGAAGCTCAGGGACATGGCCAGGAACCGAGTGCAAGCCCCACAACTAGCAACAACAAAAATAGCAAAAGCTCAAAAGCACAGCTCCGTCGCTTTCTCTCTGTATAATGCAGAAACTCGTCAATTTAACACCTTGGAGTTTCGGTTCCTGCCTCTAGAAGATGAGAATAACAATACCTAACTCCAGCTAGTAATGAAGGCTGATACCTTATGATTCATTCTTATGCCTATCTCCCATCCTTTATTTATCTTTCTTGCAATTTTGAAAAGTGTCTATAATGTACTTAGGCCATGTTTACTCCCTTCCCTGTTTCCTTTTTCTCTTCCCATTTCCTGCTGACTGCTTCCTCCAAATGCCCCCCCTACTTTATGTTCAGGTCCATGTTTTCCTTTATATCTATATTCCACATATAACAGAAAACATACAGTACCTGCTTTTCCAAGTCAGGCTGATTTGCTTAACATGATGTGCTCCAGTTCCATCCATGTTCATTCAAATGACATAATTTTATTCTTCTTTACCACTAAACAAACAATACATCCTTGTGTATAAATACCTCAATTTCTTTATGCATCATCTATCGGTGGGCACCTAGACAGATCTCAGAACTTGGCTATTGTGTATCACAATAAACATAGATGGACAGGTATCTTTATTATGCGTGCTGACTTGTATTCCTTTAGGCATTCGTCCAACAGTGGTCTAGCAGGGTCCTAGGCTAGCTCTGTTTTCATGTATTGAGGGATTGCCACACTGATTTCCATAATGTCTGCACTAACTTACATTCCCACAGTGTATGAGTATCCTTTTCTCTACGTCCTAGCTACTAGCATTTGTTTCTGCTCATTGTCTTGATGATAAGCATTCTGTCTGGGACTGGAATATCAAAAGTCATTTCCATTTTCATTTCCTTCATGGCTACAGATATTGAAGATTGTGTTTTTCATGTAATCATTGCCCATTTTTACTTCTTGTTTCAAGAAGTGTCTGCTCAATTTATTTGTCCATATTAATTGGATTATTTGTTCTTTCAATGTTTATTTGAGCTCTTCATATATTCTGAATATCAATCCCTTGTCTGATGAATAGTGACAAAGATTTTCTCCCATTCTGTAGGCTCTATTACTCTGATAATTGTTTCTTTTGATGTGCAGAAGCTTTTGAACTTGATGCAATCCCATTTGTCAATTCTTGCTTTTATTTTCTGAGCTTTTATTCTTATTCAGAAAGTCATTGCCTATACCTGTATTTTCAAGTGTTTTCCCATAGTAGTTTCAAAGTTTCAGATCTTATATGAAGGTCCTTGATACATCTTGGATTTATTTTTATACAGAGTGAGAGATAAGGATCTAGGTTCAGTCTTCTTTCTGTAGATCACTAATTTTCCTAAAAGCATTTCTCAAGGAGATTCTTTTCTACAAAGTGTGCTTGGGAGACCTTGGGTGAAAGTAAGATGGATTTAACTCTATGGATTAATTTCTGGATCTCCTATTCTATTCTATCCATCTGCCTTTGTGATGATTACCATGCTGCTTCTGTTACCATGGCTCCGTAATATAACCTAGCTAGGCATCACAATACTTAAAGCATTGCTTTTTTTTCTTTTGTTTTCTTTTTTTATTGTCAGTTTTCTTAAGGACTACTTTGTCTATTCAGAATCGTCCATTCTGCATATGAATTTCAATACTTTTTTTTTCTATTTCATGGGTTTTTATAGGGGTTACACTGAATCTTTCACAATATGGCCATTTTCACAAAATTGATTCTGCGATCCATGAACAAGAAGGTCTCTCCATCTTTTAGTGTCTCTTTCAATTTCTTTTCTTCAGTGTTCTGTAGTGTTCATTGTAGAGGTATTTTACCTCCAATTAAGTTTATTCCTAGGTATTTTCCCCAGACTCTTCTCAATGAGATTGTTTTCCAGATTTCTTACTCAGTCTGTTTGCAATTAGTATATACAGATTTTTGTGTGTCGATTTTATATCCTGCTATTTTGCCGAAAGTGTTTTTCCTGATCTAAGAGGACTTTTGAAATCTTTAGGATCTTACAAGTATAGAATCATTCCATCTAAAAATAGGGATAATTTAATTTCTTCCCTTTCTATTTGTATCCATCTGACTCCTATCCAAGCACAATACTGAATGAGAATGGATAGAGAATGGATAGGGTAGATATTCTTGTCTCACTTCAGACTTCAGAGAAAAAAAATTTTCTTAGTGGGATTGTGCCTTTATTATACACAAGTACCCTCTTATAGTTTCTTGGTGTGTGTGTGTGTGAGTGCGTGTGTACACACAAGTAGGCAGGCACATGACCACAGAGCCATGTTCCCAACCCTGTTTTCTTATTTTTTGAGTGTCATGTTTATGCCAAGGCCAGCCTGGACCATGACTCTCCTGTTTGCTTCCTACATAGCTAAGGTGCAAGCCATCATGCCCTCACTGATTGGAATGGGGTCAGGTGAATAATTTGGCTGGGCTGGCCTCAAAATCATGATTCTTACAAAATCTGCTACCTAAGTAGTAGGATTACAGGCTTGAGCTACTATGGCTGACTGTTCACAGCCATCCTATCCTCAGAATGAAACCACCTTGACCATGATGTATGATCATTTTAATGTGTTGTCCCATTCAGTTAGCAAAACATATTAATGAGAACTTTTGTACTGATGTTCTCAAGAAAACTACTCCACAGTTTTCCTTTTTCTTTCTTTTCTCTCTTTCTCTCTCTTACGTATGTAATATCAGGTTAATACTGGAATCACAGAAGAAGTTTGATAGCATTCCTTTCCTTTTATTTTGTGGAATAGTTTCAGCACTGATGTTTGTCTTTTTTAAAGGTCTAGTACAATTAAGCAGTGAATCCATTACCACTTTAATCTCATTGCTTGTAAAAGATCTCTTTAAATGGTTTCTATCATCTTAATTCAATTTTGACAAGTGAAATGTTATCTAGAGATTTATGTTCCTCCTAGATTTTCAAGTTTACTTGAATATCAAGTTTTAAAAGTTTTCCTAATGATTCACTCAATTTTATTGGTAACTGTTGTGAGATACGGTTTTCCATCTCTAATTTTAATTATGTGGATCGTCTCCTCTTTCTTTTGGTTAGTTTGGCTAAGGGATTGTCAATTCTGATTATCTTTGCAAAGCCAAATCTTCGTCGATATTGACTCTTTTAGTCTTGTAGTCTCCATTTCATTATTTCTACCCTAGTGTTTACCCTTTCTTTCTGCCTACTAATTTGGGGCTTGGCTTACTCTTGTTTTCCTAGGAGCTTATTATTTTATCTGGCAATTTAATTTTTTTACTTAATGTAGGCACCCATCCTCATGAACCTTCCTCCTAAAACTGCCTTTGCTGTGTCACAAGGTTCTGGTAAGCTCTCTTTTCATTTTCATTTGATTCTAACAACTTTGTAAGTCCTTCCCTTATTTTTTCCGTGACATACTTACTGATCATTGAAAAGTATAATGTTCAGTCAGGCACCATCTACTTGAATATTTTCCGTAATTTCTTTTGCTGCTGATTTCCAGTTTTATTCCCCTCAGACCTGATAAAATACAGGAAGTTACTTCTGTTTTCTTGCATTTGTTAAGACTTGCTTTATGTACTTAAATGTGATCGACTTTGGAGAAGAAAGTTTCATGGGCTGTTAAGAATCTGTATTCTGCAGCTATTAGGAAGAACCCTCTGTAGATGTCTGTTAAATGTGATTCACAGTGTCATTTAACTTTGAAGCTTCATTATTTTTGTGGGGGGGGGGGAGGTTGCAGTCTGGGCAACCTATCATTTGGTGAGAGTAGGGTATTCAAATCACTCCTTATTGTGTTGGGGTCTACTTGTGCTTTCACGTGTTTGTTTAATGAAACTGTGTACACCAACATTCCATGTATAAATGTTTACAATTTTTATATCCTCTTGATGATTGTTCCCTTTATCAAGGTGAAGTGACCTTCTCTGTTTTTTGGGACTAATTTTGTTTGAAGTCTACTTTGTTTAAGTATAACTACCCTTTTTGGCTTTGAAGTTCCATTTGCTTTGTATATCTTTTCCCATCTTTTCCCTTTAAGCCTGTTTTTTCCTTTGCCAGTAGGCAATAAATGGTTGCCTTAATTTTTAATCCAATCTGCCCATCTTGTGTTTCTTGACTGGAAAATCTCGACAACTGACATTCAGTTATTACTGAAAAGTATAAAGTAATTCTTGCCATATTGCTGTTTTTGTAATGTCTCATTCTTTCCCACTCATTTGTTTATTCACTCATCTAGGGAGATTTATTCTTTCCATATTCTCATGGTTGTATTTATCTTCCTTTTTGGTGTATAAAATTCCTTTGAGTAGTATCTTCTACAATGCAGGATGATCATAAATTCCCTTAGCTTTTGTTTACATGGAAAGTTTTTATTTCTCCTTCAATTATAAAGGACAGCTTCGCTAGATACAGTAAGCTAAGATGGCAGTTATTTTCTGCCAGGAATTAAAATACATTATTCTTATTAAAAAAATGAAAAAAATTTCTTAATGTAGGTTGACCCTCTATAATCTGAAAATCCAAAACTTTCAGCTGATGCATTTTGGATTGTAGGTCTTCAGATCAGGGATAATCAACCCATAGTATTCAAATCTGAAAAAAACAAAACTCTAAGAACACTTCTGGGTCCCAAACACTGCAAATAATGGATTCCCAATCTATATCACCAAGAAATCCAGTGGGCACATTTCTCTGATTGCTTCATAAATTTATTTTTTATACAAGTGGTTTGATTTAGGATTCAAATAAGATCCACACTTTGCATTTACGATCTCTTAATGTTTTTTTAATCCTATGGCTCTCAAAGCTCACAGGAAGGTTTGTAAAGCCCATGTAGGGCTGTCCCCAGAGCGGCTGACTCAGTGGTCTACAGTGAGGCCTGAGAAAATGAGTTTTTGACAATTTCCAGATGACTCTGATTAACTGAGGTCCGGGAACCATACTTATGAGCCACTCTAAATCTACATGCTCCCATCCGACTCCTACCCCCCTTCCTTTTCTACTAGGATACAATAGGTTATGCTGTCCATTTCCTGTCTAGATCCTCCCGAAGCCCTAGCTCCTTTCAGTGAGAAGAGGCATTTAGAAACCACAATGGGAACATTAGTGGTGCTTGCTGGTATTGAATTGGATTTTATTTCTTCAGCCTTTTATGTAGAGTGAGTTAGCAAATTCTTTAATAGAAAATACACCAAGAGTTCACTTTGATGTTTACAATACAAATTTAAAATCACGGGGCCTTTATTTCTTCAATTTCATATTTCTCTCTTTTCTCTTACAGTAAAAACCTCAGTCTTAATGAAATTACATGATTTGCTTTCCTTTACAATAGAAATGTAATAGTTTCAGAATATCAGTATCAATATCTTACCAACGATGTAACCATTGAAGACAATATTTTCATTAAATGTCTGGCGGCTCTTTGTGTCCTTGGAGTATTTTCCTAGGGATGTATGGTCAAGGGATTCTGGGGCAGTCACTGAAATGTGTCCTCAAGTGCCACATAGTAGAGTTGGCTTATTTCATCTTGCTGAGAGCTTTTAGAAACTGTTTTCTCCGTTTTCTTTGGCTTATAATTATGTAACATATTTTTATAGCTTCAAAGTCAAATCTATGAGGCAAGGTCTATTTAGAGCAATCAACATGCCCCTCAAGCTCTCCCGTCACATCCCCATGAGTAGCCTGTTGGGTTGGTATTGTTTATCCTCCACTTAAAAATTATTATAATCAAGCTGTGTCTTCACCTAACTTTCTCATATAAACTGATGCACAAGGCCTAGAGAGGGCACATTAAATGCAAAAGGTAAATCAACGACACTCAAAGAAAACAGCAGATAGTTAAAAGCCATTGCACTTGCTGCTGCAAACTGAAGTATGTCTTACACACATTTCACACCAAGCAAAAGGCACTGCATGAAACACAGGCTGTGTTAGAAAAGTGGCCAGAGGCAATTTAACACTACCCAGGGGTCTGTGTACATGGGAAACCACACCAGAGCATCGCTAAGGTCCTTCTCCTGGCTCTAGAGTTCTATAAATTGAAAGATATATAACCAATTGCCTGAGAGACCTTCAGGAAGAGAATGAATCAGCATGAGTGCTAACAGTCCCTGGACTGATTTACAAGTGGGAGATCACTATATGTTTATTACATATACATTATGTTATATATTACATAGTCATATGTTAAGGACAAAAACATTCTATTGAGAGTGCTTACCTCACAAATGTTACCCTTAAAAGTCATCTGAGGCAGATACTAGTGTACTAGTGTTTAGGAGTATGTAAAGAAAGTATTCACTCATTCATCCACTTGTTTGTTTAAAAATATGAAAAAAATTGATAGATGCTGGTGGCTTATGCTTGTAATCTTAGCTGCTCAAGAGACTGAAATCTAGAGGATCACAGTTTGAAGTCAGCCCAACCCCATTTCCAGCTCTCAAGGTGTTAGGAATCTAGTAAGAACCCAGAGAAGTCACCGTACACCTGGGGTCTCCCTCTTCCCGACACCATCCTACAGACGGCACAATGGTTAGGGCCAGCCCTGGGCTGAGCAAGAAAGGGACCTCAACACAAGCCCTAGGAGCATCTTTGAACCTCCAAAGCACATGTCACTACCTACCTGCTCACAGTGAAGGGAACACTGGCCATTTGGGGGCAGTGAGACTCTCCAGAGGAGCTGCAGCAGCCTTGAGGCCTCTTCCAGGACCAGCTTGGCTGCACTCACGCTGAAGACAAACTTGCTCAGGGGCACCAGGTGTGGACCCTGGGGGACAAATAGCTGTTAGTGCTGTGTTGACAGAGATCAGCAGCAAAGAAGCTGGAACACACAGTGTGAATCTCCAGACTGAAGGGCCTATGTTTCGCAAGCCGAGCAGGAGGTCGATGCCCTATGACATCAATTCATGGTTCTTAAATGCCGATGAACTGTAAATTATGAGAGGATTTCAGGGTGGGGACCTAGCCCGATGAATCACTGATGACCGCCAGCATTAACCATGTTATCACACCTAGAAGAGCCATGGCAGAGCCACTCACACCACTCTGCGGCCCACAGAAAACCTCCCGCGCAAATGAGCCCAACAACACACACATTCAGGCCCTCCAAAGTCTGTCTTACTCTCTCTGCTCCCAGAAGCAAACTCACATAGAGGGTGGGGTCAAGGTCATGACAAAGAACATGACTAAGAGATGGGGAAATATCTGAAAAAGAAGAAAACAAATCTAAAGAACATTTGCCTTCACAAGCAGTGAAAAAAATAAAACCACCTCTAGATCGCAAATGGAGAGAAAAAAATCTGAAATAAAAAATACTCTTCAAAGACAAAGATGAACTAAGACAGATTCTTGTTCACAGACAAAATCTTTTAGGAAAGTAAAGCATTAATAATTATCAAGATCCCTATAAAGTTCATGACCTTTAACTGATCATTCTCCTTCATAGCTGATCAGAGATACTCACTGCAGTTTTTATGTTGAACGAACAGTGAAAGAGAAAATAAATGATATTATATCTATATGTTGACTTACTGGGCAGCCATGACAAGTGTCAGGAAATATTTAATGAGATAGGAAAAGTGTTAATACTGAAATATAGGAAATATATTTTTATGGATAGGTTATTTGATAAACTTTATGATTTATGAATGGACTAAAATATGTCAAAATTTTAAGCAATCACCTCTAAGTGGTATTTTAGTACATAATGTGTATGTGTGTGTGTGTGTGTGTGTGCGCGTGCATGCACACATGCCAGTCCCAGTCCTGGGGTTTGAACTCAGAGCCTGGGTGCTGCCCCTGAGCTTTATATGCTCAGGGCTAGTGCTCAGTGGTTACTTAGGGCAAAGAGTCTCATCAACTTTCCTGCTTAGGCTGGCTTTGAGTCTTGATCCTCAGATCTCAGCCTCCTGAATAGCTAGAATTACAGGTGTGAGCCACCAATGCCTGGCTTTAGTAAAAATTTTAAATGCTTTTCTACAATTTCTAGCTTTTATATATGAAATATTTTCATCCGAAAAGAACAAGAATTTTATTATTATCTATTAATTTACTCAACAAGTATTTACCAAGCACATACTTGACACTAGGCCTTGTGCTAAGTAGTGGTGTTAAAACTGAGCAAAATAGATACTATCCCTGCTCTCCTGGAGCTTATCATCTAATAGAATATAAAATACAAAATTAACTTTTTGAATATAGTACAACAAAACAAGAAGCCAAAACAGCTATTAGGAAGTGAGGTGCTCAAGTATATTCAATAAATCCTCAGAAGAAGGTCCAGGCACCGTGACTCAGGGAAGCTGGAGGTCTAGTCCAGCTGGGGCTGGTGGACCTGACCCTAAGCCCTGGAGGAAGTGCAGGAGTTAAGCACATGCCAAGTACATGGGGATATGACAGATGTATCTTAAGATGAAGATTCCAGTATGATGAGGCAGAGAGAATGGGGAGGGGCCCAGTGGCTGAGAGGGTTCCACAGGGAAGCCAGGGCTGGGGACAGGATACAGCAGCAGGCAGGGGCACAGAGCACAGCCAGCATGTTCACAGGACAGCTAGAGAAGGGGAGATGGCTGATGGTGAGGAGACAGGCAGAAGCCAGCTCAGGAACCAGAGTCCTCAGAGTCACTGCCTAGGCAGAGGTAGTGGCATCTTCACGGGAGAAGCAGATGACCAGTACTGTCCTGGGAGCTGGGAGCAGTGCCATGACACTGAAGGAAAGCACTCTGGAGGGCAGAGAATTGCGTTCAAGAGTAGATGGCCTCCAGTCACTTCTCAACATATCTGAAGTGGGAACGGCATCAACTCCTTCACAGGCGGTTCTGAGGAGTAATGAATAAAGTGCCTCTGCAAGAAGAGATGAAGGAACAAGTTCTTTGCTGGGCATCTGTAGAAATCACAGTAACATATATTAAGATGTGGGTGCAGGTATGGGATGGAATGGCACAGTGTGGTCTGCTTTGGTCTGGCCTGGTCTGGTCTGCTTCATGAAGACCAGGGCCTCTGTCTTCTCCACAGTAGCCCCAGAGCCCAGGTACAGGGGCCTGGCCAGGAAGATCAGGTAGATGAATGGCTGAACAGACAGACAGGCAGATGGACAGAGGATAGTTAAGTGAATGGATAGACAGAAGAAGTCCAGACACAGAAGAGAGATCCTGTGAAATAGCTGCAGGCACCCAGGTCAAAACCTCCACAAGCTTCTCACCCAGTGCCATCCCCCACCCGCCCAACCGCACAGCTCCTCCTACTGGACAAGACCTCTACGCTTCCCTAGGTTACACTTCTTGGTCCCTCTTTAAGGGCTTGAGGACAACTGCATCACTTGCCTCTCCATGACTTCAGCCAGCCATTCTTAACCCATGAGCATCTCTCCCCACAAGTCTGCGAACAGGTTACCTTTGTCCCCGGCTCTCCACATGTGGGGCTCAGGGCCTCTCGGGTTTGAAGGTCCATTTCTGCAAGGAGCTTGTGGCCCTGGCTGATCTGTTTACAGAGGGCATCATAGTCCTCAGCCAGGCCCAGGATGTGGCGGCCACTGCTGCTGGCCCACAGGCGGTGGCTAGTGACCAAGTAGGACACTTGTGCAGTATTGGTGGCCAAGCTGCCACTATCACAGGAAAAGGAGTCCACATCGTTTCCAGAGAGCAGGGGAGTCTCTGAAGATGGAAGGAGGATTCCGATTTATGGGTCAGCACCTGTGTTCAGTGCTCACAACATTAAAGACAGCAAGGAGGGCAGACAGACCTTGAGGGAAAACAGGCCTGACCCCTGGGCCTCAGTCCACACCTCACCCACACTAGGCTTACAGATCATCTCTTGGAGAGGTTCAGGTCAATTCACCCCATCTTACAGAGCGTCCATGCAGAAAACCCTAGATGCACAGGATAAGCCAAGACAAGTCTATATTTCAGCAGCCCAGGGTCTGATGGGAATACGGGCACTGCAGGAAATGGAATCGCGCAGTGATTTCAGCCAGAGCTCAAAGGAAAAACATCTATGTAGGGAAGGAGAAATCAGAGGAGGCTTCCTGCAAGAAGCAGCCAGTTAGGTGGATTGAATAGGTAGCCAGAATTACATTATACCTGCTGCTTTTTGCCACTGGACCAACAGAACTATGCATGACCAATCCTGTCTGGGGATAGCAGAAAAGGCATTTCACTGAGAAATTTGCATTCCTGATGAGTCTTGAGGAAGTAGTAGGACTTCCACTGGCAGATGGGGACAAAGGAGGTATGGGTGTCACACAGAGAGGGAAGTATAGTCTGTGTGCAGGTTGGTGGCCCATTTGTGCAGCTCCCCTGACACAGAGGGATAAGGCTGGGTCTACAACTGGAGGACCTCAAAACCTACCATAAAGTAGCTACACTTTAAGACAGCAGAAACCCAGTGAGGTACCTGAGATCAATGACAACTGGCTGTCATCAGGAAGGGGTGACACTTGTCCCTCGATTAAAAAGTCCTGCCCCCATGCTCAACATGCCCACAGTTCCCCACACTTGGTTTTCTACCTGATTTTACTGTCACTGCCGGAGTGGAATCAAATGAGTTGTCACTTGGCACGGGACATTTGTCACCATCTACAAATGCAAAAGAGAAGGAACATGCTGTTAGCGCGGTTAGCGCTCCCGGAGTACAGTATCGTGCCTCGTGCTCGTACCCTTGCACCTATTCGTTTATCCATACACACTGCATTTAGTCACATCTTTTCTGGGTACCAGTCTTGCCAGCTCTGTGTGGGACACCAGATCCACAGAGCAACCAAGCCTCAACTGAGTGCTGGGATTGTAGGCACATGCCATCATACCTGGCTAGTCCAAACTTTTGTAGCATCCTTGTCTACATAGCACGATGATAGTCCTGCCTGCTGGATACAAATACCCACTACAAGTAGCATGCTCTAGAGAGTGGGCAGGTGAGCTCAGAGCAGCACTGGAGTCAGAGCTGAAAAGATATCTCCCTCTATCTGCTTGATGTGGCACTTTGGGAAAACCTTGTCCATTCTCTGGGCCTCAATCCCTCACCCACCGCACAGAGAAGGTAGCCATTAGGGCTCCTGAGAGCCTGACCATTTACGGTTTGTTCCAGGCCCTGCTGGGGAGGTGGGGAGGGTGTCTTCCTCTCTCCTCCCACCATATCTCTGTAGTGCTACAGAGTACCCACGAGGGAACACCAAACAGATCCACTTATTTCCTACCGACCCTGAGAGATACTAAAAGCCAGAGTGAGAGGCTTAGGTTGTCTTTTAAAGGCAGTTAAGAGGGACTCAAAGGCTTTTCAGCTTCAGAATGGCATGGACAGGACTAAACGGGAAGGGAGAAAGAGGCGGGAAGGGGAGGATGCCCAGAGGAACTGAGGGCAGCTGAAATCCCAAATTCTACTTCGAGAGAACCAAGCCCTCAGTCAGAGAGATAATGCTATTGTGTCAGAGGTGAGCGCAAACCAGCAGTCAGCTGCACTGGTGCGTAGGGAACACTGCGTCTGCTGTCCCTAATGAGGCACTTCTGCAGGGCACCCAGATGCACATATTAAGGCAAGACAGGCATCCTACCATGTTTGTCCAGCTGAAGGGACCACTCGGGGATGCATAGGGCCTGCGTGGCTGGAATGAGGGCTCCTTCCTGGGCCTTGTTCGCCCCCTGTGCCAGCTGCTCCTCCAGCCTGCTCCGCAGGGTGCTGTTGGTTTCAATGCTCTTTTCCAGCTGGGCCCGCAGAGCCTGCATCTCGGTCAGGAGGCCATGCAGGTCTCTCAAAGGATCCTGCCCCTTCCAGCCTTCTCCAGACGGCTCAGCTTGGGCCTCTGCAGATACGTGCACAGGGAAGTCTCATTATCCTCCACCATCGGAAGGTTGGCCCTCAGAGGAACCCACTACCACCATCTACCTTCCCCTTCCTAAGAATGAGGTACAATTTAAAATAACAACTCGACTTTTAAAAACAAAAATATTGGCTGACTTAATTGCTGCTATTCCACAGGCTAAATAAGAGCTGGAAATTAATTTTCACTTCTGGCCATAAAAGCCTAGCAAATTGCACACCAAACCCTGAAATTATGTCTAGTAGTAATAAAATCTATTTGGGCTGGAATTATAGAATGAAAGGGGATGATTTTAAGAGCCACAGTATATTAAAAAAAAAAAAGCCACAACAGCAGGAGCAGGAGAAGCAGCTGGAGGAGGAATGAGCGCTGTGAGATGACCCTTCCCTGGATAAACTTTCAATAGGGAGAAACCATCTGGAAAATTAGTTTTTAAAAATCCCACCATACCTCAAAATTGATTCTGAAATATAAGACCTGTGAGCAGAGTCCCTCTGATCTGGCCATGTCCGAGGAAACATGGAGAAAACCAGGGCCACGTGGAGCCCCACGGTCAGGAGCCATGTCCGGCACAGGCAGGTGCTCCATTAACATGCTTGCTCAATGAATGGGCAAAAGAAATACACACAAGCAGGAAAGGGTTTTATTTTGTTTTTCCCTGAGTGCCTACTATGTACCAGGGACTGGGCCAGGACGATTTGCTAAAAAAAAAAAAAAACCACATTCCGCAACTCCACCCAGTGGATATTAACAGATTAGTTCACAGGAGCAGAAACAGGCCTTAAGGGTGAAGTGACCTGCAAAAGGTCACTGAGCCAGGCTGACTTCAGCTGGCCCAACATGTGAGCCTTAGCCTTCCACATTTCCTGCTACTGTTGAAGAAGAGTGGGCCCAAAGTGAGGTGTGGTGGTATATACCTGAAATTCCAACATTTTGGAAGCTGAGGTAGGAGAATCTGAGTTTAAGGCCAATCTAGACTATAGAGGGAAAACGCTGTCCAATAAAAAAAGAGGTAAGGGAGGGAGGAAAAGAGGGAGGGAGGGAAGGATGGAGGGAGGGAGGGAGGGAGGGTAGAAGAGGAGGGGAGCACTTGGCCCCGAGCACCCAGTACCTTGCCACCGCTGCCTGTGCTCTTCATCCAGCTTCTGGTATACCTTCAGCTCCACTCGGAGGGACTGCAGCAGCTTGTCATTCTCTGAGAGCAGCTGCTGCTTTGACATAACCTCCTCCTGTGTCCTGAAATGTCCCCAGCATGGAGAAAGAGGTGAATTCTACCCAGAGCCCCCAGGGAAGGTTCATACCACCTGGGCCAAGATGAGAGTGGCCAAGAATTCCCAAGTGCCCTAGCGTCCGGCACTTTGCACACATTCTCTCAGGGAGTCTCCACAAATACCCTAAAGGTACTCTAATCCTGCATTCACAGATATGAGAAAGCAGAACTTGAAAGGCTCCAGTGCCTTCCCAGGTGTGCAGATGTGTAAGGAGAGCCTGGACCTATGCCAGGGCTGATGATGGACAGTGGTCTTGCTATACCCTGCACACGTTGGGCAGGTAGGATGAGGCTGCTCGCCCTGAGGGAAACGGGCACTCATGAACACTACCACAGACAACTGAAAACACCTGGAAAAAGACAGACTCAAAGAGAAACTGCAGAAGAGTGATCCGTATGACTCTTAAAACCTGCAGATTCCTGTCATTCTTCTGCTCAGAATCTCTCAGTGGCCTCCTAGGGCACTCTGAGTAAACCCCAAAATCCTGGGCCAGCCAGTGGCATACAACTGTAATTCCAGCTATGCAGGAGGCAGGATCATAAGGAGCGGTTTGAGGTCAGCCCTAGGCTGACTTCACAAGACCTCCCTCTCAGCCTCTAAAATCTCTGTGAAGAACACAGGCCTGTATTCTCAGCTACACGGAAAGCCTAAGTCGCAGGATCAGAGTCCAGGCTGGCCTTGGCATAAACTGAGAGACCCTATATGAAAAGTAATTTTTAAGGCAAAACAGGCTAGGGCATGGTTCAAGTAGTAGAGCACTTGCTCAGCAAGTGTAAGGCCTGAGTTCAAATCCCAGTACTGCCCCAGTAGAAGAACCAACAAACCCCTGCAAAGTTCTCATATGGCTAAGAGGCCAGGTATGACTCAGTATCTGGACCTCCCGGTGCTCTCTACCCTGCCCTGGCCCTCTCCAGGGGCACTGGCCTACCTGCCAGGCGACAGACACTACTCTGTGTCAGGGCCTGGAAGTTCTCACCCCCCCCCCCCCCCAAGCCACCGCTCTCTGTTCATACAGAATCTTTTCAGATGCCATTTCCTAGGTGGAAAGCAACAACCCACTCCCAACCCTCTCCTCCTCCTCAAGACCATCTTCACACATTGTATACCTACTAGACGGGATATGCCTGTATGTGTGTCCCTTCTGCACACTAGGGGAGGGACAAGCGTGCTTTGTCCCAGCACCCGCATGGGTGGCGGGCAGAGCAGGGATTGGGAGTCGGGCTGCACCTGCTCAGCTCCCGGGCCAGTTGCTGGTTGTGACTCTCCCTCTCAGCAACATCCTTCCACAGCCTTTCGTTTTCTTCCCTCACTCCCGCACATTCCTGCTGAAGGTGCTCAAGGCTCGCGGCCGTTTTGGAGAGAGACTCTCGTAATTTGTCATTCTCCTTCTGTTTATCTGCAAATACCAAAAAGCGCCACTGAGAAGGGATGCCATTTGTTTCTCCCAACCTTATTACGGAGATACACCACTTCAGCTGGAGCACTCCAAGAATACAAAAAGGAATGAGATTTAATCTGGCATTTATGATTTTGGCATTCCAATTATCTTCCACATTTTGGGCAGATAAATCTGTCAACATCAAGGCTGTAGATTAAACATCACTGGGATGCAATGGGCCTGTTTAATTTTCTATTATATAATGGGCCTTGCAAATCTGGTTACTTTGCCCTCCCCAGGCAAGCTGTGGGCGGAGACCACAGGGGGTGGAGAGTGTTACTAGCCTTTGTGGAGGATGTTGCCTCTGCTGAGGATCAAACTCTCCTGGAAGCACACAGTGGGGACAATGGGGCCATGAGCAGCGAGCTGGAGGGTGGTGGGGTCTAGTGCAACTCCTCCACTGGCTGACTGGGAACCTTCACCTTCACTTCCCCATGCCTCCGCTTCCTCTGTGCTCCCGTGAGGACGACCGAGCCACCATCTGTACAGGGCTTAGCACAGGCTCAGTCAGCTTGTTTGGAGCCACGTGCAGGCAAGCCGTGAGCAAGGGGAGAGGTGCTGGCTGCTGTGTTCCTTCCATCACTATCTGCACAGACTTCACACGACCCCCGCCACCTGCGCCATCCCACTCAATCTGCACAGCACAGCTCCGAGGCAGGGGCAGTGAGGCTCCCGTGCCCACGTGGGGAGGCCTCACAGCCAGGAAGTGGCAGAGCCCAGGGCAGACCCAGGGTCTCTGACACACCTCCTTTGTTCAGCTTTGAGACAAAAGTCTAGCTATGTAGCTGAGGCTAGCCTGGAACTCACCATTATGTCACCCAGGCCAGCCTGGAATTTGCAGTCCTCCAACCTCAGTTTCCCCAGTGCGGGGCGCTACCATGCCAGCTTCTGACACCACAGATAAACACAACATGGCCATTTCTCTGCAAGCTCAGGCTCCAGACGGTGTTAAATGCAGACACAACAAACTGCGCATTGCTCCACTCTCTTTACCTCTAACCGTAGGCCTTGTCTGCCTCCTTCCATTCTGAAAGCCCCCAGCTCCTCTGAGCTTGAATCGTCCTTACTGATCCCTCCCCACCCTTCTAGACTCAGCCCTTGAGGACCAGCAGTTCTGGGGTTAGGTCCTTCAGCTCTCTGGCCTGCATTCCTGGTGGCCTGCTTGAGAGTGTTGGGCTGTCTCCCATCAGACAATAAGCTGCTGAGGGAAGGGACCAGCACTTGTTCGTTTCTGTAGCCGAATCTCACAGACCCTGATGTATATTACAGGAGACCGAGAATGCTTACCAAGTGAGCAAATGACTACAGAGCCTCAGTCTCATCTCTTAAGCCAAATCAGCTCAATATCCCCTAGGGACAGAGGGATAATCTGACCCAATTCCTACTCTACCACCTTCTGGCTCTGTGACCACAGGCGGGCAATGTTCCCTAGGCCCACTTCTTACCTGCAAAACAGGGCTAGTAATACTTCATTCCATTTCATTTTAAATACTGAAAGATAACTTGACTAAATGCTCTTTGGGAGCTAAACTTCAAATAGGAGGAATTAAGAAGAAGATCTCTATAAGAAACACTGGATAAACTATGCTAGTAGGAGAAGTCTCTGCTTGAGATTTGCCAATAATGTATGTCTAGCCCTTCTTTCTTCCCCAATGAGAGGAGGCTGTAAAGGAGAGAAGTAACAAGGAAATGAACTAACATGTACTGGGACGCTGGTATCGACACTGTGCTGAGGGTTTTATACAACTTATCACAAGCACCTTATGAACCCTAGTTTTCTCATCTATGAAACAGGAATACTTGCTAGATGTGGTGGCTCACACCTATAATCCCAGCTACTGGCCAGGCAGAGATTGGGAGGATCACTATTTGAAGTCAGGCTGGGGGATAACTAATGCAAAAAGGGCTGGGGAGGTGGCTCAAGTGGTAGAGCACCCTTCTAGCAAGCATGAGACCCTGAGTTCAGATCCCAACACCACACACACATTCAAAAAATGAGCCTGATACTTCATAACGCTGTTGAGACAATTACATGGTTTGAGACAATTACAAGATTTGAATCTAGGTGAGTCAACACAGGGACTATGAGGCCTAGGCTGCAGGTGGCCCAGTAATTCTTACCTTTGGATCCTTTCACAAGCATCATACTGAGGGCCTGGTTTTGCTTCCTCAGGAAGTGGATCTCAGATATCAGAGAACTGTGCAGCTCAGAACCATGAGTAAGAGTGTTTGTGGGACCTAAAAAGCACACGGAAACAGTCATTTATGGATAGCCTATATATATGGATGGATGGAACTTCCCAGAAAATAGTTTTAAGTAATGAAGAAATGCACCATGCAACAAAAACCACTCCTGTGACTGCCAGAAGAAAGGAAAGGAAAAGGAGAAGTGGCTTAAAAATGCGGGGGGGGGGGGGGGGGACACTCCCCAATCACCCGCCCTGAGAGTAAACCAAGCAGAGACCTGGCAGGCGGGGCCACCTCAATCACCAGAGCCAGCTGCCTCTTGGGCCTCATCCTGGAGGACACTCAGCCCCAGAAGCCACCCAGTCCCCAGAGCCACAGCTGAGTCCTCCCATTCTGACCTCTCCTATCGGCTGCTAGCCTCTGGAGAGGACCACCAGGACCCCTACACCAAGCGAAATTCCCCTCTCCTCTTCTGCCCCGGCAGCGATCATGTCTGATGATTCTTCTCCCCAGATGTCTGGACGCCAAGCAGACTCCTTTTCAGGCTGAGCACCAAGCTCTAACCTTCTCCCTGCTGCTCTGCCTACGGAGTTATCATTCTAACCACAATCCTTCCATTGTTCTCTTCAAAACTATCTGGTGGCCTGGCACTGTGAAAGACAAACAAACAAAACGCAAGCTCTGCACTTCTCAGTACAGAGCCAGGCCTCCATGGCTCCCTCCAATCTCACGGTTTCCCTCTACTCACAACCCCATGCCCTCTCTTCTCTGAACCCTCATGTCCTGGAGCACAGCCAACCACGCCTTCTGTGACTACAGCTCCCTTTGCCTACATGCCCAAAGCCCTCCTCACTTGTGAAATCACTCTTTCCAATCCTGGCTCTAAGTGTGCACTTAGCAATCGGGATCTGTCTTACCAAGCTGTGGCCTAGCTGCTGAAACCCATTGCTTCCTCTAGATCAGCCTACGGCCACCTCTTTCTGGACACCTCCCTTGACCCTCATCCCAGTTCTCCCCTCCCTCAACTTACTCATCTGGCATTACCCGTTTCCTGTTTTCAGCTGCCTTCCGGAGAGCGCTCACTGTGCACAGGGTGCCTCTCCCAGCCTCTGGGCTGACTGAGTGCACTCACAACCAGATGAAATAAGACCCCTGAGTTCTAAGCCATCCTCAGGGCGCACTTGAGCAAAAGCCACCGCCCTCAACAAGACCTGAAGATAGGCCTACAAGAAGCCCCTGCTGGTGGATTCAGGGACATTTTTTTTGCCCCTGTGAAAGGAGAAAACAGCAACCTCAACCTCTTCTTTCCCCTGCTTCAGACAATGTCCCAGGAGGCTGAGGTGCTCAGTAATTACTATAATCATCATAGACACCAATCCCAACCTTCTATCATTCAACCACACAACCTACCTTAGAACTACTTGCCTCTGGGGTTCTTGCTGTATACAAAAATATAAATGTCTATTGTTTATACCTGCTTTTCCTCCTATTTTATATTCTGCTATAGCTGAAAACAGCCTGGTACACAATGGAGCAACAGTAATATACAACCAATTCTCTCAGAAGTTCATTCTCGTTCCATTTTCTTTTCCTGCCAGGAAGTCATTCATCACATGTCATATGATTTTTTTATGTCTCTCTCCACCATCTTGCTTTACTCTCCTTTTTGAACTCTGCTATCATTTCAGAGATAACTAGGTTGAACTGTGGGTTTGGCTTCATAATAACTGTGACTTCAGACAAGTCACACCACTTTACTGAGTCTTTCTTAACTCAATATAAATGTCTAATGTTGAGCCACGAATGGTGACACACACTTACAATCCCAGATACTCAGGAGGTGGAGGTGGGAGGACCATGATTGAAGCCAATCTGGGCAGAGTTAAAAGAGCTTATCTCAAACAAAGAGATGGGGCTGTGCTCAAAGTGCAGAGCCTAGTACGTGCTGACCCTGGTTTAATCCCTGGTACTGGATTTTAAAAAGGGGAAGGAGAAGCTGACATTGCTGCTCTTGCTGTTACCATTTCTGTTAACATCAGAATGGATGGATGGATGGATGGATGGATGGATGGATGGATGGGTGGGTGGGTGGAAGGGACTGGGAACAGAAGAGGGACCAAACAGAGGCCTGAATGAGCTAAGAAAAAAATCTACTGACATCTATACTGACCAAAGTTAAGGTGCACATTGGATAAAGTGCAAAGGAATAACTAAGCCTAAGCCCAAAGAGCAGTCCTGACACAGAATAAACCTGAGCAGTCACGGCCCGCTAGCTGGGGCCATTCCAGTGCTACAAAGCTGGTGTCTCCTCTGAATGCCACCGCAATGAGCCTGAGAGCCGAGGAAGAAGCTCCAAGTCACGAGAAAATTTTTCACAATATTCCACCCCAGCACTATAAGGAGTCCTGCCTTTCTCATTTAGCAATATTCCACCCCAGCACTATAAGGAGTCCTGCCTTTCTCAAACCTCCTCCCAAGGGGCACGCTCACAGTGGGGGAGACAGGCCCGCGTTCATTTCTTTGTCTTTTCAGAGACCATGACAACATGGTGAGAACAGAATGTCTTTCCACCAGCGTAAATACTTTATGAATGCCTTTTTGTAAACCTTCCTGTCAGACAGAATTACTCTCCAGAGCAATTGCCCGCTCCATTGTAGCCGGTGGCCATTTGAGCCCCCAAATAATTCTATAATTGGATTTGCCAGGGAAAATGTAAAACAGAATGAATCTAATTCAGGCATTACCAAGAGTGAATGTGAAGGGTCCAGGCGTGTATTTCTTTCCTGTGTTTGATACGACTAATAATTCAGATTAATCAATTTCTGGGGGGCAGGGAGTGGGAAGGCTGCAAGATGGGGTAAAATGAGTGGAAGGCAGAGAGGGAAGGAGAGAGGAAGGGAAAAAGGGAGAAAGGAGGGAGGGAAGGAGAGAGGGAGGGAGAGAAATGGAACCAGTTTATCTTGAAAACTGTAACACATATAAAACTGTAACACTGTCCTAAATTGATGGCTACAGTGGGCTAGAGAGGAATAAGTGGGCTGAGGGACCAAAGACCTTTGATGGAATCCTATCTTTCTATATGTCAATAATCTCACTTCTCAAAGCTGGAAATAATATTGCAGCGCTCCAGTGTTAAACAAGATTCAATAATAAAACAGATGATGAAAGCAAGCATTCACTGAGTGAGCAGCGAGCAAGGACCTATCGTGACACTACTCCATGTATGTAATCTCACAATGACCCTTCATGAAATAAAACGGAGAGGTGGGATACACTGTCCAAAGTCACAAAACTAGTAAACAAAAGGCAGGGAACCACACCCTACAATAGCCAAACCAACTTCAGCTTTTCCCAGCAAATATACCAGGCTCAGTCTACATTCTTAGCAACATGAGCACTCTCGCTCAGGAAGCAAGGACAGATGTCCAATAGAAACTGGACAGGACCGTGAACACTAAGGATGCTGCCTTATGTGTAAGTGAGGGGAAGAATAAGAATATATATTTCTATCTGTTTTTTTTTAAATCACTGTAAGGATACAAGCAACAGCCAAGAGGGAAGGAAGGAAGTGAGAACAGACCTAACCAGTAAAGAATGAAAGTTTTTGGTTTTGAATGATGTGCATGTCTTATCTATAGGAAACTGATGCTCAGTTTTCACAGAAGATCATTTCACTGCTAGCTAACTGTGGCTATGCAGGCATACTGGTGACCTTTTCTTGGCATGTGAGTCCCACCAGACTGATAAAATGCTGATATTTTTATAATCTATTATTGATGACAAGATAAAATACAGCTTTGTTCTACTCTAGAATCCCGATGTGCATCTCCACAGCTTCCCAAGTCCAAAGGAGAGTCAGCCTCGAGTCACACTCCAGAAGCTGGCAGACTCTTTGAGTGATGGAGACAGAAGTGGACTCTTAGCAAGAACCCATCTTGTCCCCAGACTGCAAATGTGTTCCAGGCAAATATATCACCTTGAGGCCCTCACAGGCTCTACTACCCAGTGGGAAGGCCCTACCTTACCTTGTTCCAGTTCAGACCCCTGCCGTTCCAGCTGTTTCCGTAGCTTCTCGTTTGTTTTAATAGATTCTTCTAGGCGTTTCCTCAAAGTTCGAATTTCCTGTATGTGTTCCATTAGTAAGTCTACAGGAAGGAAGAGCATTTTTAATTTAAAGTCTGAAGCCCCGACAAGTTGAATAATTTATAGATTATGCAAGGATCTGGAAATTCCAAACAGTATCTGATGTACTAAGAGAGTCAGCATCTGGCAGGTCCTTCCCAGGCTGGGAGAGGCCAAGCAGTCTCCCACAGCCCACGGCCTTGGTGCCACAATGGTTCTCTCCAGTCCTCCACGAGGAAGCTACGTTACATCATTCCAAAAAATTATATTCCATACAATTTTAATGCTATCTCTAATGTAGCCTTTTATTCTTCTCAATATCAAATATTAATTTAAAATCTTCCTTATGGTGAAACTAACAGATCACTTTCAAGTCTGTCTGAATTGCCTGAAACTTGATTAAACTACCTCCATAATGAATCCAGATATTGAGACTAATTTTCTGAAAGGAATATGTTATCTACTTTCCACTTACTAATTGAAAGCTTAAAATAAAATAAAAAACAATGCTAGTGAGAATGGTAATAAGAACAGTAATCTCAAGAGTGTATCCTGTTGGCGTGAATCCAAAGCACAAGACCTCTGCAGCTATTTATATTATTTGCCTTAGAAAAGTTCTGTTCCAATGTCTTTCACCAAACAATTCCCCATGTAGGGCTCCACTTAACTGCATACATATATATGATGCAGAATTTCATAGCTATTCCGTTGCATTATAAAACTACATGATGTCATGGAAAAAATCTATCGTGTTATTCTGTTAAGTTTTAAACTGATACAAAATTGGTTACTCAATATATAATCACCACTCTACATAAAAATAGACAAACATGAAAGATAAATGTACAAAAGAAATCAGTTACCTCAGGAAGACAGATTTTAGGCTTTTCAAGTACTCTGTTACATTTTATCATATTATTTAGTAATAGATTAAAATTTAAATGTTTCAACTTTCCTTAAGATGAACATTACTTTTTCTTCCCCAGCCACACCACACTTGTAACAAAGAAAGAGAGAAACAGTTTCAATCTAGAGGTGGCTTTCTAGAGTCAGTGTTTAAAACATAATCACATTAAGTATCCAAAGGCAAAACTAATGTCTTTAATTCATCAATTAGGGTATACTCAGTATGTCTTAGTAATGTTTGTTTTAAAACATTATACTAATGTTATGACCCAGTTTTAATTCCTCCAAAATGACTTTCATTTAAAAGTAGCACAATGTTACAGATCTTTTCCTAATTAAATAGTAATTTTGCCATGAATTTGAATGTTTATGAGATGACTTAATTCCCAGACCTTCAGCTATCTGCTATTAATGCCAGAAGTGTGGCAAGTCTTTTGGTGGCATGGCTGCAGGTCTCAAATGCAGCACAGCACTGAACAGCTCTGTCTGCAACACGCTCTGGGCACATCTGGGCACTGTACCTCAGGTCCCTTCCTTGCTGCCTGCACACCTTTCAGAGGCTAGTAAGGCCAGAGTCCATCGGGAGCTTGTCAGTTTTGACTGCCGTCTTCCCTGCTGGTTTACCAGGTCTCAAACTGCTGGCTCTGTGGCCATCAAGACACACCATCTTCCACTGAGGCTTTGGCCAGGAGTTGGACTACTGTCTCGGGCTTGAGGATATGTTCCCAGTCGAACTGGACACCACATATCAATTATGCAGCCATCCTGAGGAGGAAGAAACCCTATACTAGCCTGTCTCCCTTACAGTAAGATCTTCTGACAAATGCTAACTCCTTAAAAATCATAAATCCTCTATGAAATAACTATTTTTTTAAAAAGTATGTATCTTTTGCCTAGTAGTTCTCACTTACAGAATCCACGTTACAAACATGCCCCCAAATAAAAGAAAAAGCTTCAAGTTCAAAGACACTCCCTACGGCATTGTTTACAATTGTGAAATTCTAAAAATGACTTCAATGTTCAGCCACAGGAACATAAGGAAAACTGCAGCTCAGCCATTCAATGGACTGTTGCAAAAGCCACTAAAAGTGACGCTATCTACCAACATGTCAGGAAACTTACAATATAATGTTGAGTGAGAAAAAAAAAAACACTAAATTATGTCTTACACAGGTCACAAATATGACAAAAAGGAAAACATGCAGAGACTAAAAGGTTGAAGAGAAACAAAGACTGTGGATAGGTTAGGATGGCTCCAGAGAGCACTGTCCTCTCAGAGGAACAGAGAGAGCCCGAGTCATGGGCCCCAGCAGAACAGAATTAGAAGAGGTGACTCAATGGTTCTACATGAGACATAAACCATTGGGGAGGCACACAGGGTGGAGGAGGAAAAGGGGGACCTAGAGGAGGAAGAAAGCGGCACTGATTAAGACCAGGATGTGCTGAGGAGAAGATCTCACACATTACCCTTTCCATCCTCTGGGTGACCATGTGGTAGTCAACTCTCTGCTTCTAGCTCCTTATAACCTCCAGCATCTAAACCAAGTCTCGTGGGAGTAGTCTTTGGGCTCTTGAAAGGACTCACAGAGCCACATTACACTAATTCTGTGCAGAAAGAAGTAGCATCAGGGATAGGAAACAATTTGTGATCTACCCTAAGTTAGAGGAAGACAAAAACTAGAGCCAGAAATGACAGAGAAATCAAATACTCAGAAAACCACAATGATCACACAGAGACATTGCTAGAAACCCCAGGTCTATGAGTCTAGCTGCTGAGGGACCCAGCTGACCCTCATGTCACTCCAAGAATACACACTGCAGGCTCCAAGTATATTTTAGCTGTGTATCAGTCTTTAGAGGAGCCTTAGAGGTCAACCCACATAGGGTGAAGGCTCCTTATAAATTTTCATCTCAAAGAAAAAGGTCTAACTACTTTAAAAAAATTTTTTTTAAAAATTTTAAAATAATGACCTATATAATGAAGCATCAATAAGAACCTTTAGTGAGGAGATGCCAGCGGGAAGAAAAACCTCTGGAATAAACAAGAGACCAGACTACCGAGTGAGTGTATGCCTCATACACTCATGCCCAAAGTGTATGCCTGACACTCTACACCATGAGCCAAAGACTGCCCACACCTCTCTTTGTACATGCAGGTTCTCTGCAACACTGCTGACCACATACACACCTTGTGTGTAGCTACTGTGTGCTTTAGCAGGAGAGCCGGGCACCTGCATCAGAGACCACATCCCTGCAAAGCCAAAACATTTATGATCTGCCCTTTCCCAGAGAAGTCTACCTGGCTGGCTGATATAATCACTGAGTCCTACAGGAGGGAACTGAGATGGCAAGTAGAGGTACAGAGGGAAGGAGGGGTAAGGACAGGTCCTGGGATCTGATCCACCAGCTCAGCCCATAGCCAGAGGGAGACAAGGGTGTTGAGGGCTGAATAGCTCTATCTCAAAACTCCCGTATGGGAGGCCTTAGCTTGAGTGTGATGGCATAAGAGCAGGGATCTTTGGCCTGAGGCCAAACGGGATTAGTTCCTTGTCACATGGACCTCTAAGAAGTCTCTTACCGGGAAGAGGACCCTCACCACAACCCAAACAAGCTGCCTGGCACCCTTGTCATGGTCTTTGAGGCTCCAGAACTGGAAAATGAATTTCTGTTGTTGTAATCCCCTCTAATCAATGGTACTAAGCCACAGTAGGCTGAATAGACCAAGACAAAGGGCTTGAACCAATGGCCCAACAGCCATACTAAAGGGAAAGTGCAGATTCATATAATGATCAACTTTGTAATTATACAAAATAAACAGAATGGAATGGGGGTGGCTCTGGGTATCTGAAGAGCTCAAAGCAACAGAGGCCTCAGTCCCAGTGACCCTGCCTCAGGACGAGCTGAAGGACAAAGGGAGGGGAACCAAACTCTCATCACACAACTCCAGTTCTGTCCAGTCCTCCCCTACCTCTGTGAAAAGAACGGGGACTAGCAAGTTTCATACTAAGTCATCATTTAGAAAACAGCATTGATGGTTGGAGATTTAGCTCAGTGGAAGAGCACGTGCCTAGGCCCTCAGCACTGCAAAAGAAAAAAAAGAAAGCGAGAAGATAAAAAAAAAAAAGTGACTTTTCCCCAGTCAACCACTCTTTCCCCAGTTATAAATGATTCTCTGTGATCTTCTGTCACAGAACAGACACCACACTCTGCTCAACCAAGGCAAAAGCAAGACAGCACACGAGCGTCACACCTGGCCGTGTGGAAGACACTTAGTAAAGCATCACTCACCTTGAGGAAAGCGGCTCGACACTGCTGAGATCTTCTCGGTCTCACTGTCTTGCTTTGGGTCCCGTGAGAGGAAAGACTTCTCAGACATTTCATCATCAGACAATATATGAGAGGCGGGAGGCTCCGGAGATTTGGGGAGAATGTCTTGGTAGGTTGAGTTGTCTTCCTCAGTCCTTAACCATTGGAATTGAGAGAGAAGTCATTTGCCACAATGAAACCCCCAAGCCAGGCCATCAGAGAATCCCTGAGGCTGCTTCCCCTTTCCAGTGTGGCTTACAGTGAAGCAACCCGAGAGAGGGCCTGGGCCAGCGGGCCCCAGTGCTGCTCTAGCCTAAACAATCTGGACCTTTCTTGGTCCTCACAGACACCCCTGAGGAAGGGAGCTCTCACCTCCTCTACATTTGGGGAGGCAGAGGCTCACACAAACTAGCCACTGGCTCAGCTTCTAAGCATGACTGCTCAGATCTGACTCTGGTCTACTGACTTCAAGGCTGCGGGAGAATGTAGGAGTCCAGCCCACAGCTACAGTGTGGCCTTAGGGATTTAAAACTTTCAAAACCTGTGCGGTCCCCAAGCAAGTCCCAAATAGCATTCTTCCAACCATCATCTGGTTATTAACCTGTATTTCCCAAGGACCACCTAAGTCACGAGGAAAAACAATCCAAAGGCTGTGAAAAGCCCACATGAATCTCCATTATAGATAAGCTCCTTAATTTAAGCTCTTTTCTCTCCCACTTTTTCCTATTACTTCTTGTCAGTGGCTACAGTCTCATTCCTCATGAGCTCAGACAAGAGCAAAGGACTCGGAAGCTGCGATGCATTCATTAACAGGTAAACACCGGATGCAACGGAGCCGAGACAGTGTGATGGATGTCTGGGCTTGTTGCTGGCTTGCAAAAGTGCAGTGGGGGCCAAGGGCATCCATTTAATTAGCTCAGGAGCAACGTGTGAAGGCTAAGTTAGAGCGGAAATGGGTGGAATGGAAGAAAAACAAATCTTCCAAAAAGGTAAAGAGATAACACACTGGCTGAAGATAAAAAGAAGAAGAAAAAAGATTCCATGTCTCCCTCGAACCCAGTCTCCAAACACACTCAGTTGCCTCCATAATGGCAGATTCAGCCACATCCTTCAAAGGCTCCTTTCTTCCTGTAGAATAGTGTGGGGCTCTTAACAGGTCCTCTGGGGACCAGCTCAATGGGCCCAGCCTGCCTGTCCAGCTTGGGCCCTCCTAGGCCAGTCTCCTCACAGTGGCCATGTCTCCCTCGCCCCAGGTCTGGATGCTTTCCAGACAGGCTCCACTTAGGGAAGCCCTTCCTTGCACTCTCCTCCACCTGCCAATCAGCAGAAGCAGGATGTGACCTGCAAGGATAGAAACAGTATATGCAGAACTGGGAGAAATCTTTGCTCATCTGGCAGAGGGACAAGGACCTTTTAAGTTCACAAAATCTCTGACTAAAATGTCCTCCAGGGAGCTGTGGTACCGCCCTGCCTGCCTGCTGCATGATGCTTGTACCCTTTGTAATGCCAATAAACTCTAAGATGCTGCAACTCATGCTATTTCTTTATTTATCCCCAGGAGTCCAAAGGGCCACATCCCTAAAGATATGTACCCTAAAGGCAGGTACCCGCTATATAAATAGCATTTGGAACCTTTAGGAAGTCAACAGAGGAGGGCAAGGCCTTGGCATCTGCAATAGGCCACTGAGGCAAGCTCAGAAGGTATACAACTCATATGTTGTGTTGGCCCACAGAGACAACACAGAGTCACACTAGGTGCACAGGTATTGTAGTATGACCGATTCAAGTTCAAGTCCCAGCTTGGCATCTCAATGGCAACTCTGACCCACAGACTCCTCATCCTGAAACAGACCCTAAAAACTTACCCTGAAGTGTCAGAAGTAATAAAAGTGAAACACCAAGGTACAGCTGACATACAACATTAGTGAATGCTAGCCAGCTCCCGTCTTCTTTTGAGGATTCTGGGAATCAAGGGATGAATGCAGGAAGTAGTTTGCTACCACTGTCTACGGCCATACCACCCTGAACGCGCCAGATCTCGTCTGATCTCAGAAGCTAAGCAGGGTTGGGCCTGGTTAGTACTTGGATGGGAGAGTTGCTACCACGTTGCTATGTGCCAACATCTACTACAGGAATAACTGATTCTGGGATGTGGAGGAGTGCCAGGTTCATTTCCATCCCAACAGACTGAGAAATGAAGTTTGACCTTGTGAGGAAGGACTCAGGGTGCCCAGTGCACAGGCTTCACCTGAAGAACAAGAACCAGGCATGACTGCAGCATGGGGTAGGGTGCATGATGGGAGGGAAAAGAAGCCAAGGGAGAAGAGGGGAAAAGACAGGTCAGCCTGAGAAGGGCCCAAACATCAAGTTAAAGAGTATGGCATTTTTGTATTGCAGACACCCAGGAGCCAACCAGAAGCAATGTGTCATCTGGTTCCAATCACCTGACAGAAATGCCATGAGTCACCCAGAACTAAGAAGTGAAGGCTGCAGGACACCCAGCATGGGGACACCCAGCATGGGGACTCCTGGCTTTGTATGGCTACTGTCGGTTCTATAGGTGTTTATGGCTTATTTGCAAAAAAAGAAGGTTGACAGAATGAGAGAGATCGGAACACTAAAGAAGCTGGCAGGCAAACCAAACCACAAAGTCCTAGAAAATTTTCTTAATGAACATGACACACTCACCTCTCCATCAGTTCATTCTGAGAACCCAGTTCCACTCCAGCTGATTTGCCTGGAAGCAGAAATAGCATCAAGAAAGGACAACATTTATTTATTTATTTATTATTATTATTGAACACAAAAAGTGTTCTTGCTCACACACTGCTCCATTTGTTTAAACAGTCTTTACAATAAACGCCAGATATTGGAAATGGAATTACTAGGAGCATGGCTCAGATGTTGGAATGGTCAGGCACTAGTCACCAGGTGACAGCACTGGACCCAAAAAAGAATCACAATAGCATCACTGGGTACAGTTCTGTTCCTTCTCGGAAACTCTGATGCTAACAGAGTATCTGCTGTTTATTATGGGAAACAGGTAACTGAATATTGCCAAATGCCTTGTCCTCCTGGCGCCCCGTGAAGGCACGTTGCTAGACTGCCTCCTACGCATGTGGGCAGAGAGGATGCTGCAGGGACTTCATTTTTTCACCTTGTAGTGTGAGCAATTTCTCTTGCAAAATTTGCTTTAGACAACACTTTTAATGACCACACTAATATTCCACTGCAGGTGCACAGGTACCGGCAGTCTTTGAAGTTCCTTGTGCAGCATTTAGGTCATCTCCAAATTTTTATTTTAATAAATAAATGAAGCAAACATTGTTGTACATACAGCTTTATCTGCATTTGAATTCTTCCCTTAAGAAAGACTCAGAAATGAGATTACTAGGGAAAAGAGTATCTGGGTGCAGTTGAAAAAGCCACTGTCCACAGGAGAGGAAAGGCCTGAAATAAAACATAAAAAAAAAGACAAAAGGAAACAAGATAAAGCTCAGAACGTTGTTGGGCAAAAGATGCGCTGCTCTATTCCTGCGTGTCATCATTTGCTGTTTGAAAGAAAGCAAGAGCCCAGATTTCAAAGAGACTAACAACTTTATTTTAAAAATACTTCAGAACTCTGGAAATTGCAGGCCAGGATGAGCTCTTTGAAGAAACTGACGCATGGCTAAAGAAAAGGAAAAAAAAAAGCCTTCTATAGCTGCACTTAAAAAATGTGACTATAATTAAACTGCACCCACATACCAATTTTCAAAACGGCTCCTAAAAGGAAAAAGTTCTCCAACACCATGGTGTGGGGAGAGGATGGTCGGAATGTGCACACCAGCTTGGTGTCTCATGCTTTGGCCCATAAGTCACATGGAAGCTGGCATGGCACACTAGGCAACTTGTCCACCCTGCCAGACTGCCAGGCTGCTACCTGGGCACCCAAAGCCAGTACAAAATAACAAAGGCCTGAAAGCAGGGCAACGCCACCACCAGGGAAGAATCAGCACCCTGTCCTGAGTGCCACTCTCTCCTTCAGCACAGAAGTACAGGTCTAGGGGCTCTCATGTTGTCAGTTAAACAAGTGGCACTGAGGTATCTTACAGCTAGTGCAATCACAAGCCAGGCGCTGGATCCTTCTGGTCATCTCCTGGCCAAGCCAGTATGGGGGTACGCTTTCCTGGAAGACAGGCAGACGCTGGGAGCCCTGCTACCACAGTGGGTGCTCTCACGTTTCTACCTTTTGGTCCTCTAAAGTCCTTCTCAAGAATGAGTCCACATCTGATGGAGTCTGATTTTAAGATCTTGATGAAAAGTCCTAGAGTTTAGGACTATCTTTATTGGACGGAGACAAGTGGCTGCTACAGGAGCAGCTCCATTGCACTTTCTATCGCTGCCTGAACTGGGCTGCCTAGCAGCGCTCAGCTGATGACTCAACCTGACAGTTGCTGAGGATGGGCCCCCACCCCAGCGCAGCCTCGAGGATTGCAAGGGGACCACCAGGCCAGCAGCAAGTCGACATCCTGCTGCCCAGGCATCCCTGGGCTTCAGGAGTAGATCTCGGTCAGAAGGTAACCTTGTTTTGGGGCAGGCTTCAAGCATCCTGAGTCTGCATCCTGAGTCTCCACACCAAAACCATCAAAGGCCTCTCTCTTCTCCATCAAAAAAAAAAAATCCAGAACCACAGAAGTGCCCCACGTCACTAGCAGCATGAGCTCCCCCTCTTCCTATGAAGACCCTTGGGGAGCTTGCAGTAACTCAACAACAACTGTATTCTATGCATTTCCCAACCACAACAGGATTCTTTTAAGACTACGTGACAAATGGTTACTGTGGGATTCACAGGGAGATCATCACACTGATGTGCTGAACGTCTTGGTGGAACGCCTCCGCACAGGTGACAGGGTACCATCTGTCGGGCTATTCTAAAAGCTTAGAATGCAGGTCAGGAAAATGCTGCTCTCTGGCAAATCTTGTTGCTCTTCCTAAAGCTTTGTGGCTGTGGCAGTGGAGTGACTTCACCTTTTCAAATAAAAAACATGTCGCCATGCCCTCTGCTATGCAGGGGGGACTTGTGACGGGGGCATCCACCTTCAGCCTCCTCTGATCCATTCTGTCCGCTGCAGACATGTCAGAAGCTTCCTCTGAAGCAGAGCTTCTCAGCTCAAAACCCATGGATCCCTCAGGCTCAGCTCAAATCCCATAGCCCGACATCTCTGCAGCCCCCCCCTCCCTGCCCCATGTTTCCTTCCTGGCCCCCTAGGAGCTGGTGATGAATATGTGCAGGGCTCCTCCCAGGTGCCTGGCTAGCCATGGAGAACACAGGGATGAATGACAGCTTCCTGCTCAATGCGTTCACATGGAAACTGTGGGAGGGAATACAGAGGTGACAAGCGTAATCCAGCCTAGGGACGAGGAAATTTTTGAGATGGTAGAACAGAGCTGAAGCTCTGTTTTGAGACACAGTCTTGCTGTATAACCAGGCTGGCCTCTAACTCACAGTCCTCCTGCTTCAGTCTCCCAAGTGCTGGGATTATAGACATATAACACTGTGTCTTCTTTAGAGCAGTGTGCCATGCTTGGGCCTCAGAAACTTTTGATCAATTGAATATCTGAGGCAGGAAGGACTGCTTCATAAAGGTAAAAAGAAGCTAAGGGGCCTGATGAAGGTAGATTCTAGGGTAATGAGGAGTGAAAATCCTCCATCTGATCCGATAGCCTGGACCACTACTCTAACATACTTCACTATCATTGTGATCACCTCTTGAGCTCCCATTATTTTGCCAATAGGAACACAAACACTTTAACAGGGACACAGTCTCCTGTGAGCCTTAAAACAACTCTGTTAAGATAGGAACCACTATACCCACAGAGTAAATACAACCCTTAATGGGTAATATTGGGGTCTCTGATTCGAAAGCCCTTCCCATCTTACCACCCTGTGGGTGCTTTCATCCCAAGGCCAGACATGAAGACCATGGTAAGCTACAAATAACCTAGAGGTGAAGAAGAACCAGCTCTTGCTTCCACTCAGGGCGACCAATACAATCTTAAGTGGGGCTGGCAAGTTTTCTACAAGTAGAAGATGCCTTAACAGGAAAGGGACTGAACAGTGTGCCATGCTTGGGTCTCAGAAACCTTTGGTCAGTGTACCAACTGAATAGGGCATGATGTGACGGTCATATGGTGGTTAGAAGGCCAGTCTATGGGAGGAAACTTCCTAGGCTCCATTCAGATCCTGATGCTTCCTGTGTGACCTTGAATAAGTAAATTCATCTCTGTTTTCCTCGTATGAAATGAGGGTAAAACATAATATTTCCTAGTCGCTTGAAAACAATGCCTGGCATATAGCAAACACTCAGTGAAAGCCAGCCTTCATTTCCTCCAACATCTTCATTATCAATGTTCCTAGAAAAGGAACACTGTAAATTTCCTTGAGAAGGAAAGAATGTTTGGGGGCTCATTTCTGTGTCAGCTGTCTTTTCTTCTCATGCCAAACTCTGGCACCATGGAGCTCACTGAGAGTCTGTCTCACCGTCTACCTGCGCTCACCCTAGGACATTACGCCAAGTTATCCCAAAACAAAATAATGCCTTTCTCATTATGCAACTGCCTGGGGGACGCACTGTGAATGAGTACATGGAAAACCTGTGCAACACCAGTTCCTCATCCTCTCTGAGTCTTAGCCCTCTTAAGGAATCTGGAAGTTATAGGCCCTGACCCCCAGAAAAATGCGCATACTCACAAAGTCCTACAGAGTTCCAAACCCCTAGTAAAAGCCCTAGTTTAACTGACAGAGGAAATCTCAGCCCTACCCCTTACAATCACTAAGAAACCACAGAATCATCCATTCTAACAATTAAATACTATGAAAAAAAATAGCAAAGATGTACACACAAAGATTCCTATAGCATGTTCTTTATAAAAGCCCAAACTACATGTCCATCCAGTAGAGAATGGCCAAAAAGTGATGATACATAAAAGAATGCTTTGAACCATAAGCATTCAAATGCATATTAATATTATCTACAATTGAACAAAGGAAGTTACACATAGTTCTCTTTCCTTAAAAAAAAAACAAAACACATAGGCATTTTAAAGTCTGAGCATACACACTCCAGGGGGTGTTCATGCATTGCTATGTAAATGATACAATTATATTTGCTTATCTGTTACTCCACAGTAAACATGGGATGTCTTACACTGATTTTTTAAAGTCTGTGTTTAAAATGTTAAGAACTTGAGCCATTCAACTGTCTCAAATATATAACTACTGTATGAAAATCTCACTCCATAAATCAAGAGCCAGATCTCTTTACTCAGCTCCACTTACCATTCATTCTCTATGAAGTGAGTTAGAGAGAGGGCCCTGGGACTTTTCTGCCTTTTGCAGAAGAAAATAAAACTCTACATTTGTGTGGTCTCCTATACCTGAGCTGCTCCTATCTCTGGACCTACAGGAAAGTGGAAATGGGGTGTCCTTGGACTTGTCAAAGTCAGTTGACTAAAAAACAAATCAAGGATGTGGGGTGAGGGAGGGGCTGGTGGTGCCAGAGGCGGTGTCCATCAAGCCTCTAACAGTCAGGGTCAGGGTAGGGAATGACGGAAGAAAAGAGACAGAGGGAACTGCCCTGGGCCTGGAAGATACAGTGCTACTGACCACCCAGTATTTCCTTGCATCTTGTATATACACTTCTCTAATTTGGGGAGGAGAAGGGAAAAAACAAAATGCTGAAACAGGGATAAAGGTTTACCTACTGTAACAATGAGATGTACAAGACACTATGCTGAAAAGGGGGGGAACGCGTTGTGGGGGGTAAGCTGTGGGGGTGGGGAAAGGGAAGGGATGGTAGGGGAAAAACAAAGGAGGAGGCAACAATGCTCGATAGGAAACATACTCATTACCTTGCTCATGTAACTGTAACCCTTTTGTACAGTATTTTTACAATAAAAAACGTACAAAAAATAAGATGAAAATTATCTTATTTAGAAAAGATGAGTGAGAAGAAAGCAGAGTAAAATAGTGACTTGGAGAAGGAGAGTCCAAGAACTTCAAGGTTTGTAAGCACTCCTAAAAAGATGGGAGACGGGAGAAGGGTGATGACTTACTGAGTCTGAAGCAATTTCAACATCCGTATGAATGACAGGATGGAAAATATTCACTGAACAAAATAACCTTCAGGGCTATATTGACAATAACAAATTTTAAATAATAGTTGGGGTAGGATGCATCCTCTACTAGCTTCCCTTTAATAATGAAGAGAGAGGAAATGGCGGGTGTTAGGAGAAAACCACAGTGACATGTGACAAGCAAGAATCATGAATGGATGGTAAAGTGTGGAGAGGAGTACACGATTTACCGAATTACAAAGTTCCCCCGCTAATAATTGATTAGCTACACAGGGAAATATAACTTACACAGAGAAACCTGACAGGCAACACCTTAGCCATCACGGCTAGCATCACTGCAAGTAGGACAAGCTGATACTGTGAGCCTCCTCAATATGATATCCTGAGAACAAAACCATCCCATAGCACTGCCACATAAGTGCCTAATCTAATCTAATCCAAAGGAATAACAGGTAATTTCAGAGTGAGGGAGAGTGTGGACTTATTAAGTATGTTAATATCATGAAAGACAAATGGTGAGGAAGGACTCCAGAATAAAGGAAATCAAGGAGCTACAACAACGGAAGGTAAGGGGAGCGCTCTGTGTAGAGGAGGAGGTCTGGCTGTACCGTGCCTCATGTGGCTCAGTGGTAGAGCATTTGCCTAGCAATTGCCGGGCCCTGGGTTCTACCCCAAGCACCAGTAAAACAAAAATTAAATTTAAAAAGTAACATGAGTACTAGATGGTGGATCAGGAATAAAACTGTCATGAAGATAGGACTGAATTGATTATAAAAATATCTGAATTTAAACTATATATAACAGTAAACTAGATAGCACTGCTTCTGACTTGGATGTTGGTACCATGGGTATAAAAGAGAATGTCTTAAATTTGAAGAACTACAAACCAAAGTAGCTAGGGGAAAAGGGATAAGATATGATCAGTCCACCCTCTAAGGGGCTCAGAAAGATGATGAAGATGATGATGATGATGATGATGATGATGATGTACATAGAGAGAAAAAAGACAGAATGATAAAAGAGCAAAATGCTAACCACTGATGAAGCTCTTTGTTACAGTCTTGAAAATCTTTTAAAAATTTAGTGCAATAACATTATTTAAATACCTGCTACAGAGTAAAAGTTTGTTGTTGTTTCTCATCCTTCTTCTGGCTACTTCTAACTCCTGAATGTATTTTTACACTGATATGTAAGTTTTGCTTGTTTGGGATTTTTTGTTGTTGTCAACATTCAAAACATGAGTTTATACACGCATGCATGTGCACGTGCACACACGGGCACGTGCGCACACACACACACACACACACACACACACACACACACAGATCTACTCACAAATTTGGAAGAACAAGTGACTTTTCCTGGCTGGCTTTAATACTGTGCCTCTACTGTCCCTCTACTACCCCCCCCCCCCGCCCCAATAGGCCCCAGCTTGGAAACTGCAGGCCAGGGGCACAGGGTGGAGGCGGCAGCGAGTATGGCTCTGTAGTTGCCTCTGCCTGGCAGAGGCGCAAGGTGCAAGAGGACCAAAGACCTCCAAGCAAGGCCAAGGACTCAACACTGGCATGTCTAGGGCTCTTCCCCCAACTCACCGTGGAGGAGAAGCTTCTCCAGCCGCTGCAGCAGCTCGGCGCACTGATTCAGCTGCTCCTGGAAGCCCTCGGCCACACAGGCATCCACGTCGCTAGCCTGCAGCAGCTCCTCAAACGCCTTGATCATGGTGCTCATGTGTTGACGGTAAATGACACAGATGTCATGGCTATCCTTAATCTGCTGCCGCTGAAGGGAGAGCTCCCTGGCTTGGGACTGAACTAATGAATCGTATCTGATAAAAGGAGGGGAAAGAAAATGCTTGTGCCATTTTAGAATTGAATTTTTGTGACCTTAACACTAATTGGAAAAATGACAGAGCACGATTTTTTTAAAGCCTGCAGCTGTACAAGTATATATACTTTTAGAAAAATTGAAACTGTACAAGGTCACTCCCTCTTTGAGTTCAAACAGCCAGCGAATGTTAGAACAGATATTCTTCTGCAATATTTTTAACCTTATAAAGCCCCCAATTAAAGTCTAGATTGGCAAGGACGCAAGAGAACAATTAGTTTCCATACATTCTTCAAAAACACTATTTTGAATTGTAGGAACACATGCTCCAGGGGGCAGAGACCCTCAAAAATTCTCACGAAGTATAAGAAGAAAGAGTAAGGCAGGGAAAGGGGACTGGCCAGTGAGGAACAGAATTTGTAGCCATTTACTTCATGTCCAGGGCCAGGGCATGAAGTAAATGACATAAAATTGTCTGCCCTCCTAACATCAACAAATGAATGAATGTCCACTTCTATAGGAAAGTAAACTGGTTGTCAAGGTAATTAGGTGAAGGTTTAGGGTTCACAAACCGACTTTAAAGCTCCTCACTGTCTTTCCATACTTTCCCTACATAAGCCCATAAGCAGTAGCAGGCACCGAGACAAACACAAGCTAAGGGAGAGTGGCCAGGTGGACACCTGTTCTTCAAGTTCCCCCTTTCACGAACAACAGCGTGAGGGCCAGGCAAGCACCTTCACTGCCGAGAATGAGCATGCAGATCATGTAGCACTGGCGTAGGAGGTGGGGACTGACTCCATGGAAGAGGAGAAAGCCGGTTATTGGGGGAGGGGGATATTGTGCCATGAACCCTATCAACATCTCTTACAGCTCTGTGAACATTCACGGACAGGTCACAGCAACCTGAGTAAGGATTCGTTTTCTAGTCTACCAGGTGCTTGTTAGGATCAAGTAAGAACAGTTCCTTGATGGGCATGGTGGTGCTCACCTGTCATTCCAGCAATCAGGAGGCTGGGGAGGGAGGAGGATCTTTGAGTTTGAGGACAGCCTGGTATACAGGGCAAGAAGAAAGGAGGAGGACAGAAGGAAGAAGAGGGATACGGGAAGACAGAGGAGAAAGGAAAAGGAGGGGAAAAAGAAAAGGAAAAGAAATGTTCTTAAGCCAGGGGCTGACACAACAGCTCCTCCATGAACACAAGCTTCCTTTATTATCGCTGCTTGGGAAGTCTTGAAAAATTCACTCTGGCTGCTGACAACTCAGAACAATATGTTGTCTCAAATTAGTGACGGATGAAGGTCAACTTTCTAAATGATCGTGGTTTTTGCCATATCTCATGAGGCAAAACTGTACATATTTATACCCATAAAACATTATCTTCATGACCTAAGAATTCTTCTCTTTCGACACAAGCTTATTTCTCTAAGATGACCTTAAAGGGTAAAGATATGAAAAACATTAATATGCCTCCCAACCTGCCTAGGACATCAGTTTAGTGCCACAGGGAGACAAAAGCCACTAGCAGAGTCAGAACAAGCCCCGCAGTTCAGCTAAAGCACTGTAATTCACCAAGTGACTGGTATAAAACCTTTCCCCTAGTTCCCAACCTAAGGAGGACAAAACCTGCCTGCCAGTTTGCGAGGACAAACTACTCCTAGCTGAGGCTCATGTGTGCAGCGCATGTTTTGTAGCATCACATTTCACTTCCCCACCGGGCCTGGCTTCTTAACAATAGGCCAAATCCCTTCCCAGGACACTCTGCTACCACAGAGCATCATGCTCTCCTAGCTCTCAAGTTCCAGGCTAGCAGCAACCCAACAGGACTGCAGGCTTAAACAGGGGAAGCAGCTAGAGGTAGAAGGTACCTGGCAGGTGAAAGATCTCGGAACTTATTCTGCAGGTTATGGATTTCACTGAAAAGTTCCAAGTTCAAATTCTGCTCCTTCTGCAGCTCATACTCCTGCTTCACCAGCTGTTGTCTGAGGCTTTCTAACATCCTGCTATCAATCATCTCGGGGGTGAGTGGGCGGAGGATTTTCATGTGTTTCACGTATCGTACTTGGTGCAAACTTGAAAAGGTCATCTCTTCTTCATCAGTACTGCCCTTGGGTTTGTTCAAGCCATCTTGGGCCCCTTCTGTCCCACACAGAACCGTGATAATGGCCTCGCTGCATTGGGAGTGCTTTTGAAGCTGAAACAGGAAATTCCGATAGCCCTCCAGCTCAGTTTCCAAGTCACAGATTTTCTGTTTTAAGTATTCTGTGTCATGTGAAATGTCGAGGTCCCCAGATGGATCAGACTCAGACACACTGACTTTAACGGAAAGCTGACTCTTCGAATCCAAGCAAGTGGCTGCAGAAGTTGGGTCCAGAAAATCTTCAGAGTTCTCTTTATGTGTTGGCAACACAGCCAGGTCATCAGGTGAATAAATTTCAGAATCTGCAAAATCAAATATATTGATATCAGTGTCTCCCAGCCTTTGTCTCAGCCACCGCCCAGTCAATGCTCTCCAGTGTACCGCTCCGTTGTGGCTTGTTTGGATCTCATATGTTCCCCATAGGACCATGTTTTGAAGACTGGGTGTTCGCCTGCTGTGTACTGGAATGGGTGGACTCTCTCAGAGACAGGGACTAGTGGGAGAAAGTGAGGCCACTGGGGACATGCCTTAAAGGCAATATGGGACCTCGCCACCCCACTTTGCATCCTGGCCACGATGAGGTGAATAACTTTACTGCACCACACGCTCCCTACCACGACATTCTGCCTGATTACAGGTCCAAAACCAGAACCAGGTAGCCATGACCTGAAATGTCTGAAACCAAAATAAAGCTTTCCTTCTTTTAAGTTGATTCTCCCAGGTACTTTGTCACAACAACAGAAAGCTGATTAATATACCATCTTGCCTCTCAACACATGGTTTTTCTCAGAACGAATGTCCTCATGAGTGAATTTAAAAATCATAAACCAGCTACACATCTAAAAATCACCAATTATCCCCACTTTCAACTTGCGATCCACCATAATCTGATTCCAAGGACCTATCCAGAAGCACCATCCATGGGGAGTTCCACAAAGCAACTAGGACATCTACAAATACCATGTAGCTTCATGCCTTCATAGGAACTGTACCTTCTGCCTGGAGTATCTTAGGCCCTCTATTCTATTCCCACTCTTTGAACTCCTACTCATCCTTCAACATCTAATTCTCCTCCTTCTAGGGGTCCACTCCCAAACTATGCAAGTCCCTCCCCTCTGTGCTCCCAGAGCATGTTACAGACACATTAACACACCACACACACTGCATGCCTGATGCTACTGGAGGGGCTGCAGTTGACATAGCAGCAATAATTACATGGATGCCTCTCCCAAGCACCAGACTGCAAGTCCTTTTAGAGCAGGGATGTGGCCTTCCATCCTCATGTTCTCAGTGCCTGGAACACATCTGTGCCAGCACAGATCAGAAGTCAGTGATGCTCTGAGAAACACAGAAGGCTCGTGACAGAGCATTGAAGAGCAAGCATCCACACACCCTCGACAGGAGGGCCTCCCATTTCTCCATCTACATGCCATCGTGTCCTCTTCATTAGCTGACTCACTGACTCCCACTCTGTTCACCTTTCCTTAAGACAAGGCTCGGTCCTCAGAGATGCAGCCAGCTTGTATGGGAGACAGAGGGCACAGCAAGAGTATAGAGCTTTGGACCAAAGATCAATAGGTCACACCTAGCCCTGCCACTTGCTGGCTGCAGACTTAAGCAAATAACTTGCTAACCCTGAGCCTCAGCTGACCCTGCATGGAAATGAGGAAAGATGCTTAATATGGTGACAATGAGGCTTGACTCCACAGCTTCCGTCCTTAACTGCCGCTACCCAGGGAAAGCTCAGCTCCACATAAGGAGGTGATTGAATATTTAAGAGGCAGCCTAGTATGCATAGGAGGAAAACACTAGATTTAAAAGGCAACATCCCGAGCTTCCAACACTGGCTCTGCCACTTAGTAGCTGCATGACCTCAGTTAGGCAGATGAGACTCCTTACAGTGAATGACCACTGTCAGGCTGTGAGGCTGGGCTTACTTGCTCACTTGTGGGGACCATGCAGAACAATGTCTGCTGCTGTGTCTTTTCCAGAGCACCCCACCAATGTCGTTGGTGTACAGAAACCCAGTGAGGCATCATCAGAATCCCCATTTGACAGAAAGTCGAGGCTTCTGGAGCAGGAGCTCTCCCCATGGACTAGGACGAGCGACAGGAGAACTGCTCATCAAAGCTCTGCTTTTTCGTTTCAAGCCACAAAAAGAAGGGAGAAGACACTCCTCATTGGAGGAAAAGGCAGCGTGGCTGGACCAGAGGACCTGGAGGTCTCTCAGAGAGAAAACACAAGCATAGGCATAGTTCGATTTCTAGTTCACAAACCCAGTCCTTATCCACTCTTGTCCCTCTGTTCACAGGGCAAACATCTCAAAGTCAGATTTAGCTACCACATGGCCTAAAGGAGGCGTTCCCGAGGAAGCAACCTGTCAGGCTCACTGGTCTGTGCGGTCCTTGAGAGTAGAAACCGGGTCACCCTCCGCCTGCTGCCCCGGTGTCCGGTGTAGAGCCGCGATAAAGAAGGCACCAGGTGAGAGAGCGTAAGAGAGATGAAGTACAAGAGGGAAGATTTCCCAACAAGGCTTTGTTCCCTTTGTTTCACTAGCTGTCCACAAAATAAGGAAACTGCTTTAGTGACAACCTTATTATAGTGGAATTTCATCTGTAGATCATGGAAGAAGCAGTATTCACTAAAGATCAGTTCTGGTAACTTTCATTAGGTACCCATGAGGCAAAGACAAGTGACTACGGTCACTCTGATGTTTTCCCCCCACCGACCCCAAGTGCCTGGAGGGGATGGACTCCACTGTGAACTCTGCTCCTAAGGATGTGAAAAGCATATTGGCCTACCACTTGATACTTAGTAGCTCTGACTTCAGAAGTGTCCTCAAAGTTCCCTACAGAAACTTATAACTTAGCAGGGGCAAGGAATTGACTCAGGCACCAAGGCAAGAATACAACAAATCTCCTTACTAGCATTCTCTGCTCCGCAGGCCTTGATAAAGGTCTAAAGGAGCTGCTTCCTCTGTTCCGCTCAACAGCATTGTGTAGAAGGTGTGGGAGAAGGCAGGGTTGTAGGGTCACAGGCTGCCAGCGCATGGGGACCTCTGGAAGTATGATCACATTCCAGGACCTGATCCACGTACCTAGCACCTCACCAGAGTTATTCGTTTACTGTCCAGTGAGGCAATGCCACAATCTCCACTTGAGAAAAGGGAAAGCCACTGCTTGAGAGCTAGAGAATCTGCCAAAGCTCAGGATGAGTAGCAGCAGAGCTCTTCACCAAGCCTGGGTGCACACGAGGATGAAAGAGGATGAATATGGTTGAAGTACCACGGAACCTGCTCAAATTGTTTTAGGAAGGGAGGAGAGGTGGAAGAGAGGGTGATCAAGGGGTAGTATTGATTGGAATATACATGGTAAATAAACATGCATTGGAAATGTCACAGTGAATCTCTCCTACACAGTTAATGTGTCCCTACCTGCTGTCCCCCCACCCAAAAAAAACATACAGCCTGGGTGCTTACCTCTGACACTCCAAATGCTACATCCTGACCCTTGTCCCACAAAGGAAGACCCTCAACAGGAAGAACAGTAATACCTGTGTGAGCGCCCTCATTCACTTAGTAGCTACTAAGGGGCTCCTGGAGACATGGTAGCAGTGGAGTCACCCCCAGCACCCAGCCCAGAGTAGGCAGTACTAAGTAACTTAACTGAATAATAAGGTGTGATATGGGACTAAAAGGAGGAGACCTCGAATCCTGGGGGACTCAGGAGTGACCTCAGGAAAAGTAAAGCTTATGTAGGGATCTACAGAATGAAGATTCAGCTAGACAGCAAGTTGATGGGGAATTCAGGCACAGGCAACACACATGCCAAGTTCTGGATGCACACTCAGAAAGATGAGACTAGCTCTGTGATACAGAGGTACTTAAAAAGAATAGGATACTAACAGGACTGGTGGCTCATGCTTGTAATCCTAGCTGACATATGAGGTTCACGGTTCAAAGCCAGGTAGAAAAGTCCTCCAATTAACCACTCAAAAATCAGAAGTAGCACTGTGGCTCAGGGGTAGAGTGCTAGCCTTGAGCACAAAGAGGCTCGAGGACAGTGCCCAGGACCTAAGTTCAAGCCAGATAACACTAGCTCTCCTCACTCCTGCAATCCCAGCTATATAAGAGGCTGAGACAGAAAGGTCAGCCCTGTCCCTCAAGAAAAGTTCAAGATGCATTGTACTTATAAACTAACATATTGAATTAAAACACTTTTGTATAACTACTTAAAGTTAATACAGAAAAAAAATGGAAAACAATCATGAGACCCCCTTCTTGACCAACAACTGAACATGGTTGCACACCTGTCATCCTTGCTTCATGGAAAATTGAAATAGGTGGATGGCAGTCCAGGAGCATTCCCTGAGCAGGAAGTGAGACCCCCACCTCAGAACATAACCAGCCCAAGAAAGGGCTAGAAGTATGGCTCAGTGCTAGAGCAACCACTTAACATGCACAGGGTAGGTGGTTTCAAACTCCACTACTTAGAACTTTCCACATCTCAGCTAAAAAAAAAAAGTAGTTCTAGAACTTTCCACAACTCAGCTAAAAAACGTTTTGGTCCCTGGTATAGTAACTTTCTCCTCAAGCCCAGAACACCCAAAAGCATGTGGCCACCACACTTCTAGGCCTCAGAAAGGCCCCACTAGTGGGACCAGGCTCTTAGCCAGGTCTTTCCCCAGAGACTCGTGTTCCCTCGACCACTCCACAGCAGATTTAGGATTCCTGATGACCAAGATGTCTCATGTGAATTAAATTGAGAACAACAGCTATATTTTTAATGAAGGGAAAGAGATCTAGGGTTAAAAAAGAAAAAAGAGTAAACCCTTGCTCATTCTGGCTGAATAGGAATATGGTAGTTGCTCCATTATCCTTTGTGTATATTTGCGTGCTAATAATACTTCATAATTAAAAAAGGACGGGATACAACTTGTCTGCAGCCTCACTCACAGCTCTCTGTGCCATCCCCAATGACCTAGCTGCAAAGCCCACCAATCTGGGCTCAGCAGGAAGCTTTTCCGCTGACTGACCCATTCTCCCTGGCAGGTAACAGCCTGCTCCACACTGAATATTAACAGGTTGTTGTGGTGCCTGTGTTCTCATTGTGTGGTTGTGTAAGGTCCCTTGAGAGCAGGCACTGGGTCTTTTCATTGTGGACCCCTGAACCATGCACTATCTGCCAGAAGGGTCAGACAAATGGAATGATCAGCTCTATCTGGTACTCTGCTTTGCCTTGACTCTTCTACCTCCTCAGCAGCTGGGTGACCCTGGTCAGTCATGCTTTAGATCCTCCTCTTCCCCATATGACAGGTGGGAATGGGAATGATGACCCAGAAGGGCTGCTGTTAGATCTACTAAGAATTTTGACATGTCACCCTACACAGCGCCTGGCACCAGGCAGCTGTTGGACACACAAAGAAGCTGAGTTCTAACCGGTCTCAAGGTTGTTGTGCTGGTCATCATCTGCCTCCTTGTCTCTCTGGGCTGAGGGTGAGCTTTTAGTTCCTTCGTGCTTGCCTGGGCTGTCTTGGGAGGCTGCTTCCACAAGGGGCTGAGCTGCAGGCACTGGCAAAGAGAAAGAAAAATAAAACCATAGGCTTGAAACTTAGCCAAGCATCTGAGAAGAACACAAAGATACAACAGGGAAAATAAAAACACTGGGGAGGCAAAATGCAATTTATAAGATAAAATTAATCTATCGAGCTGCCATAACAGAACATAAAAAGCATAAATATACTGCAGCTTGTCTGAAATGGTTTAAATCCAGACTCTCAAAAAACTGAGTGAGAAAAGGAATTCCATTCCATTGACATGTGCCCACTTTCCCAAGCAAGAGGAGCCCCTGGGTCTTCCTGGCAACCACAGGGCAGCACCCGGCAGAGACAGCCTCTTGCCTCCCCAGCAGAGGAGGCGGGGCACAGTGCAGATGACAGGCCTGGACATGTGCTAGGGCCCCTCCTGGGCTGTCACTCTGAAGTCCCTCCCTCCACCCCACTCTTAACTCTTTGTACTGATTTGGTTGGCTGAACTGCCCCCACCCCCATCCAGACAGAACGCGCTCTCTCTCTCTCTCTCTCTCTCTCTCTCTCTCTCTCTCTCTCTCTCTCTCTCTCTCTCTCCTATATCCAGTGCCTAAGATGGAGATACAGTAGCTACTTGAGGAATATTTACTGAATATGATGCCTAGATCAATGGAAGAACAGATTGACAGTAGGTACAGTAGAGGCAATTTTGATAAAAGCCAACTCAGTTTGAAACCTCAAGTACAAGAAACCCAAGACAGAACCTACAATTAATGGAAGTTATCTTGGGCTCTAGTGCACAGAGTTTATACCAGAGTACCACATGCTGGGGTTAGGCTTCACCGATGCCTATAAAATGGGCAGGCTGGTTTACACAGGGCCCTGGACTAGTACCATGACTCATTGGATCACTTTCTCTCGAAGGTGCTACCTGAACTTCAGATGGGGACAATTACTGTTTTGGAGGATGATTGGGAGGATTCTATTTGATCTATTTGATTCTATTTGATTTTCAGTGTGTATGGTAGGGCTCAACAAGTGCAAAGTCCTCCTTTTATGACTGTCACAAGAAATCCAGGGCTGCAAGGTCACCATCAATCCCTGAGTGACCTAGCGATCTATTCTGACACCATCTCCTCTCCAGGACTCTCCCTTTCACTGGCCACCTTTCAGACTGCCAAGCTTCTCTCTGAGCATTGGCCTGGACCCTCATTTTAGGAGAACCCAGCTGTCCCCTGAGGGGACTGTCTCCTGGACAGCATCACCAAAGAGGCTGTACCTGCCACATCCCGCTGCTCCACACTGTCCCTTCACGTCATCTGTCTTCCTAGAAGCACCAATTTTGCAGCTGAGGCTGCTACACTACACTACCAGCAGCCTAACCTTGCTAGAGCCACCATTCCTCAGAGCCATTTTGGCTCCTGCCTGCCCTGACTCTCTGTGTCTCACAACAGTACAATTCCCCAGAGGTGTCTGTCTTTGTGATCTCCAACTTCTCTCCTCCACTCTCTGTCTGGCACCTGAAACAGCTCCCTTAATGGCTAAGCTGATCCTCAGTCCTTGTCTTATGTGTGTTACTAACAATATCTGGCATAGACAGTGTTCTTGGCTCAGCTTCTGAGATGGCTGCCCCATCGCAGTCCAACCTCTAACCTCAGGAGAGCCCAGTTCATTTACCTGGAGTTCTGAGCTACATAGCTTCAGTGTCAGTGGTATGTTGCCATTTCCTCAGTTTCTGTCTCAGCCCATATCACTTTCCTTGACTTGAGGCTCACCAATCTCCAACTACCTACCCAGGATCTCCACTAGGCTGGCCAACAGGCATCTCAACCATCCAAAACCAGACATCTAATGTTACCCCCAGGCTGGCCTGGCCTGGCCTGACCTGGCTTGCAATCTTCCCCATTCAGTGCACAACTCCATCCTTCCAGTGGTTCACATTAGAAGTGATCCTTTAAAATGAAGTCAGCCTATTTTTCTCAAAGATCCAAATAATAAGTACTTTAGGCTTTGCAGGCCATATGATCTCTACCACATGAGTGTGGCTGTGTCCCAATAAAACAGTTTTAAAATGTTATTGTAAAGGTGATATACAGAGGAGTTACAGTTAGTTATAGGAGGCAGGTGATGAGTACATTTCCTTTTGAACAGGAAAAACAGGCGAAAAGCTGAATTTGAAACACAGACAGTACTCTAAAATCAATTCTTGTTATAAGGCTTATGTCAGACCATGTTGCTCTACTACTCAAACCTCCAACTGTCCAATTTTATACAGGATGGTCTATAAAGGCCTGCCTGGTGCCTCCGTCCCTGCCCTCACCATCTCTCCTTTACCTCCCTCAATACCAGTCATATGATTCAGCACCTTCCAATCTAGCCTACTTCTCATATTCAAAGCCACATCAGAGCCTTTGCCCTGTTCCTTTTTCCCCAGATGACTAGTGCGCTCATTGCCTCCCATTTCCATCCAGATGACCCCTGTCACAGAGGTTCAAACCTCTCCACATCATATGCATTAGCAAACCTTCCCACCATCCCTCCCTCCCCTGCCCATCACTCTGCTTTGCGTCTCCCCACACCTATTTTCTCACATAGCATATGTTATTGTCTTCCCAGATACATAAAAATACTATCTGGACACAGATTTCTGTCTGCTTTGGGTTCCTGGCTTTGCAGGGCATAGAACAGTGTTTGGCACACGGGACAATTTATGAAGATGACCGCTGCTGCTCTCAACACCCTGTTGCTGCCACCTACTTAGAGCAGAAGGTGAAAATCAAAGCAGCACAGGTATTTTCATGAGTGTGGTAATGTGGAATGCTCCTGGCAAGGCGGTGGTACTCTGTCTGGGAGAGGGCGCCCTGCGTTCTCCAGCCTCTCACAGGTTTGGTGGGACATAGGCAGGTAACATCATTGCCTCCCCCCAGGTCTCTGGATTCTCACTGCACCACCAGGTTTCAACCCAAGGTATCTTCATCTACACGGCCCCTAGAGAGCAGAGGTAGCTGATTCACAGGGGATGCTGATGTGGTTCCCTTCTAGAGGAAGATAGGTTTGGGGCCTACCATTCTGGGGAATTCTACCAAGAGCATCTCCCTGGCATACCTCAACTATCACGTTCTGAGGTTCCACAAAGCCTGGACACTAAAGCCTGCCCAGCTGGACAGCAGATACAGCTCCTGGGGAGGGCACAAGGCTCCCAGAGAGCTGAGGGCACCACAGGCGCCATTTATCCAGACTCTAGAATGGAAAGAAAACTGCAGCTTCATTTTCCCTATTGTGTTCCTCCATTGTGCATTTCTCAAGAGTGAAGATTAATCACTGCAATTCATGAAATTTATACTCAAACGTACTGCAGTTCTAAACAACAAGGCTGACATTTCAGGCAGTTCTGTGGGGCTGCTCGTCTCATGACGGAGAAGGTGTTTTTCCTACGCTTACCATTCAGCAGCATTTGGTCAGGTGCTGGCTTCCCCTCCATCAGGGCCTCCACCAGAATTAACTTGTGATGAAGCTGCTTATTATGTGTTTTACACTCCTTCAGCTCACCCTGAAGCTCCATGATCTGGCCCTGAAGTTTGGCCACCACCTCCTGAGTGGCAAGGAAACGATATGCATGCCCTAATGACTGGGCTGGTTTCATCAGGATCGGCAGGCGGGACTTCTTAGCCTCCTGAAAGCACACAAGGCACAACAGTGAATGCACTTCACACACACACACACAAACACACACACACACGTCCTTTCATTGCATCTTCTCAGGCTGACCTTTTAAATAGCTCCCAAACATCACCCCAACTTCTGGTCCCCATAATGGTGTCATGTCACTCCCCAACAACAGACCATATTTCTTGACAGGGTCCTTCTGATTGTCAAGGGCACAGTTTTCCTTGACACCCTCTGGGCCCTGGTCCACTGTCTCTATGGACAAAGCAAACGTTCCATAGGTGGTACTTCTATTTCTGACACAGTCTTCTGGAAAACTTTCCCCATCTCTGTTCTCATTCCCCCCTATTACTAGTACAAGTCGATCTGCCTCCCACGCCTGCTGGTCTACCAGAACTCTGCTTACTTCAGTGGCTACTGACAGGTCTACTAACCCCGTGTGATTCCTCAGGCTCCGAACCCCAATCCTGACCTTTCCCACCATCTTTATCAGCAATGGCTCACAGGCGCTCCAAAGTCAACTGAAAATTCAACTCTGCTATTCCATCACGCCATGTCCTGGTCCATAAATCTACACCACTCCCATTTTCTGTCTTGGTGAATCACACAACCTTACTACATAATCCAAAAACCTGAGAGTTATTTAAACTACCTCTCTTTGCCTTATTGACTTGCATTGCTCATCACCTTCCAATAATTCCAGCTCCTTTGTTGTCTCCCAATTCTTCCATCTCTTCTCATCCCCTATTGCTACCAGGGCACTAGGAGTTCTCATGTTGGCCATAGTAGCAGCCTTCTGAAAGGCTCCCGGTGTTTGTTTTCACACTCTTCTAATCTACTGTCCTTAAAGCTATCTCAGCAGCTTCCCAGTTCCCACCCTGACAGAGGTCAAAGTCCATACCAACACCTACCACAAAGTCCTGCTACACCTACAACCTCAGTTGCTACCTCTTTACTCTTCCTCTGTACCCTACTCTCTGAGATTCTTTTGGTTCTTTGCACCTCAAGGCCTTCACGTACACTTCCACCTCTGCTGGAACATTCACCCTTGCCCACTGAGTCATTCATCAGGACTTAGCTCAGATGTGCCTTCCTCAAGAGCACGGGCTTTGACTTCCAAGACCAAATCAGCTTCCTCCCGCATGTCCCCTACCACATTCCCCAGGAAATAGGAGTATTATTACAATTAAATCTCTATGTATTTATGTATTCACTGTCTTCTGCACCTGCCCATAAGGCCCAGAATTCAGGGGTTCTGAATTTATCCATAATGTATCCATAATTTCCAGAATAAGAGCTGGTACATCATTTGGTTATCCAAAAGTATTTGTGGAATGATCACAGAAACAGTAACTTAAGAAGTCAAACAAGAATGTCTTTCAAGTAGGGAATTTTGAATGTATTTAGCAGCTGAGGAGAGAGACCTAACTCTAGAATGTATGAAGAATTATTACATTTAATTCTCAACAATAAAAGAAAAAATACAAATGATCCAATTAAAGACGGATGGAAGACCAGTAGGACATTTCTCCACAGGAGATACAATATAGCTAACAAGTGGGGGGAGGTGGGGGGGGGGGGGAGGTTTGGGTGGGGGGGCTGGAGGAGGATGGGAAGGGGAAACAAAGGAGGAGGCTACAATGCTTGATAAGAAATGTACTCATTATCTTGCCCATGTAATTGTAACCCCTCTGTACAGTATTTTCACAATAAAAAAAAAAAAAAGAAAAAGAAGCTCACTATCACTAGTCATCAGGACAATCTAAGTGCTATCACAACAAAATACCACCTGTTCATACCCATTAGGATGATTACAACTAAAAGGGCAGTAACAAGTGTTGGTGAGGATGTGGAAGAACTAGAATGCTCATGCATGGTTGGTGGGTTATAAAAGGCACTCGGCAGCTTGGCAACCAGTCAACTCCTCAAAATGGTTTGACTTGGAATAACCACATGCTCCAACAATTTCATTACTAGGTATAAACCCAAAGGGAAAAAGTTGTTATGTCCACATGTAAATGTGGACGTGAATAACAACATGTACATGAGTAGGAATATTATTCTTAATATCCAAAAAGTAGAAATAGCCCAACTACACATCAGCTGATGAATGAACAAATGAAACGTGATATTAGAATACTATCTGGCAAGAAAAAAATAATAAAGTACTGATCCATGAGGCAATATGAGTGATCCCTAAACATACTATGCTAAGGGAGGGGCAGCCACCAATCACCACCTGCTGGAAGATCCTGCCCATCTGAAAGGTCCAGTACAGGCAAATCTAAAGAGTCATAAAACACATTAGTGGTTGCTTAGAGCTTGGATAGGCAAGTGGGAAAACTGCACTGACTGCAAATGAGTGCAGTGTTTCTTTGAGGGATGGTGAAATGTTCTAGCACTGATTGGCAATGGTTGTATAACTCTGTGGATAGACTTAAAAGTCTTTGAATTATACCCTTGAAATGGATGAACTGCAGGATGTCATCATTATTTTTTTTAATAATGGAGAAGAAAGCTGAGATTAAAAAAGGAACTACTTGAGACCTGAGAAATGATCTTAAGTCTCTCCAGGAAGAGTGTGAGGACCCTTGCTGCCTACATGCACAGTGCTTCCAAGCAGTTCCCCACACTACTCAGATAAACTGCTTTTTCAGAACTCAGGATGAGGGATGGTACCACCTCTGTTCTCCAAGTAGTCCAACGTAATACAGCAAGAAAGTCTGAGGGTCGGGCTCAAACCAGTTTTTAGATTCCAGTGCTCAGTTAGGAGAAGTAAGATGCCATCAGCCCTGCAGTCCCAGAGAAGAGGAGAGGGCAAATTCCGGGGCAAGAACAGTCTGAGGGGGTGACAGACTCCACCTGGGAGGAGGCAGATGTTTTAGTAAAGAGGGCTGGGAAATAACAACATTTGCTGGCCCTGGGTCTCCACCAGTCTTTATTCCTGGATCCAAATCTGTGTGTCATATGGCAGCAGAAGAGATCTGCAAGTGCACAAATGCCAACGCCAATTTCAAGCTGGAAGACTGCAGTCAGCCAACCTAACGCCGGTCCTAAAATAACACCACACAAAATGCTGCCTTATGGCCTCCCAACAGTCCCACCTACCACCTTAATAACAATGGAAGACTGGAACATGTTACTAGGGACTGGAAGAATAATAGGAACTCATACTCTGAGCTCTTACCTTGTCACGTACAAGGTTCCTCAGCAGACCCCTACCACCCTTGGTCTAGGTCACAATGACCCATCCAAGCCAAGGAGAGAACGCAGGTGCCTTATTATTCGAATATTCAACGCAGGTCAGTGGCCAGCCCAAAATGACCCCAGGCAGATCTGTGCAAGACCATCCTTATGCCTCTGTAACTAAACCATGGGAGCCGTTTGGCCTGTCTCACATCTTTTGTCTAACAGGAAGGATACCACAGCTCTAGCTTAAATCACAGGATTAACCATTCTGACACTACCAAACCATCCAGAAAATGATTACCTTCTCTCTATTCCGCAGGTACTACATATAAGAGACCCTTACTCCCTCCAAGGAAGGCAGACTACTAACATTTCCCTTAACCTCTGAAGCCCGGCAAGTTCCAATCCTCTCCCTGACATTGCCCAGTTAAGTCACTCTGGACAGTTTGCTGAGCCTATTAGTGCCCACATGTCTTCTCACGTAAAATGAACATAATACTTACCAAACTCAAATACTTCTTAAGAAGACTAAACAAAATGATAAAATTTAACATAATCCCTGGTATATGTGGCAGATGATTAAAAATAAATATTTATCTCCTTTAGAAAACACAGTGGAGATAATTTCAAACTAAAAAATATATATGTATATATATATATATAATATATTTAGGAAAATTAAGCCTATTCAATTATCCAATTTTCCTGAAGCAGAATGGCATCTCTCATACAATAGAGTAAAAGTAAACAAAAAACAAAGGGGAAAAAAAAAAAAAACACCTAGTTTTCCTAATATACAGGTACGAACCAAAGGAGCTAGAGAGAATGAGAGCACTTCTATTCCAGCCAAACTGCACAAATTTGCATTTTGAGTACCATTAATATAATGGCAGTGTATTTTTTTTCGGGGTCTCTACCGATATCTTTAGAAAACCCTTTTCTGGAAATTACAGTTTGGGCGCATAATTTAAAACAATCAAAAGCAATTTTGCTAATGATATATCTAACTCTCTTTGGTATGCACAAAAGCAGTCATTTAATGGTCACAAAATAAACTTAATTCTCCATTCTGCTGCTCTGAAGCAGTGTGTACAGTTGATTTCTAAGCTACAAAACAGCCATTGGAAACAAGAATCTCTCAGCCTTCCATGGGTTCTATTAGAAACACAACTTATTTCCTTCTTACAGAAGGTATCTCCCTGACACTGAATCTCAACCCAGCACCTCTTTCCAAAAGAACCACTACATCAGTCCAATCAGGCTTGTCTGCTTTTCAACCATTTGGAATATCTGATTGTCTTTGGACCGCGAGAGATCAACATGAACATACCTTCAGTCACCTCCCCTGCACACCCACCATTCTAGGTCCCCAAGGCTAGAGGGAAATGACCAAGGAAATGACCGAGGAGTACACATTCACTTCTGCATGTTCACGTCTAGTCAGCATGAGCACTCAGGACCTGCCTCCAAGCAGACAAGCCCTCAGAATGCCTCTCCACCACAAAAGTCCTCCTAAATAATCCCTGGGTTCTCACTAAAACCCCTACTCTAAAGTGGGGTTATTATCATTTCACTACAACCTGCAGAAGGAAGTGTCTTCAGTAGGTCAACACTGTATGAATTTTGGTATATTCTCTCTAAGGGAATGCTAAGGCCGTCACCACAGGGAAACGTCCCAGACACAAAATGAGAAAGACAGAGCTATACACAATTTAGGAACAGGATTCCACGAGGGTGTTTCTTCTGAAGGAAACATAGAAATGGTGTGATAAAGCCCTATCATTGGAGATGTAGCTCAGTGGAAGAACGTTTGCCTTCCTTCGATGCCCAGTACTGATAGCAACAACAACCAAAATAGAATCAGGGTCAGGGACAGGGGCAGGGGCAGGAGAGAGGGAGGGAGGGTGATGGTTAGAAAGGACATACTCCTCCAGGTAGAGGTCAGGAGCGGTACAGACAAAGGAGACACATGAGACTTTCCCCATGAAGAAAGTAGTGGCATTGGAGATGATTTTTTTGTTGTTGTTGTTGGTCGTGGGGCTTGAACTCTGGGTCTGGGTGCTGTCCCTCAGCTCTTCAGCTCAAGGCGAGCGCTCTACCACTTGAGCTACAGCGCCACTTCCTGGAGATGATTTTTTAAGTCTTCTGTTTCTGCAAAATAAAGACCTAATTAATATCTAGCACAACTTACTTTGTTGGTCACACAGGGGAAGGAGAGGAGAGTGGTCTGCATCCCTGGCATCCCACGCAAGTTCTCTGGCTGGGGCTCAGAGCTGAACGTGGCATCTGCCGCCACGTCTTCCCAAGCCTTCTTCTGCCCCTCATAAGTGAACCTGAGAGGGTCTTCCTCCACAGCCACGGTCTGCACAGAGACATTTTTCATCTCCGTCCTGTCCACTTCACTTGTCTTCACTAGCTGGGCCCTCCACGGGGACTTCAGCCCATCATGTGGCCTGGCAAAGGGGCTGGCTGGGACAGAATGCTCAAGTTCTCTTCTCAGCTGAACAGCAATTTGCTTGAGCATCTTCTCTGTTTTACCATCAACGTGTTCTCCAGAAGCTTCCTGCTCTGCCAGGTATATCCGCCCCAGAAGCAGTTCTTGTAGAGCTTTCAGAAGGTCTGGCCTGTTTCTCCAAAGGAAGAAGTGAGAATGATAAGCTTCCTTCCCAAGATCTCCCCACAGACTCCTGCGCAGATTCGATCTAAACTAAACATAGTAAGCCCCCCCCCCACAATACAACAAAACTCGTGCCAAGCATTTGCTCCCAGGTAACTCACAGTACTCACACAGGGCTATTTCATGAAGAAGGGCAGAACGTGACACAAGGTATACAGTCAATGTGTGGGCTACAGTGATATGTGAATGCAGGCTGGACAAGGTAGGAGCAAGGGGGAATCGTAAGGAACCCTGCCCAACCCCACCCACCACCGCCCTTACCCATTCCTACATCGAGGGGAAAGTGTAGATTTGGAAGAACCATGTCGAGTTGGCTCATCCATAGGTGATCTGATTCACCACGGTGCATATTAGGTACTCAGTAAGTAGATGAAGGGGTGCCTCATTAACAAGCATGCAGGTATAACAGAAAGCACATTGGCTTTGAAGGTAGATAAAAATGACTCCAGAGACTGAGGGTAAGACATCTGCTTAGCACAAGGAAGGTTCCTGGTTTGATACCCAAGACTACAAATGTTAAAAATTAAATAAGTAAAAACCTGAGTGTAGCAGATATCCCTGTAATCCTAGCTCCCTGGAAATCAGAAACAGGAGGATCATAGCTCAAGGCTGGCCTGGGGCAAATGCTAGCATAAGACTCTTTCTCATAAATAAACTAAAAGCAAAATAACTTAGATGTGACTCAAGTGGTAGAGCTCCTGCTTAAGAACTGTGGTGCCCTGTATTCTACCTGAATACCAGAATAGAGAGATAGAAAGATAAAGAGATAGAGAAGGAGGGAAGGAAAGAGGGAAAGAGAGAAGGGGAGAAAGAAGGAAGGAAGGAAGGAAGGAAGGAAGGAAGGAAGGAAGGAAGGAAGGAAGGAAGGAAGGAAGGAAGGAAGGAAGGAAAGGAGGGAGGGAAAGAGGGAGAGAGGAAGAGAGGAAGAGAGGAAGAGAGGGAGGGAAGTCTTTCAGACTTCTTTCAAGCAGCCAGAAAAGCACTATGGAAGTATGGGCAAGCTTAGACCTCCAAGAGGAGCCTCTAACAGCAGGGAGAATATCTCAGTGAAAAGAGCACTGTGGGGGTCAATGTCCCAGCTCCATCTTTTCAGGGGCTGCACAGGCTCAATTACCCCTATGGGATGCCCAGAAGGGTAGGGTCCCAGGTGCCCAGAGCAGCCACTAGACCAATGATACATCCTAAATGGCTTAACTGCCATCCCTATCTAATGCTTCCTGAGCCCGCCTTCACGTTGCCTAATGCCAAGTCACAAACAAATCATCCAAGTACATATCTTGGACTCTGCTTTCCAAGGACCCAAAACTAAGCCAATACATGAATGGTGCCTTATGGAGTCCTTCTGAAGTCTCCTTTGTAAGTCTGGTTCCTGGGCCCAGCACTACAGTAGGTACCATACCCAAAACTGCCAGCAGGACTTAGACTGGTCTTAGAGCCAGGAATGCCAACAGGTTTGGGAGGGTTACAGGGTAACTATGCTGTGTCCAGACTGGGGGTGCAGGGAAAGATGTCAGAGGGAGCTTCTGAAGTAGAGGGCAGCTTATTGGGGGAGAGGATGGAACAGCTGTGCAGGGACAGCAAGATGGCCACGTATGGAGAAGGAGGACGCTGGGAAGCTTGGCAGGGGAAGTAAAGTCTTCCACAGCACGATGAGAAAAGGAGGGCCCCTAGGAGGCTTGCAGAGCAGCAAGCAGCACTCTGGTCTAATCCCAGAAAAAACAACGAAGCTATGCCCCCCACCCCACCCCACCCCACCCCCTACCTTCAGACACAAATGCCTCAAAGTATGTACAAGGAAGCCAAGGTACAAGGAAGTATCCAAACGTCAGAAATAGAGGAAACAAGCCTGGATGGAAGGCAAATGAAGAAAGCGGTAGAGGCAGAAATTCAACTCCTGGGATGCAGGAAGAACCAGATAAATGTCATAGGCCCTTAGTAAGACCTTGGTAAGACAATTTTAAAATCACTACAGAGCCAGGAAGGTAAGGTTAGGGACTGTTAGCCGAAGCAAACTGAACTTGTACATAAAAATCATGCTTTAAAAAAAAAAAAAAAACAATTCAAGACCAGAAAGCTGAAACATGTCCTGACTGAAGGGTGGGGACTAAAGGTGAGAGGCAGTTGAGCAGAAAAACAAATGATGGGCGAATACAGTTGTAATACTTGATGTACATACATGAAAACTGAACTAGGAAATTTGAGGAGACAGATGGGGATGGGGTACCTGGGAGAGAATGATGGAAGGACTCTGATCAAGATGCACTGTACACAGAAATTAACACGCTACACTGAAATCCCTTCCATAATTACTTGAAGAAAACAATTTACAAAAGGGAAAAATCCAAGCAATGAAAAAGAAAAGAGAGATCATAAAGATTTTGAAATAAGAATACTTAAAATCATCCAAAGGTAAAGGAAGAAAATAGATTCCTAAGGAAAAACAAGGAAGTAAAGAAGTCAAGACAAGGCATTACGGGGATGAGGCTAGAAGGGGCAGGATCCAGGCAGAGGACAGTTGGACAGCGGTCAATACCTTGTAAGAGAAAGCCAATGTAGGCCAGGATGAAGCCACACAGTCAGTAAAGAAAAGAAACAGCATCAGCCTTTGTTACGTAACTTATTTTTCTTCCTTCTTCCCATCTCCTTTCATGAAACCATGGGAGATAGGGAAGATGCTACCAAGTCCAATTTCACAAACCCTGTCCTCCCCTTCCTCGGATCTTTATGACTATAAGAAATGATAGTATCCATGTTTATTTCCTCTATTGTGTCCCTGAAGGGCAGGGATAAAGGTCTTCTCATATCTAGATCTCTCTAGATCAAGGGCAGAGTAAACTCAATTCAAATTAAACAACTTCAGCAGACTGAAATGGGATTTAAAAAAAAAAAAAATTAAAGCCAAAACTAAAATGTATGGCACACTGCTTACTTTTAATGTAGAATCACTTAAGCAGCACAAACTATCTTTAAACCATACTTTAAAAATATCTCTGGCATTCCAAATATCAGGAAATGTTAAACTAAATGTCCTTCCTTTTCCTTCTTTAATATAGGTAAGAAATAATGACAATTGCTATTCAGCTATACAAAGGAGGACCGTTACTCACCACCAAACAACACACAATAAAGCTCAGGAAAAAGACTTTACAAATGGGTAATAAATGGTGGTAAAGAAGGCCAGTGCAATACACTAAAGTGGTGGTGCTATTAAATAAAACAGCTAAGTGTGACTCTGCTGGAAATCTCAATAGTGGACTCATTAAGCTGTCACTATATTCAGGACCTTTGGGATGGTTCAGTCCATGGGTCTTGTCAAGAGGCCCAAGCAGTGTTTCTTTGCCCTTCCTATACATCTGTACTAGGCAGAAGGTGTAAGGAAAGGCACTGACATTTACTAAGCACTTACCATGTGCCAGATCCTTTAAATACACGAAATCCTCACTCAAATTGAGATGAGAACTATTATTAACCTTATTTTATAGAGGAAGAAAAGGGCTCACAGAGACTGAGGATTCCACACACACCCCTCCCCAGCAAAGTGGCAGAGCAAAGATTAGAATCCAGAACATTCTGACTCCAAGGGAGCACTAATTCTGTCCAAATTTCCTAAACTTACTTCCCCCATGAGTTCCAGTTCCCAGTTGTCTGCATGTTCATTCAAATATTTATCACATTCTTTCCACTTGACATGAAAGGCAGTGGCTATGTGTGGTGAAGAACAGTGGTGGTGGCGTTCATTACGGAAAAGAGACTGACATGTGCATATTGATGATAAGTAGACAACATCAGGTAATGGTAAGTACTACGAATGGGAGGGAAAGAGAGGACAGATGAAATCTAGAAAGAAACCCAGGGAGTAGTAAGGAAAGGCATCTTTACAGAACTGCTATCTTGCTGCGCCATGGCTAGTTAACTATCGAGGAACGTGCATGCCAGGTAGAGGGAACAACCCTGCAAGGCCCGTTGGTGAGAACACTGGATGCATGTGGACCAGAAAGAAGGTCCATGTGGACAAGGCTCAGTGCAAGAGTCATGGGTGATGAAGACAGAGAAATGGCACATACCTCTAATGTCACTCCAAAAACAAGGGAATCCATTGGAGGGTTTTAAGGACGGAAGAGATGCGGCCTGCTCTGAGTTTTAAAAAGAGCACTGGCTACTCCATAGAGAATAGACTATAGAAGGACAGAAACGGAAACAGGAACACAAGAAGGAAGGCAAGAGATGCTAGCAACTTGGACCAAAAAGGTAGGAGTAGAGATGTGAAGGGATGAAATAATGAATGTAAATTGGAGGTATAATGGCAAAGATGGGAATTGAGGAACCTACAGAAATTAGGGAGGTGACAGATCAGAGTAAACAGGGAAGAAATGGATTAGAACAAGGAGCTGGGTTCTGGACAGATTAATATGGAAATGTCTATCACATATCCAGGTACAAATGTCCAGAGTAGAGTGGGCTGTGTGATGTGGAGAGATGTGTGGGCTGTGGGCATAAACTCGGGAGTCACACAGTATATTCTGAAGAGAGGGTGGCAAGACAGAGTAGAGAAAGGGGCTGAGAACATGACTCTGGGGTACACCATCACTGTCCAGCAAAGGAGAATGGGGGCAGGCTGATAAGGTGGAAGAAAAACAGGCCAGAGAGAACAGCTGTTACTGAAGAGCAAATACTGGCCACTGAACTTCACAACATGGAAACTGTTGCTGACTTAAGAATTATAGTGAAGAGTATGAAAGCACTTGGAACGGGATAGAGGAAGAAAGTAAATAGGGTAAATATAGATTGCTATTTGAAGAAATCTTGCCTTAGACAGAAATAATGGAAATAAAGGCATGCTTTATGCTTACATAAGAAGAAAAAAACACTAGTGATGCAAAAGAGAAGGAGCTGAGAGGATATAAACTAAGCCATAGGGAAAGGCTGGTCTTAGTTCTAGAAGCAGGGCTATTTTACTCCAGCAGAAGGAAAGGCAGGGTTTAGAGGCAAGCAGTGGGTGGAGTGCAATTGCTTCTGTTTTCTCAATGACGTATAGACCAAGAGGAGGGGTGGTAGTAGGAAGCTGTGCCATGCTGAGTGCTCATTTCAAAACGAGTGACAAGAAATATAAAGTGTGACATGTCTCCTGAATGTGTGTAGCAAGAGCACTTGACTGCATCAAGGTCCTAAAGATGGTTAGGTCTCAGATATGCAATCTACCTTCAAGTACTTGCCAAGTCTTCTTCTTTGCATTCAAAATAAGCCAGCCCCCTTGGCAGTTTCTCTGCTGACCTCTCTGAACCCCCTGCTAGCATCACATGCCAGTGATACCTCACCTGTCCCTCAACCATGCCCAAGGAGCAGAATCAGGTCTCCTAGGATGTGGCCTCTCTACTTCTATTAGTTGAAGCTCAAAGTTATATTAGCCTTTTTTAAAATCTCAAATAACATACCATCCCAAGTGGTTCCCTTTCAAATGTCCATAATTTTTCAGCTGTCAAATGTCACACACCATTTTAGAATATAAAGACTAAAACCTTTAGATGGTGGAATCCTGAGCCATGTCCTCTAGGGACTGGAGGCATATAAACAGAAGGCCAGGGATTCCACACATGGTGAATGCCATAGCAGAGAAAAAACCAGCCAGCCAAGGCCTCAACGTTGATCAACTGACTTCGCTCCACTTTCAACAAATGAGTTGTTATGGAGACCAAGTGCAAGACAACTAGCTAGGCTAATGTAACTAGTAGATAATCCACATCATTCCATCCTAGTAGATGGAGAGGTTTAACTAGTTGCTCCAAACCTGGCTACTCCGCTTGTTCCTTAGGCCTTAGCCTGGATGACTAGAAGGTAGAAGAGATCAAAGGCTAAGGGGAAGGTTTGAGCCTAAGTTTATCAGAGATATGCATTGGGTGGTCAGAACAGGCTCAGTACCGAACAGAGTGGCACAAATCATGTAGCCACTGTACCCACACACAGTGTGGATCTTACTTGGGTGAATGGGAAAGGGTGGGAATAACTGATAAGACATGATTGAAGCAGTACTATCCCAAAATGTAACTTGGCTCTGATGTGAATCTATACTTATATTTAATCCTTCTAAGATCTTTACAGGATAGGGGCTGGAAAGGTGGCTCAGTGGTAGAGTGCTTGCCTTGCATGCATGAGGCCCTGTCGATTCCTCAGCACCACATAAGCAGAAAAAGCTGGAAGTGGTGCTGTGGCTCAAGTGGTAGAGCGCTAGCCTTGAGCTGAAGAGCTGAGGGACAGCGCCCAGTCCCAGAGTTCAGGCACCATGACTGGCAAAAAAAAAAAAAGGAAAGAAAGATCTTTACAGGATAAATAAGTATAATCATTCATACCCCAAACCTTCACAAATGAAGAAAAAAAGAGGCAGAGAGATGGCTCAGGATCTAAACAGAGCAGGACAGAAGCCCAGGACTGTCTATTTTAAACCTGCTTTTTCCAGTGCAATTACAGTATGTCCACAATACAGGAATTTTCTAGACAGAAGACAAGTATTTCCTTGACCAACAAGAACACTATCATTCCCAGAAAATTCTCCAACTAGCACTACCACAAACTAGAGAAAGGGAATGTTGAGTTTCCAATGCCAGCTCCCATCTTTGTAAGATTATTGACAAAGCATGCAAAGCTGTTATGAGAGCCAGTGGGACTAGGCTATGAAGCATTTAGCGGGTGCTAGCCCAGAGCATGTACACAGGTTGGGCCCTCAATATGGCCCTGGGGTCCATGACCCCATCATCAGGCAGTGGTGCAAAACACAGTACTCAGAAACTAAGATTAGGCAGCAAGTTTGGGCTGGCAGATGAAACTTATTCTAACACCAGCACTGGCCAGCAATAGGCAGAAAGCCTACTGGAAAGAAAGCTGCAAAAGAGTGAACAGGTAACTGGATACAGGTATCAAAGGAATGCTTGCAGCACTGGTTCATAAAGTACTTTCTTTCAAAACTAGGTGCAATTCTTTTTTAATCAAGAGATTGAAAACTACAAATTTGGAAGACTGAGTCTCAGCACCTACAAGAAAGTAGATAGGGGCTACACAGGTTGAGCTCCTGTCCACTGGACTCTGCACTACATGGGTCAAAAACAGCACCCCCCCCCCCCAATCTACCTCACTTCATAAAGGGTCAGAGACAAACAAGTGTTGTCTTCTGCATCAGATACCAAGTGGGGACCCTAATGTGTAGGAAATCCTCCACCTCTGGAGCACCACCTCTGGTGACAATAAGCCAGAATAACCCCCAAGGGGACTCATGCATCGGCTGAGGAGGGTCGGGCATGGTGAGCTCACAGGAACAGCAAGTCTCCATGCTCCTTCCAGCTAATGAAACATCTGCAAGGCTCAGGCTATGATGTCAAAGTACCAAAGTGCTGTGCTCTGGCCAAGGGTTGTGACAGGAGTTTCTGATTCTAGCTCTCTATCTGTACCAGAAGAGAACCAAACAAACTACAAAAGAACCACTACAAACTAGACATGTTTTCCTTTCCCCTCATGGCAACCCTGAGAAGTGGTCAGACAAAGTAGGCACTTGGGAATAAAGGCACAGCACTTGCTTGGCTGCCAAGCTCAAGCAGCTGTCATGAGTGGACGACAGAGAGTCTGAAAGGAGAGAAATGGCTCATAAAGGATTCATTTACAAAATACAAATGTACTGAATGTTTCTTGGTTTTTGTTTCAAGGAAAACAACTTGTAGTGTTTGCTCACGTGGGAATGACTCCCAGCAGATATGAGAATTCTAGTTCAAGTTTAACATAAAATAGCAGAAGTACAACTACAATGGTATTTCTAAGCCACTATGAAAACAGAAGATTCCAGGAGGGCTGATTCCTCTCCTCACAGCTGGGCAGGCCTTCCCAGGGCTCCAGGACTAATTCTCCAGGAAAGCTTTCTCTCTCTCTCTTCATAATGGCCCTAGTGTGAGGCATTGCTGAAGTCCCCTCCCAGCGCACAGCCTAATTACTTAATTGCACGACTGGCAAGATTCCTTCCAAGCCATTTCAGGGGCTCCCTCAGGTACAATGCACAGTGCACCTAAAAGCATTTAGCAAAATAAGCATGTTCTCCCCCCTAAACCAGACAGGCGAAGTGACGCCTGGATCCACGTCTACCTGGACTCCAGCAGCAATGAGGCCTTCTCATGGAAGAAAGGAGTAAGCAGCCCCAGAAGTTCTTCTAGGCGCTGGTCTCCACAGTGGCCAGGCTTGGGGACTCCATCATGGTCTAAAATATTGGCATCTGTGTGCCTTAAATATCCATTTTTGCAGCCTCCTTTAGCATGGTCCTCTATCATCTGCAAATAAAAGTATTTGGTCAAACAAATACAAAGGAGGGGAGGGATGTGGGGGGGGGAGAGGAAAGGGTAAGAGAAGAGGGCGAATGAGTAAAAGTATGAAGGAGACAAAGGGAAAAGAGCAGGGGGATGTGGGGGTGCAGGCACACAGGTCCAACAGGCGCATGCTCCCTGTAAGGAGGTGTTTGTATCTTCTTGCCCTCAGTTTCCTCACCTGTGTAATGGGGTAGTATGCTACCTCCAGATGCGGTTATGAGTGGAAGATGACCAAGTCAAGCTAAGAGTCTGCTAGCTACAGATGCACCGTGGACATGTATTCTCCTACCCCACAGCCCTCTCCTTAAAAGTGATTCCTTAAGAAAGGCATGGAACGCATGTCATCAACAATGCTGTGGATATTTATTACATACTTCTTATTCCTCTTCTTTATTACACAGAGAATGCTACCTTAGTCAAAGGATGTGTACTAAATTAGTGGCTTTGCTAAGAAAGGTGGAGAGCTCAGTTCCCTCAAAGATGTAATTGTGAATCTACCTTCTTGGGTCACTGGGATCCCAGAGGGGTGGCACTGGGGAGGCATCCATTCAGGCCTGTTCTGGGCATGTCCTGAAGTGTTACGATTAGCATTTTCTCTCCTTTATCCAAAGCTGTAAATTTCATCTACTGGGCTATAAATAACTCCTCTTGATTTCATTACTGCTGGTGATATACACACCAGCCATCACCCCCATCTCTCTACACTGGGAAGATGATTAAGGTTTGTTAAATGGAAGACAAGACCCACATAAATGAGTAGTTATTTATAGGGTCTTGTTTGCCCCCAATCTAATTATTAAGTCTACCAAATAAGCACAAGAAGGAAAAATCTAGAATGTAATCCTAAAAATAGTTATTTATCATTTACTAAGAACGTATTAGCTGCCTTTCTACTTAAGCAGCAAAATAATCCTAAACAGAAGTGTTACTATCACCAGTGATAGGAAACTCACATTTACAGGTTATTGGAGGTGTAGCCAAAGTCACAGGGACACCAGTGTGATACCAAGGCTCAAAATCAGGTGTATCTCACTCCAAAGCCCTCATTTTCCATTGCTTTGCTCTCCAAAGTTGTCTACAGTTTAGCATCTCCAATTCAGGACTCCATGAACTTGAGCATACTGAATACCCAAAATGACAAACAGGAACCCCCAGCTTCCACTGCATCCAGTTGTGAAGTTCTAAATGTTTCTAAAGACTGTATACTCCAAATGTTCAACAGGAAGGCGAATGGAAGAGCATTCTATGGGAACAGGAGTAAATTCTCCCAATCCCCAGATGACATCCACCTTGCTTCCAGATGAGGACTTCCAAAGGACTGCTTGACACTACTGAGGTCCCCGATACTGCAATCGAATCCTCCGAGAGTTCGAGACAGTATACACACAAGGGTTCTTGTGCCAGTTCTGTCACTGACTTACTCAGTGCCTGGAATAATCATCTCCCCTCACAGGCCTGTTTCTAATTAATAAAATGCATAGGCTCGATTAGATAGCAAAACATCTGTCCTAACCCAATATCCAATCCCTATTAGTATACAACCACCATATTTTTATTTGCAACTGCATTAGTTCTCATGTTTCATGACTTCTGACTTCCACTGGCATACAGCAAGCACTCAATACAAGTGGAATGAGCAAAAACCCACTGGACCCTTTCCAGATAGAACACCGTACCAGCTAGGCACTGAGGGGAGCACATGGAATAGGAGAAAACTGCCATGTTCATACCTCATTACTCTGCTGCAATCGCTGGTCACTCTGGAAATTGTTCTCGCCATCCTCTTCAATTTTGATCATGTCCTCGTCCTCCTTGCTAGCCAGAAGCTATGTGGAGCATGGAATGGTGTGAAAATGCAACCCAAAAACAGTGTGCAGCATGAATATGCATGAGTATGTCAATGATGTCTTTTATCCAAAATGCAGAACAAAAACACAAACAAACAAAAAAAAAAGAGGCAGAAAGAAACAAATGCCAAAGCCAGGAAATAAAAATTAACCAAAGTTAGAGAGGCTGGTTCTAACAAATCACACACAGCTGCCTGGGATCAAGCATAATTTAAGGACAAGATTTCCCAAGAAATAACTAACGGCATTTCCCTGGTCCTGGCGTGGTCTTTCTGCACGGCCGTAAATTGAATACGCAGTCTGTTGTGCTGCTGCCATTTCTGCCTTTGCTAAATCCACTTTTGGATTATATAAAAGTAACAAGATTTTGGGAAATAGCTTTTGATGGAATTGAAAATATCAAACAGCAAAAAAAAGGGCAGTAAATGAAATTTATGGTGTGCCCAATTTATTCATCACTTCCCCTTATTTAGCCAGGGCATAAACCTCTTGTTAGACTGTCACACATCAGAGATGGACAGTCCTGGCAACGCTGCCATTTTGCTGACAAAAAGTCCTCATGGCTAATGAGAAGAGTATCAGGCTTGCCTGATGATAACTTGATGCTTTTAGAAATGAAGGACAGTTATTTACAGCAACTACATAAATCTCAAGTGCTTTAAAGAAGCATAAATCGCTAAGCTTCTTTCTGTATTCTACCTTCTCCAGAACAGACAACATAAAGTTCTCAAGCTAGCAGGACTCAGCTCTCCACAACAGCAGAAATTCTAGTCATAGGACATCTTGATTAACCAAGTACAAAATAGCAGTAAGGGTAGACATGCCCAGGAAGGAAGACAAAGCTGTTTCCAAACCTTATGGTGCCAAGGAAGCAGTTAGCTCTGCACTGAACAGGTTAAAGCCACAGAATGCCGGCTCACTTGTGGGTCAGCTGTACATAGGAGATAGTTATGGTTTCATATCAACAGTTGGATTCTATGAGTTCCAAGGTTCAGTCAATTACACCCACAACTCTCCCAGCCCAGTTCAAATTCTTCTGATCTTCCTCTTAGAGGAAAAATCTTGTTTTGTCAGAAGAAAAGTAAAACGAAGCCAGCCAACTTTAGAATGTCATTTTGTAGAAAGGTCTAAAGGTCAGAACATATGCAACCTATCACATGCAAATGTGAATCAGGATCAAAGAGAACCAATGCCCCTCCTGCCCCAGCCCTGTCAGAGACTGAGTACAGCAGACATGCATGATGCTTTGATGCTACAACACATGGTAATCCTCTTTACTGGCTTCTTCCCTTGTTATTAAAACATTCTCAAGTGACATAGACCAACTAGGACTTACCAAATTCATTGTTAAAAGTATAAAAATAATAAACCACGTGGGGAAAAAATGGTAATTCTCCCCCTCTCTCAGCCTGCTTTTTAATAATAGCTGGCAGAAACACAGCAGTGGCCATTTCTTACGAAACACAACTCAAGAATTCTATTCCAAGACATTTAACCAAGGAAAACAAGGCATGTCCACACAAAGCCCGCTGTGTGAATGTTCACATTACCTTTACCTGTGTCTACTGACAGCAGAATGAATAAACAAACTATATGTATGCGCACACACACATATATAGATACAGATATAGACACAGATATTTATGCAGAGGAACTACTGACTGGATGAATGGTATATGCTGAGTGAAAAAAAGCTACATAAAAGAGAATAGTGTATGATAACATTTATACAAAAGTCTAATACAAGCTAGGTGTGGTGGTATACACCTGTAATCCCCGCTACTTAGTAGAGACAGAAAGATGGCAGAAAGATGTGGGGCCAGCCCAGGCAAAAAGTTAGTGAGAGTTTATCTCAAAAACAGAAAAGCAGCTGTGTACAGTGGTACATATCTGTAATCCAAGCTACTTGGGAGGTGAACGTTGGACTACCTGGGGGGCTTTTCTTCCTTTGTGAACTCTAAGACCAGTTACACCGTACAAAAAAGCTCTGTTTCTCCTCTGGTGTCCTAAGACAAAAACCGTGTGTATGCTTTTCATCATTCTCCCCACAAGGACCACTGTCCACCTGAGCTCTCTTGGCAGCTGGATCATCCTTCCTAGGGATGCCACATCATGACTGTGGTGATGGCAGGCAGTGACAACTCTTGAGGACCAGAAGACAGTAAGGTTTGAGGTCCCTTCCCACAGGTGGTGATCCTGACCTTTTGAAGGGGGACTCTTTTCCAGAGAAACAACATTCATTCCTTTTCACTCTCTGGTTCTTCCTGAGTCAGGCTGGTGGCGGTGTTATCTCCTAAGGGAGAGAGAAGACTACCAGAGAGGCAGGGCTGGTTGTTGCTGGCTGTACGCAGGGGTACAGAGCTCTGGTAATTGATCTCTTGTTAGCAGCTCAGGTACCACCCTACAGCTGGCCCTGGATGACAAGGTTATTGATGAAAGACCAATCCCTTGCAGATGAAGCTCGGGGCACCATCTCTATATAGCTTATCAGTGGCATAAAAGCTGCCACTACTGACACTACTTTTCATGTGTCCATTAAAAAATGATTGAACATTAAAAACAAAGTATGTGGCTGGGTGCTGGTGGCTCACACCTGTAATCCTAGCTACTCAGGAGGCTGAGATCTGAGGTTTGCAGTTTGAAGCCAGCCCAGGCAGAGAAGTCCCTGTGAGATGCTTATCTCCAATTAACCCCTCAATAACTGGAAATAGAGCTGTGGCTCAAAGAGCACTAGCCTTGAGCAAAAGAGCTCAGGGAAAATGCGTACACCCTGAGTTTAAGCCCCACAACCACACCCTCTCCCCAAAACACACACACACACACACACACACACACACATACACACACACGCGCGCACACACGCGCGCGCGCGCACACACACACACACACACACACACACAGTATGTGGATGTTTGCCTTAAAATTCTGTTAAATCTGCATTTTTCATAATAAATTGTCAGGGGGGAGTTTCTCTCATCTTTTCAGTTTGGTTTGATTTTGCTTTATTTTCTTGGGATCGAACCCAGGGCCTTGTGCAAAGCAGGAAAGTATTGTACCCCCCAACCCTCTCCGAGCTTTTTTATTCTTTAAGGTCCTCCCTAAGTCCCCAGCAGCCTGGTCATTAAGCTCTTTCCCTCTCCAAGCCTCTGGAAAGTGTCACTACAACAAGTTATCTGAATGACCCATCAAGGTCTTGAAGACCTTCTAGTCCAAGAGGTAAAACCCACAGGGGGTGAGGCAGGAAGCGTGCAGAAGCCCCGCCCTACCACTGTGAACTAGAGACAGCTCCTCAACACACAAGTGGAAATCTACCAAGCATCCAAGTCATTCTGCCTTTCCAGAGCCACAGCCACCCCATCACTCCACACTCTGAAGCAAACACTAACCTCACCTTCTCCTTACCTCTGCTGACTTCGTCCAAATCAAAATGAGCTGTTTCCAGCAGGGGTCAGATCAATGCTGTGGACACAGCAACACCCCTAATGTTATGTGTGACTTAGCAATTTTCAAAGGTAAAGGCGCAAGATGTCAAAGAGCTATGAGTCACGGTGCCTAGGCAAGTTCAGCCACACCTCCCTGTGCCCACCAGTCTTCCATTTCCCTTGTTGCTTGCGCCCTCTCTCCTCTGCTCGCTCTCAGATCACCCTGTCCCTCTCACTCTCATGAACTCCTTGGAAATGCTGCTGTGTATCTTTCTTTCCTATGCTCTAAGGATGTGACACCTCCCTCTGCAGAACTAACTTCCCTACTAACTTCCCTGAAGGTAAGCTGGACACTGGTCTCTGTGACACAGTAGACATAGTAGGGCCATGTCTGTCCTCAGTTTCCCCATCAGAACCTGCTGCCCCCGAAAACACTGCTGAAAGAACAAGGAACGAAGAAGGATGTTTTCAGAATGAGAACTGGAGCCAAGCAGTTCTCAGGGCTCCCCCCACTCTCGCTACTCAAAGAAAGACCCTCAGAAGGGCAGAGCAGCGTGACCTTGAGCTTGTCAGACCTGTGGGCGATCCAGGCCTGGGCCGACTACACACACAAAACCTGCATCCTTCCAAGATCACAGGAAACCCTCACATCCCTTCAACTTTAGAAGTGCCTAGTGCCCAGGTGTTGAGGCAACTGAGCAGAGCCAGTTGTCTGTCACCAACTTACTAAAAGAAAAAAAAATAGCTGTGTTTCCATGAGTGCCTACTACAGGCCAGGCACCATGCCAGGGGATTTGTAAGTCATGGAAAACTCATGATAACTTAGGAAGCTGAATTGATACAAAGCTCCTCTTTTTAAGGAGATTAAATCTAGTCTGACAAGGCAGACTTTATCCTACTGCTCTTCAGAGTATTCAAACAGCACCCTCTGCTTCTGCACCATTACTGTCCATTACAGTCACACAAGATCTACTTCTTGTTCAACATGATGACTCTACACAGATCTGAGCTCCGTTATGTTCCCTTATCCAGGTTTTTTCTCCTGAACAAAATGTAGTCCCAACCTTCTAGCCACCTAAGAATGACAACAATCAGGCCAGGAATAACAGTGGCCAGTCCTTGCGCTAGTCCCGCCTCTCACAAACCCTATCACCTGGCGGTGGCAGGTGCCCAGACTGCTCACAACACACTGTCCACGCTCACCACCCTGACATACCCTGAGCGATCCACACCTCCTTACAGCAAGTAACAGCCATCAAGTAAGTACAAGGTTGGGGCCATGCACCTCCCACCACACAGCACACTCATCTGAAAAAAGACAGGACAAAGTCTGCTGGGAACCCTGAACTACTTCTGCCCCTTTTAAAATTAGAAGCTGTGAGGGGAAAGTATCTGAAAATAAGTGTTATGTGTATCGCAAATCTATATCTGTCCTTCGACCTAGTAATTATACACCTGAGAATATAGTCTAAGGGAAAATATCCTAGGCTCAGAGAAAGACTGTAATAAAGACCCTTAGTATGTGATTTGTTAAAAAGTGAATCACTTGAAATGAAATTTTCCAACTAGAGTAAGGCTATGATGGCAGAAGATGCCATGGCTTTAGGACAACTGAAGAAAACAGAACACACACCTGTACTGCAATGTAAGTGCACAGGACAAGTCCAAATTGTGAACTGTGTCTGTTTTAAAGTGATGGAACCAGAGGGTCTTTATTTTTTGCGTTTGCTGAATTTAAAAACACAAAATATATTTGTTTTTCCTCAGTCTCCCTCTTCTTCTGATTTATGAGACCCAAGAGATGCACCACGATGCCCAGCCCTGCTCAGCAAGCCCTGCTGCTCAGCAGAGGCCGTGGACAACAGAAAAGCTCTGGTCTGCTTCTGCCTGTTTGTTTCTGGCAGCGGGAGACCCACATGCCCTCCTTGAACAGCAGGCCTCTTCTGCCGTTCCCCCTCTACCACCTCTCCACAGTTGCCCTCTCCTCCTCCATTCTGAACTGCAGTGAGCACGCCATCTTCCCATGCAGATCTTCCGAGCACTGTGCTGGAAAGCACAAGGCTATTCGCAGGAAACATCAAATTGAAGTGCAATCTGACAAATGACTCAAATCAGAATCGGCTGGTATTAAGATCTCAGAGTGGGCAGAGGAAAAAGCCAGTGTGCTCCAAAGGACAGAACGGGACATTTAACAAAGGGCAAATGAACAAACAAAATTCGCCATTTACGACTCAAGCGGAGTTGGGGAGGAACAAGTTGCTTATTCAAACTGCTGCCTCGGAGGAAGCAAACCAGGAGACTTGTTTCTCCCTAAGTGGCTTGCAGTTACTCTTGGTTTTCAAAATTATCTGGAGCCCTGGAGGCCAAGATCAATAATAATCCCTGACTCGAAGAGAGCAGATGGCCAGAGCGCAGCGTAAATACCTCTGAGCAGCTCCCACTCTGGAGGTGGGAGGAGACAGCTGGAGGCTGACAAACCTTCCCAAGAAATGATATGACGCCAGACATGAACCCGCACTCAGCCGGTGCTCCTGGCTGAGTTCAAGACAACCCAACCAGGCTTTCTTCTGCACCTACGGTGAGAACAGCCACAGGCTTCAGAGACAGTGCGCCTGCACACAGGACACGCCTCTTCCTGGGAGGTAGGCCAGAGAGAGCTAAAGGGAGAGACAGTATGATCTTCCCTTCCTCACCAGCACAACTCCAGGGCTTAACCTGGGCAGCACCCACCCTACTACACACGAGTCTCAGAGATGACACATGGCAAAGATCAGCACTGAGACCCAGAAATCATCAGGGTGAGTCTCCACACAGGGTATGTATACAGCTGTGTTCCAATGCTGATGGACTGATTAGGACTGCATCTACCTTGGCCAAATTATCCAGATGACATGGCCCCTCTCCAGGTCCCTGTGAGACCACACCTCTTTTCTACATGTGCTTTCTGTAGCATCAATCCCAGGGCTGGGTTACAGTCAAAAGGACAACAAAGTCAGGTATATCTATAATCCTAATTACTCAGGTAAATGATGGTTCAAAGCCAGCCTAGGGAAAAAGTTAGTGAGACCCTATCTCAAAAACAAACCAAGTGTGGTGATTCATGACTATAATTTGAGCTATGCATCTGACAGGTAGTAAGATGATGGTCTAAGGTTGGGCCTGGGCAAAACAAGACTCTTACATGAAAAATAACTACAGCAAAAAGGGGTTGGAGACATAGACCGTATGGTAGAATGTTGCAAGCATTAAATCCCAGGCAAATTCCAGTACTGCCCCAAAAAGCCTCACAACACACCAAACAATGGAGACATGGCTGGAACCAGAGGAGGCCTGCACACAGACCTGCTGGGCAAACCAGGGTCCGGGCATCCCACGGCACAACAAAGGGAATTTCAGTCAGAGACAAGCTCCAGGACAGATGCAGCCCTGAGAGAGAAATGAGCTGCTTTGTCTTTGCAATTAGATGACCACAGGTTTCTTCTTACCTCTGCCTGTTGTGTGGACTCAAGTCTGCCATTTCCCTGAACACCCATGCAGGAGATGTCAAAAATGGTTTTCTTCAAGTGCTGGTTGTCTGTGTATAATTCCTTCACGAGCTGTATGAGGTCACTGACCTGGGAGAAAAGGAGCCACCTCTGTAACTGCCGCCAGTGGGCCAGCCCTACCCAAAGTCGCAGCTGCCCCCAGCTGTACACAGGGTTCCTACAGCAAGTCACCAGACTCGTGGGCACAGCACACTGAGGTGCTCAGCTCTTTCAGGCTCAGTTAGTGGCAGCCCACACCACCCACATTCCAGGGGAGCCCTCCAGAGAAAAACTCCAGGGCTGAAGTTCCCACAACCGTGTCAGAGCCTTATGTAACCACACGGAGCTCCTTCTTTGTACACCTATCTAACATTGTTGGTAAGAATGAGTTGTCCATCAGAAAGTAATATATAATTACTAAAATGCTCGTGGAAGCTTTAAGCAATCACTCCCTGCAAAAATGCTGACCAGGAGGACAGGCTAGGATACCTGTCCCATCTTCCAAGATGGAACATGGGACATGAAGAAGCTGACTACCTCCGCTGGGATGCCTGGAGAGGCACCTAAGAAATAACAAGGGGAAAGCGTCAGAGCACATGGGGCGGGAGGCTGACCCCAGAAGAGCCAGGTCCTGGGGTCAGGATCCCCCAGGTGCAATCCCCAGGCTCCAGCTAGAGCCCTCCTTCAGCCTTGCTAGGCTGCACAGGCAATCTACAGACACTCTGGTCTCCTGAAACTTCAAACTCTGAGAATTTTCCAAACACACCTTAATTGGGACAAACATTAGCCCTGGGATGAAGTGGAAAATCCCACCCTGACGACACATGGTAGATGTTCAATACATCAAAATATGAACAAAAATTTTATCAGTACTCAAGAAAGACACAGATGAGACATTCATTCTGATCTACAGTGGTTATCAAGTGCATTACCTGCCACCCTGGCCCAGCCTCATCTGTCTGAGCAGGTGCTACCATCATCCCCACTGTCTACATCTTCAAAATTGACACTGCCGCAAGGCTCTTCACCCTGCTGTTCCCCAAATACAGTGTTTCTTGCTATTTCTATCTCTTTGCCTTATAGAGACTGTGTTCTCTCTGCAGAGAAAACCTTCTACCTAAACAAACTCATATTCATTCTTCAAAACCTGGATCTGTTGAGAAGCTTCTCTCAACTAAGCAAGGGATGATCTTCTCTTCTGCTACCTCAAAACTTTGCACAGCCGCCTCTTACAGCATTCCTTGTGCTCCATGTTGAAATGATCTGTTTTCATGTTTTTGTCTTCTGTGTCAGAATGTGAACTACTTCATGACAGAATCTCAGTCCCACACATAGGATAATTTTATAATAAATTACATTTCCTATTCTTAACAATGGTTGTTCTTAGAACCATGAAACCAAATCATGATTAGCAAACTGAAAAGCTTAGTTTAAAAATAGGTGTACCAATGAAACTGGGAACTATATGCATTCAAAAACCACCTGCCGGCTCCTTCTCTGTGTCCCAGGTACAGAAGCATCAGGAATAAATAGGGCCTAAGTGATCAGATAATGACCAATCACAGAAGGACATCAATCTGGATTAGAAGCAGAGGAGAGATGGATGTCCCAAGGAAAGGTGGTTGGCTGCTCTCAAAAGAAGAGCAGGCCTGGGCTGAGGGCTCTAGCCTGGGCAGGATGATCAGCCCTGGGGGGGAGAGGGGAAGAAGAGAGGTCTTGCCAGGCAGCACACAGGAGCAGAGCAGCAGGGAAGAGAAGAAATACCTTTCAGAGCCTCACACCTCAGAGATCAGGAACCCAAGAGTCAACAAACAACAACAGAAACAAAAAGCACAAAAGTTAATAGGTCAATACCTTTCTCTTAAGTTCTTCTTGAGAAAAACGCTCCACTTGAAACCGATCGGGTTCTTCAAGGCAAATACTTAGATAAGATGTTTGATCGCTATAAAATGAAAATGGTTCCTCTGTTCCAAAATAAGATAAGAAGGTAGAGAGGGAGGAGAAAAAGAGTATCAGCAACAGCCTTCCAAGCCCAATACCAGTGCAATCCCCTTAAAACAGGGCAAGGGGCAGGAAAACACACAGGGAGTTTAAGCACCACCTTCAGAGAAAAAAAAGCAATTTTCTCTGCTCTACAGGCTGATATACCAATGTCGGCTTCATCTTGGGCTGCAAGTTTTCTCTGTGGCCAATTCTGACTTATGATTTGTCTATCAAATGCTGAGACAGGAGACCATTATGAATGGTACAAGCAAATAGTGACTTCAGTTTAAATGAGCAAGTGATTCTGTTTAGGTGAGAATACAGAAAAATCAGAACTCAAGGCAAACAGCTGTATTTTCCTGACCCCGAGCCCTCATGGGAAGCAGGCACAGAGTTAAAAACCTGCCTGCTGAAGCTAGACAGAGGGTCCCAGCCACCACACACCACATTCTAATCATGGAGGAAGAAGTAGAGCGGATATTCACACCCACACATGCCACTTTATTTAACAAACACGGGTAAGTATTGGTGTGTTTCCAGTATAGGGTGGAGTAACTGAGAGCCCTGGATCTCAAAGGCACATACCCCTGGCTCAGATCTGGGCAAATCAACCCACCCCACCTCCAGCCCACCTTCTTTACCTGTAAAGTTAAGTTGATACCTACTCAACCTAGCAAGACTACTATAAGGATCCCAGGTGTTGAGGCAGAGCTTAGTGCTGTGCCTTGGATACAGTAGATACCAAAGAAATGCCAAACCACTGCTTTCCCCAATTCCCCCTCCCTCCCCCCCCCCCCCCCGCAGTGCCAGGCACTGCACAAGAGCTACAGAAAGATAAGACACCAACCCAGACTGCAAGAGGCTCAACATCTAGCAAGGGAGGGAGCCACTGTGATGGGCACAGTGGCCATCCCACAGACCTGCAGCCTGCAGCTCCTTGGATGAGTCTGCAAGGCTAAGAACAGTGTTTCAACATGCAATCTGGCCACAGGTCTGTGCAGCAGGCTGAGCCCACTCAATGATGGTTATTTACCACACAAAGGGACTGCAAGTTCCTGAGGTTTTCTAGACAGGAAACAGCAGGGGCGGCCAGGAAACAATCCTGCCACAGATCTGCTGAAAAACCAATAGTTCACCAGGCCCCTCAACTAGAAAGGCTGAAGCGAGGATGAATAAGACTAGATGAGCCACCTTCAAAAGAGTTCTAGGAATCACTTCAGACAAGGCCCTCCATGTGGAAAATCCAAAGGGAAATACATGGAAGGGAGTGTGTACCTTCTCGTCTCCGAATTTCGCTGATCTGTTCCTCCAGGGCCTTTTGCAAATTCCGATGTGCGAGCACATCCTGCTCCAGCTGCTTCCGCAAGGCAAAAATGTGGCCTAACTCAGCCTGCAGGTTGTTGACACTTGGTAAAACAAGACAGCAGAAATGTAATACAGACCGTTGGTACTTTAAGAAGCAAAGCCCAGTAAGCCTTCTGTGATGTTTATGTCACTTGTGCTATTTCTAGTAACAAAAGTAAACATGTGCTTATTATAGAAACATTAAAATGTAACAGTATAAACAGAACACAAATTACCATGATTCCACAGCCAGCTAACATCCCAGACACTGTATTCCCCCTCCAACTTTTTCTCTAAAATCTTTCACAGGGTGTAAATGACATTAGGTATACAATGTGGAACTCTTGCCTTTCTTGGTTTAAGTATTTCCCACATTTCCGAAAATTATTTGCAATCATTTTAATGATTAAATGAGATGAATGTTTCACCATTTGTTTCAACTCATCCCCCTATACATGTTTGGGTCAGTCCCACGGTTTTGATACGACTATTACTAGGCGGGTATTCCCTAATTCTCCAGAATATTCCCACTATTTTGGGATAATGTCTTGAGAAGGCTGGGTATGGAAGGTGAGATTCTCCAGGGCTAGGGCATCACCTGGCACTCCAAATTCAGAAAGAAACATATGGGATTTCTGTGTTTCCACTAAAGAGGCCATATGGGAGATAAGACAGACAAGAGGAAGAAAGAAAAAAATGCATGGAGGAAGATGATGATTCCACAGTTAAGACACTGATCTAGGGGCAACCCAACTCCACTGTAGTGTATTCTCAATGTGAATGGATTTTTATTCTGGAAGGAGAGACATCAGTGTGATACAGTTCTTAGCTGTATAGACAGCTTGTGTGGAACCAGAAGCCAAGATGCAAGGAGGCCATGAAAATGTGGGCCGGACCTCCCAGATCTTCATTAATCATTGAAGCCTGATGGGTCCTGCCCAACAGAAGTTATACAGTTTCTGACAACAGAAATGTTGTGTCTCTGCCCTGTCTAATACAGACACTAGTGGATGGGCTTACTGAACATCTGAAATAGCACTTAATATCCCAAGGAAGTAAAGGTTTCACATGTAAAGTAAGTGTCGGGTTAACCATGAGGCTGGTGGCTATCACACAGACAGTGCAGTTCCACAGAAAGACTCTAGATGTCTTACCGATACAGGGGACACTGATCTAAAGGATTCAAACCCAGCTCCCAGAGGAACACGTGGCCCTCTCTGCTGACACCTGCATGCATACTTTGCCTCGGTGCACATCTCTGCCCTGAGGAGGGCTCTGATTTCTTTGGAATTCCCAGCAGTGGAATCAGCAGTGTCAATGAACATGGACATTTTTAAAACCATTAAAACATCTTTACCAGCCAGGCACTGGTGGCTCACGCCTGTAATCCTAGCTACTCAGGAGACTGAGATCTGAGGATTATGGTTCGAAGCCAGCCTAGGCAGGAAAGTGTGAGACTCTTATCTCCAATAAACCACTGAGAAAACCAGAAGTGGCGCTGTGGCACTAGCCTTGAACTGAAGAGCTGAGGGACAACACCCAGGCCCATAGTTCAAGCACTATGACAATCTTTAACAAGTCATGCCTCCTTTAATAAACATAGAAATATTTCACTCTCTGTCCAGTGTCGGGCCTACAGTTCCCTGAATAAGTGCACCAATAGTGAAATATTTTTTTAAAAAAAAATATGCGGGCTAGGAAGTTGGCTCAGTGGTAGAGTGCTTGACTCAAATGCATGAGGGCCTGGGTTCGATTCCTCAACACCACATAAGCAGAAAAAAGCCAAAAGTGGTACTACGGCTCAAGTGATAGGGCGCTAGCCTTGAGCTGAAGAGCTGAGGAACAGCACCTAGGACCAGAGTTCAGCCCCCATGACCTAATGTGTGTGTGTGTGTGTGTGTGTGTGTGTGTGTGTGTATACATATATATATGTATATATAATATACATATATACATATATTATACATATACACATATATTATATATACACACATATATATATTATGCAATATGTATTATATAATATATAATATATATATATGGATTTTTCTAGGAAAAGGGACCATAAGCTTTTCACCAGATTTTTTCCCAAGGATTCTTGGTCACTTTGCACCAAATGTGTAGGAGCTACTGCTCTTCTGAATATGTGCCATAGACTCAAGCTCCCTTCTCCTGTGGAGAATTTTTCAGCTCCATCCACAGAACTGCACACATAAATCAACATGCACTGGAAGAAACATAAACCATTATGCCTACTCTATGCTTTCTGCTTTGAGGATGGTTCATTGCGAAGCCATCTCTGTAAGAGGGAAGGGTCCCTACTCCCAGCCTGTGCCTAGTTTCATTTCAAACAGTCATAATCATCCATTTGTACAGCTGACAGAGAACCTTCCAGAAGTGGCAGTGCACAGTGCTGGCTCAGAGGCCCGCTGCTGAGCCATTTCTCAGGGAGGAGGAAAGGTGGTGGTGTCAGCTAAGCCCCCATGATTAGGGCTGGGGAGAGCTGACTGCCAGTGACTGCCACTGTCCCTCTTCCCGACAGGTGAGAAGAACACCGCTGCTCCTCTGTGCCTGTCGTTTCTATTTTCCCAACTCCACAATCTCTCAAGTGTGAGGAGTTGGGAGAACAAAGGTGTTTTGCTCAAAGAAACAGAACCCAGCTCATTCTTGTTCCAGGAATGGGTGGGGAAAAGGAGCAGCCAGGGGCAGAAATGAGGAGTCAGAGGAGGCTGAGCTCAAAGGACACTCATGCCACCCTCACTGGCTCCGCGCCCTGCCTCACCTGTGAAATGGGGACAGCGATACCTTCCTGTGGAGACTCTTGAGGGTTAAATAAGATGCAACCTGGGAAAGAGCTTGGCACAGTGCCTCACACACACCAGATGCTCAGGAGACATTTCCCTCCTGATACCCCAACAACCTTCACAGACAAAACACGGGACTTAGGAGGCTCAGGTTCCTGAATTTCAGAAGTTACAGCTGTGATTCTATTTTCATGTGGAGATGATATTTTTTCTCCCAGAGAACATTTGACAATGTCTGAAAACATTTTTGATTGTCTCACTGGGGTGGCAGGGGTGGTGTGCTACTGGCCTATGGGTAAAACCAGAGATATGACTAAATGCTTTATAATATACAGGACAGACCCTCATGACGATGATGATGATGATGATGATGATCTAGTTCCAAATCTTAATGCTGCTGAGTATGGCAACCTTGAGAGTGTGCTATGGAAATCCTTACACCAATACCAAAAAGACTAAGTAATTTGCCCCTGCCACAGCCAAGCTCAAAAACCAGGAATCCAAGGCCATCTGGGTCCACAGCTATCCCCACCCACTCCTCTGCTCCTATACTGTTTTAAAGCATATCACAGATAAGATACCCTTCCGCACTCAAGATGAGGGCTGGAGGAGGGGAGACAAGTATTACCACAAGCCTAGGCTAAGAAGGCAAGGGGGCCTGAGCGCTCACCATCCTTCACTGCAGGACCGTCTTAGACAGCACATTCCCCTTCTGCAACATGAGGCTAAGCACCAATTCTGAGAGTTGCTTTGAAGATTGAACAGTGAAGGTTCGAAGGTCCCACTCTTGGAGGTGAATCTCCCTCCTCCCTTTCTCTCTTTGATCAGAAGTTCATTCTGGCTTTCCAGTAACCAACCCTCACTACCAGCTTCCAGAGAGCCCACAGGGCTGGAGTTATAAAAGGAGTGCCACCTTCCCTCACCCACAATTATGCCCTCCAAATATGCCAGGTCTGAGGATCTAAACACTCCTATAGGCTAAGCTTATGCCTGAAGCCTCTCATGCTTTTATTTGATTTGTTGTGTTTCACTGTATTGGAGTTTGAACTCAGGGATTTGGGCTTGCTAGGCAGGCACTCTACCACCTGAGCCCTGCATCCAGCCCTTTTTTCTTTCGTTTTCAGATAAAGTCTCAGGTATTTGCTCAGGGCAGGACTCATACTGCAATCTTCCTACCTACAGATTCCCAAGTAGCTTGGGACCACAGGTGCACACTAGGCTAGCCTTGAAATATAATCATTCTGGTCTCCATTCCCCCAAGATGCTGTGATTTTTAAGTATTAGCCACCCAGATCCACATCTCCATTTCTCCATGTTGTTACTCTTAATATGTTATTGTTTAGTAAGACCCAAGTAGTATTAGATTGATATTGGTTGTAGCAAAACAACCTAAAAACAGGTAGGTAGTAGGTAAGAAGAAAAGCAAACAAGTAAGGTCGTGGGTAGGGATATAGGTAGGTAGGTAGGGATAGATAGGCAGGCAGGTCATCACTCTATTTTACAAACCCACTGAAGCTCACTGAGAAAAGCTTACCCAAAAGCTCAGAACTGCTAAATGGTAGAGCTGGGCTGAGGTCCCAGGTCTGTCTCCCCCTAAATTCATTACAAGTCTGAAGATAAATAAGAAACATTTCAAGCATCCTGGTTAGTCACAGCTCTGACCCACTTCAGTCTCACCTACATTTCTATGCGTAAGTGAAGAGCCTGTGAAACCCAGAGGCATTCAAGATGTTGAGAGCAACCATATCCACCCACGGCACCATGAGGGACCCAAAACTAGCCTGTCTCCAGCCTGTTAAAACAAAATGTGTTCCATCCCTTTTGAGATTCTCCACGTGACTCAGTGATACAGCCAGCAGCTGAGGCTTCTTGAAAAAGCTCACGTTCAAAGAGAGGCCTACACCTTGAGTTTTATCAGAGTGTTTTCTTTTTCTCTAAACTCATTTCAGATCTCGAAATCTGGAAATTACCTCCTAACTTAGAAGATCTGTGTAGGGGAAGGGCCTTCCTGCACAGAACACATCCACAGGACTTGCTGTGCCAGGCTTAGGAAGAGAGCTGGAAAGGACCCCCACCCTGAGGGAGCTCCAAGAGGCACAAGGGAAGAAACACAGAGAGGCAGCTGAACTCAGGGTCAGCTGGGCCTTCTAATCAGGGTGACACAGGCCAATCCTGAGGGAGTCAGGGGAGACAAAGCAGGGGAAGGCTGGGCCAGGCAGGGCAGGAAACACAGGTGGGGACAGAGGCAGTTTACCCAGCACAGCCAGGGAAGAGGGAAGTGGGAGGAGAGAAAAGCAAATGTGAGGGAAAGGGGAGAGGAATGTCTTACACTTTGTTATGGAAATTACCAGTCTTATACTGAAAAGATAAACTTGAGTAATATGCCCCTGCCCCATCTCTCCACAGCCAGGCTCAAGAACCAGGAAGCCAGGGCCATCTGAGTCCACAGCTATCCCCACCACTCCTCTGCTCCTATATTGTTTTGAAGCATATCACAGACACGATATCCTTCCACCTAGAGGTGTCTCCATATATATGTATGTATGTGTGTATGTATCTATACATATGTATAGATACATACACACATACATACATATATATAATTTTTAACATGAAAAGTCCCTGCATTTATAGATGAACAAGCAGAGGCCTAGAGTCAGACTCTTGCCTGAAGATTCAAGCTAGCAGGTCTAGAACCTGACTACTGGCTCATAACTGGCTGTTCTCACTGGCACCAGTGCATTTTAGCAGTTCTGCAGACACAAGCCACAAGGTCTCAGAGTTCTAGCAATGCCATGTGACTTTGGATGTCACTTACCTTCTGTTAGTTTATATAGATCCCTGTAAAATAGGGATAATATTACTGCAAAAAGTATCCAAGAGAGTAATGGGAAAGCACTTTCCAAATACATAACAAAGTATTTTTAAAAATCTGAGTAAACATTGTGTTTTTATCCTAATTTTGTTGCCAAATAGGCAATTCTTTACTACCCAAGTCCTTTATAAGGATCCTAAGAGATAAGAAACCACCAGCATTGTACGAATGTGCATGATGTATGTGTGTGTGTGTGTGTGTGTGTGCATGTGTGTGTGTGTGTGTGTTCTCCAAACCGAAACCCTTACCTGTTTGGGTCCTGCAGAGATTTCACCAAATGGGCATAGATGTCCTGCTCCTTCTTTAAGACCTCAACCAACTCTTCATAGTCTGAATGCAGCTTTTCCTGGAAATGACAACGGGCAGCTGACATCAGGGGAAGAATCTTAAGTGTGCAGCCTTCTATTATGCAAACATATGTGGCTAGTTCTGGTTTGTTTTTTTTTCAAAGCACAGAAGGTAAGGCCCTGGGCCAGGATCTGGCTCAGGCCGCAGTCACCCAGCACCACCTGCAGGAGGAGTGGGGAATGTCTGCTTGTCCTGCTCTGTCTGCTGTAGTGTGCATCTGGAATATGCCCAAGGTCTCCAGTGTTACAAGCTTGGTGGCCAGGTGGGGCTATTGGGAGGATTCGAACCTTTGAGAAATGGAACCCCCTGGAGGCTCTTTAGTCACAGGGAGGATACACTCAAGCCTCTTCCTCAACTTTCTTCCTGGACATGAGCAGTGTGTTCCACCTTGTATTCCATTTCATCCCTCCGCCCCCCCCCCACCCCCAGCTCCTCCACTAGACACCCAACGCAATGGATCTACCCAACCCGGGTCTAGAATCTCCAAAACTGTAAGCTAACATGAACCTTTTCTCTTTGTAAGCTCAGCATCTCTCTATTTCATTACAGTAATGTGAAGATGACAAATACAATTACCCAGCACCAAGTTGAGAACTGTTTCCAAACCCACAATGGAATAACTCGTCAGCCAACCCAGTTCATCTAACGTGATTGCTACCCCTCAGAGATGCTGGTCACTATTTCTACAATACAACAAAGAGTGCCTTATCATGCTTACTCTTGCTCCAAAGAGAAATTCACACCAGATCATGACAAGTGCTGGAGATAAGTGACTAACAGGAGAGTGGAGGGTCACATAAGTGGTGGTGCTTGGGAGGCATCTGACACAGAGCCACTTACTGAAAGGACAGCCCAGCGTCAGCCGCTTAACAGCTTCCAATAGAAATGTAATCTTGTGAACTAATATTCACAAATGTGATTTTTTGTTTAAAAAGTCCCAATTTTGCCAGCCGTCAGTCATTCATACCTAGCTATTCAGGAGGCTGAGATCTGATGATCATGGTTCAAAGCCAGCCTGGGCAGAAAAGCCCTTGAAACTCTTATCTCCAATAAGCCACCAAAAACCTAGAGTGGAACTGTGACTCAAATGGTGGAATGCTATCCTAAGTTCAAGCCCCAGTACCAGTACACACAAAAAAGTTCAAATTGTGATCCAGTCACTCTGCAGTGTTGGAATGTGGAGTTACGAAGCAGATTTGAGATAAACTATGCACTACAAGGAATAAGGGACATCTGGAGAAAGAGCCTAATTCCAGCATTGGGACAAGGGACATCAAGGACAATAGAAGACATGTCCCCAGCATTCTGTGGTGCCAGAGAGCAAAAAGGTACTTAAAGAGTTGAAGCGTAGCTGCCAGGGGCATGAGGGAGAGAGGAAAGAAGGAACAGAGAGCTGTTGGTCCAAGAGCAACGTTTCAGTTACCCAAAATGAGAAAATTCTAGAGAGTATACAGCTGTACAGGAAATTGCTAACCCAGCAGATCTTAAAGATGCTGACCATCATAAACAACAGTAACAAGATAAGGTAATAAGCATAGCAATTACCTTGACTTCAGTGACAATTTCACAATCTATACATTTACCAAAACACCAAGTTGTGGTGAGGCATACTTGTTATCCCAGCTATGCAGGAGGTACCAGTGGAAGGATTGCAGTCTAGGCCAGCCAGGGCTGAAAACATATGACCCTCTCTGAAAAGCAACTAAAGCAAAAGAAGGTGAGGGTGTAGCTTAAGCTGTGGTACAGTTGTGTAGTGCAAGTAGGAAGCCCTGAGTCCAAAGCCCGTATCACCAAAAAGTAAAACTGCACACTTTAAAAATATTGGCACTGGTGGCTCACATCTGTAATCTCAGGAGGCTGAGATCTAAGCAACACAGTTCAAAGCCAGTCCAGGAAGGAAAGTCTGTGAGACTCTTATCTCTACTAAAACACAAAAAAGCTAGAAGTGGTAGAGCACTGGCCACAGAATAGCACACAGGGAGAACATAGTATCACAAGTCTAATATTCTGGCCAAAGAAGCACAAACTGAATCCAATCACCAAATGGGTATCAAACCCAAAGTGCAAGGTATCCTACAAATGTAACTACCTGGGCACTCCCAAAGGATCATGGTCACAAGAATCATGGAAAGATGGCAGACTGAACTCTGATCCAAGAGCAGAACCTCTGGCTACAAAGGGCATTTCTGAGAGCCAACAGAGTACAAATGAGGCTGAGGATTAGAAGATAGCAATGAGTCTGGGCTCATTTCCTGCTTGCAGTGACAGTATCACCATTTACAGGAAATAAATACACTACGGTATTCAGAGGTCATGGGGCTTCACATGGGCAACTTTCTCTCAGATGACTCAGAAAAAAAAAATTAAATCCTCTATTCTTGTGACTTTTCTACAAATTTGGAATTATTCCAGCATGAGAAAAAAAAGAAATATTAAAATAACTAAAGTTAATGTGTAGAGAAGAGTTCATTCCAGATAGGAGCCAGGCACTGTCCAAATGCTGAAGCGAATCCTCAGTGCACAGAGAAACAGGGGCTGCAAACAAGGCCTTTGTAACTCACATGGACTCACATGTTCTCCTGACGTCACCACACCAGCTAGGACCGGGGGTTTCAAATGACTAACATTTAAGGGCTGCAATAAATTACACTTCAGTTCCACTAAATTCATTCCAGCTGAAATTCACCATTCCCTTCAAATACTAATACCAGTGTTGCTCCTGTGACATTATCATAAAGATACTTATTTTGTGCATGTTCCAGATTCTTCATGCTGGTTATTCTTACCACGACCTCAAAGCGAGTCCTACACTTACCACTACATCTTGTTATTTTAGCACATTGATATAAAGTTTCATACCTATGGTGTATTTTTATATTTTGAGAATTGAATTTCATCCTATTTCCTTCCCTTTATAGCCATATACATGTATCATGTGCATGTAAACATTTTCCAATGGCAGGGTTCCTTAGCTACACGTAGGCTGCCAATGCGATGCAGAGGCAAGCTAAGAGCCTGACGCAGGAGCACACTGCTGTAACTCCAACACAAGGCCAAGGCCCCACTGTGCACTGAGGGCTTCCACTGAACCCCTTACACCTGCTGCTGACAAGCTAGTCACCCAGACTGCAAGAGAAAGCCAGTCCTGTTGGAAGCCACCCCACATGCCCCTGGCACAAGGTACTTCCAGATGCCTCTGTACACAACACTTTCATGCAGGATCCTCTCGGCTCATACCTGTGCACACCTGTGCAGCCACAGCCTCCCAGAAATGCCAAGAATGGAAGAGAGGATGCCAGGATAAAGGAGGCCAAGTCTGAGTCAAGTCGGCTACCATGCCAAGTCCACTACAGGCATCTCCTTACTGAATCCCCATGACAACCCAAGGTGATACCCCACCCCTCTTCCTCTTCTACATATAAGGAATCTAAGCATGGAGAGCAATCATATCCAAGGTCGGGATCATGTTCCAGACCCATGGCCTTAGCCCACCCATCACTCCCCAAAACAATATCAAGCACTGGGGACTTAACAAGGTTAGCATGTTACTGTCAATCACATGCAGAGGAAAGCCAAAGAACACAAGAAGAGCCAATGACAAAACAAGAAAACATACTGGGCATCTAACATGAAGGCAGTGATGGTTACCAAGGTGTGGCTCTGAACAGGTCCTCACTTACAAATGGAATAAATAATTTTAAATACTTCACAGGATTGTTAAGAAGATTATATGAGTCCATCCACACAAAGTTCTCAGAAAGAAGCCTCCAAAGAGTAAACACTTGATAACTACCAGCTGCAACTGGCCTTTTAATGCTCCGAATGCTGTCTCAGACTTTACCAATACTGTCTAATCACAACATTGCAGGGGGCTACACTAAGCTTCCCAATTTCAGATGATAAAACTGATTCTCTTAGAGCAGAGGTCACTTGTTTAAGTTAACTCAGCTCAGAAATGGTAAAGTCAAAGCTTGTAGTGATCTATAACCTCAAAGCTAACCAAGAAGAGCTAGAAAAAAGGACATGAATATGGATTTCTGATGGGATAGAGATTTCGAAAATAAATTGCAGATATACATAACCAATGACAGAGTCTCTACTCAGGCCCCTTGTATCTTAAATGGCCCTCGATAGGCTGGGCTCCCGGCCCTCAGGAGGAAAAAACAGGTCCACATTAGGACCCAATGACCAGTACAGTTACCCTCTCCTCTTCTTCCAAACTACCATCAGGGCCTCAGGCCACCATTCTCTTTGGCTCCACTCCTAATCATTTTCCCCTTTCCTTCCATCTCAGGAATCCTGGGAGATCCCTCCATCCAGGCCCCAAGGCTGACCCCCTCATCCCTCCTTAGAGACTAAGGTTTATCATTCATCATTCCTCACTTCCCACTGACACTGCAGGATGCCTCACAGGATCTACTCAGGCCTCAGCTCACCAGGAAACCCTCCCTGATCAAGAAAGATGCTCTCCTTCAGCCTTTGGAGCACCAGGCTCACCCGTCTGCCCAGAGCTCATATGCCAACCACCTCTGGAAACCTGAGCAGCTTTCGAGAGGTGGCATCTTACACCAGGCACAGTGTGTGGCACAAATCAAGCACTGTCACAATCACTTGCTGAACTAAGGATTGCACAGGTAAGAGGGGATCACAAGGATTGCTAGGAATCTTAAGAGCAGAGATTCCTGTGGATATTTTGCATAATGGAAGTCAGAGTGAGTCAACGTCTTCCTAGAAGCAAATTGCTCACCCATGTTAAATAAATGAACTCTTCGGAGCCATTTGGGTCCCGTTTCATCAATCACCTATTCCCCTGCGTTGAATCATGCCCCATTAGAATGAAGTCATTTGGCTCCCTCAGCAGAGCTGACAGCCCGGGAGAGCTCAGCTAGAGGCAGTGGGCCAGGCTGCAGGGGAGGGAGAGCCCGGCAAGAGCCACCTTCTACCACCATCCCCAACAGAAGCAGCTGAGACAGGAGGCCTCCCCTCCTATCACAAAAACACGTTCCCCACAAGTCTACTGTTGTGTCTGACTCTGTGTTTTCTCCGCAGCCTCTGGAGTGTCCTCCCCAGTCACCATCATTCCTCTGTCCCCGAAACACCGGGGCAAGTCCTAGGAATATACCTCCCCCTTGTGAGCCAGGCCTTAGGCACACATCAAACTAGCACATTTCTCTCCCACGGATTCCACAATTTAGACACCACCAGATATTTGGCAGTCATGGCATCTAGATCATGTCAAACTTAAAGCCCACGACCTCTGCCCTCAAGGTCCGTGGACAGGGCTGCCACAGTTTTTCCCTCTCGAAGAATGGCTGCTCAGCTCCTGGCATCTGTGGGAGCCTCCAGTGTTCCTACTCAAGGTGCTTTCAGGGTTGTTTTGCTCAAACTACTCCATGTTGGTTCCTACAGCTTACAACCCAAAGACTTTCAACTGCTACACTTCTGTTATTTCTAGTCCTTCCAGAAGGAAGACATATAATAGCCCACGGCACAGAGAAGGAAGGTGCATTTCAGAGCGATTTAGTGACCTGCACGAGGTCACAGAGCTGGTAGGCAGGCAAGACAGGTAATCTGCCCCCAAAGCAGGGCACTTTCCATTGTGCCACTGCTTCCTTAATGACTCAAAGGAAACACATGGAGGTGCGGGCCACAGTCTTAAGAGGCAGCAGACGTGCAAAAGAGATAGCTTAATGGATCACTTCTTGCTAATCAGGGCAATTTAGTGGCCTGGTAGATAAATGGTATCTATTTCAGTAGCTATGTCACAACCCTGCAACAAAGACATTTATTTTAATACTCAGAAAATTCAGCAGCAATGTCCCAACCATGTCAATAACTGAGCTATATAAATCTCTGGCTGCAGCCAGTCACATCCAGTCAACTCTCTCTTCTTCAATTCCCTGATCAGCTAGCATTAATTCTCAGGATCACACAATGATTAGAAGTAAAGCAAACTGCCCCGAGTCTAAGGAGACAACATCATAGCCTCAAGCCCTTTGCAGAAATGGGCAGAGGATAAACCCTAAATCAACACAAAATGGCCAAAGGCACAGCAGAAGAAATCCACATTTTTCACAAAGGAAGAACTACAATCTGAAAAGCAAATCTTTCTTGGGGGGGAAAAAAGAATAAAAACAGTTAAGGCTGCAACAGTTGGGATTTCTTACATTGACATGTAAGAATTTATAACTCTGAAGTGAGCATTTATAACTCCTTATCCACAATTTGCAATTAGCCTTGCAGAACGGAATTAAAGCCCTTATAAAACACTTTGGCACCTTGCACAGAAATGTAAACAATGCTGGAATGTGGATGTTAGCAAATGCTAGGCAATGGCTTTATACCTGTGGCTACATGCACTACAGATATGACCTAGCACACACACACACATACATACATACACACACAAAATCCTAAAAACGGTGAAATTAAATTTTAAAATACAATAAGTTTATAAACATTTTGTTCAAAACACTTTTCTTAAAATAATCAAATGTGATTCAAAACAGCAGTTTAACTAACTGAATATATTCAAATTAGCAAAGATGTCTTTCTGAGAAACCTGACAGGCTGCTATCTTATTTCAAAACAGACTGTCTTATTACAGGTTAATGAGCATCTTCACAGCCCAACTAACTGTGGTCAAATCAAATAATTCAATGCAAGTTACTATCACAAAACATTAGCTGTCTGAGACTTCATTATCAGCCTTTCCCAAGGTTGCCTAAGTGAATGACAGAGGCAAGAGGGAAATCTAAGTCCCCCTCTTCTACTGGGCCAACCCAAAGCCCCAATAATCCATGCTGACAGTCTCCAGAGGATCAGTGAAATGCAAAGCACAAATGGTCAGAACTAAAAAGGAGTGCCAACATTCCCCAACAATGCCCCAGGACTAGGTCCAACACTAATCTAAACTTCAGCACAATGTCCAATGCTAATTGCTAAAATATTACAATACTTAAATATCCATTAGAAAATAAACCCTGGCTCATCCACTCCAACCACCCCCAGAGGCCCTGGCCCCTCGGGTACATCTGTTGATCCAGAAACCACAGGAGTGGTACCCAACCCAGAGGCTATGACCTAAGTCAGTTCCAATGGCTAGTACTCATGCTGTGCTGGTTGTTAATTATTTTGAGAATCACCCTTCACAAAACCACAAGTCACAGTCACAGCCATTCATCAGAGAACTAATTTGTGTACGTCCTCTGTCTTCTATACAGATGAACTTAATCAAAGACAGATCTTTAAAAAAAAAATCTGACTTCCATTCATTATTCACTCAACTAACCTTTACAGAGCCAGGCACTAGGCAGAGCACTAGACTCAGGAGAATGCCTGTTTCTCCCCATGCAGGGCCTACCTCAGTGCTGCAGAGGGGCTCAAGCAGAGAGATGAAGAAATGTGAATTGTAATACCCACACAAGGAAGCTTGGGGGCCAGAGGAAGAGGGAGGCTCATAAATAGGTCCAGGGAGGAGCGCCACCTACAGGGATGCGCAGGAGTTAGCGGGTAGACAAGGAAGGTAAAAGCCTTTCAGATTCAGGGATGCAAAGGCACCGAGAATATTCAGGAATCTGCACAAAGTTGAAGATGAAGGAAAGGAGACAGCAAAGGCAACATGGATCTACACAAGGATGGGCCTGCTGTGCCATGTGTTGTGTGTATCTGAGAAGGAATCTCACCACTCAGAATCACAGCTTTCACAATGTGACCCCTGACAACAAATACGAGGCTCCTCTAAAAGGCTGTGATTTCTGTTATGTGTGCATTGCCAATGCTGACATTCAGCTAAAGGCTCCTAGTCTTCAGGAGCCTTACCTGTGGTAAGCCCAGTTATCAGCAAGAAGGAACTTGAGGCTCCCTAGATCAGAGAAGTTATCAAATGCGTTTCAGAAAAGAATATGAATACGTTCGCATGTGAACATCCAATTTCAGCCGAGCTTGCCTGAGAGAAGATGAGTTTGCTGCCTGGTGACTGTTGAGAAGAGCACTTTTCTGTTATTAAGGCTTCGCTCCCAAACTCCAGATCCTCCGTGGTCATTAAATGATGACTCTGCTGTATTGCTTCCAAATCTTTTTCACTGAATTTCTAAGGAAATGAAACAAATCATAAGAAAGTTTTTAATCAAGAAAAAATAAAAAGAGATTCTCCTAAGTTCTCTAAGGAGAGAATTTTTATTTTGTCACAATGCCCATATGTCTGCTAAGTAATTTCCATCATCCCAGAATATGAGGTGATTACGAAGCTGTAATACAACTCCATTTCCATGTTATCACAACTCAAACAGCTGCATGCAGCCAGGTAGGGTGAAGGATAGCAGCAGCCACCAGGAACCTTCCTTACTTGTACAACTGTGCAGCTCTTCAGTGAGTGCAGAGAACAACACCCTGGTCTGACCTAAAGCAACTAGTTACAAGCCGGCGTCCATCTTGATCATGAGGTTACAACCAGGTTCATCTCCTATTCAATCAGCCTCTGGAACTATTAGAGTGCTGGTATACTGAGATCCAACCATCTCGAGTCTCCTCTTGAAGTGTCCACATCCAAGAGGGAATATGACTTCCAGGAAGAGAACTTCAAGGCCACACTGGGGTCTGGCCACCCATGAAAAGCACTTTGGTGATGGCACACAGTAAGTTCACTCCTGACCCTCTGAAGATCTGAGTCCAAAAACACATCTGACAACTGGAAATCAATTGTCTGGTATTTGGCCAAGTTCAAGCACAGGGCTTATTCCAAACCATATAAAGCCTACTAACTCCTGAATTAACGTTCTGTCTACTCTCTGTGGGAATCAAGGGCAGGAACCTCATCTTGCCTCTAGACTCCTAACAGAATTAATTTGCCATGCTAAGCATTTAGAAGAAATTAGGTAAAAAACAAAGAAGAAAAAAGCAAAAGTAACACTTTGAACTATAATAGGAAGAACTGGGACTGAACAACCAACATTGCCTGTCTAGAATTGCCTCAGTTTGGCTGTGCTTGAATAACGCTTTCTAACTTTTTTTCTTATAGTACTAAAGTTGAACTCTAGACTTTACACTGAGCTAGACAGGCACTCCACCTCTAGCCACACCTCTAACCCTGGAACACACACTTGGACCTCAATCTACCTATTTTAGGCTTCCAGTACGTAGTAGTTGGGATATCAGGTGTCACTGCCACATCTAGCTTCCTTTGAGATGGCATCTCACAGAGTTTTTCTTCTCAGGTTGGAATAGTATCTCATCCTCCCACATAGCTTAGAGTAACAGTCACATGCCACCACACCCAGAAATAGGGTAAGAAGGGATCTCAGAAACTTTTCTGCCTGGGTTGGCCTCAAGATGTGCTTTCTCAGCCTCCCAAGCAGCTCTGAGCACAGGCTTAAGACACTGGCATCTAGCTCTACTTTCTAATTTTTTTAATTCAATCCTATACATATAGTTTAACAGCATTATGAGGTTTATCCAGAAAAGAAGAGTTCCTTACCTACCCACTTATCATCTTGAAGTACAATTCCCAGACAAAAATGACTTCTAACTCCTTAAATAGTTGTTATTTTCTCCTATGCTTCTACACTGTAAATCTACATTTCAATTTTATCTAATGGTTGTTACCACAGAAGTTTAAAGATTCAGCTCTTATGTCTTCCTCCTCACAATTATATTGTAATTTTAAATCAATATTTCATACATCATTATAGCCATGCATACTACTCAGCCATCCACTGTTCTATGAGTATTATTTCCATTCATGTTCAAGTCTTTGTTTTCTTGGAATTAGTGACTATTTTATTCTACTTGTTTATTTAGTTCATAAAATTAAATTCTATACTGAATATACATTTTCTCCAAACTTTCTGAAGGAATTTAGAAATCCTTCTCAAAGGAGTCAAACATGTCAGTATTTTGCTAAGTCCACTGTAGTTCTTTGGAGAACCTAGTAACACCTCCCTTAACTGCCCAACAAGGTATAGCTGCTGCCCTAGGGCGCCATTCCCTTCACCACATTCCAGGGGAGTTCCCTATTTACTGGATCTCCAAGTGTCTCCCTCTTCCTAAGATAATTTAAGATTGTAAGCATCTGAAAACACTTTATTCTGTCCTCACTCTAGCTGACAGTTTGGCAAAGGACAGAATGCCAGGCTGGAAATCATTCCTCATCGTCAGAAAGCACTGTCCCCGTCTTCTGGTGTCCAACATGGCTACTGAGAATTCTGGTGTCACTCTGAATCTGGGTCCTTTGTGGGAGGCCTATGTGGTCCTCTCTCTATAAGCCTTTCAAATCCCCATTGGCTGAAATTTCACAAAGATTTGATTTGGCATGTGGGTCTTCTTTCAATTCCTCAAGCTAGAAAGAGGAACCGGTTGTCCTTATCTAGATCATTCTTTTATTATCAGATACTGATAAAAAAAATTTTTTTAAAGTTTTAATCATGTTATGGTGTTAAGATTTTTTTAAGGCAGTTTAATTTTGCATTGTTTCTATATATCTTTCTTTCTGTCTGTTTTGGACTTTGTCTTTCCTCTTAGAAGCTTTCCTCCCACTTGATAAACTCATATCACTGACCTACTTCTCAGGAACTCTTGGCTGTGGCAAGGACTTGTCAGCTGTGGCCTTACAGTGCGGTAGTCCAGTGGGAACACAGCTGTCTGGATGGAGAACCTCCAACTGTTAGCACTTTCCCTCCTTTTCTCCCCTGACGGGAATCTCACTGCTTGGTGCACACTCCTGTTCCCCACCCGCCCCCCATGTTCATTCTAATGATCCACTTCTGTTAGCAGTGGCCTCAGTAACCCCAAGGCCAGAGCTGCTCTGGTTTAAAGTCTCCAGAGATATCCTGTAAATTAGAAAAGGGTCACCTATAATTGCTTAGAACTCCAGAGAAGTCTCCTGTTTTCAAAGGCACCCAGTACATCCAATGCCACTGAGCCTTCCCGGTGTTGTAACCTAAATCGGCTTCTTCTTGGCTTTTAGTCATTGTGTAGCACACAGGCAATCACTGGATCCTGGGCAGGCAGCATGTGTCTATCCACAAGTTTTGTTGCCAACTCACAGCTGCTCCCATTCTCCTAGTTAGTCTCCATGGGTTTATACCTTCTATTTCATTACTGTTATTTTAACAAAGTTTCAGCAGGAAGCAGAGTTAAAACACCTATGTTCAATTTGTCACAGTTACCTCTAGGTTGAGCTGAATCTCAAAAATCCATTACATGACCAAATAAGAAAGGTTTCCCAAGACTGAAAGGAGTAATTAGGGAAGCAGAGAAGAGTGATGGGAAAGAACTCAAATACGGCACAGCAAATCTTTGCTGTGGAAGTACCTCACTCAGTGCTCAGTGGACTGAGCACTAGAGCAGAACAGAGAAGCCTCTGCCACTTATCCTTTGACCCAGGATAAGCTCTTCCCTTTCTCTGAGCTTTTGCCTTCTCCTACCTCCCTGGTGGCTGAGGCCCAAACAATATAAAGAAAGTCCTAAAGTGCTCTGTCTGACACACATCATTAAAGACTATACTCATATATACTGAGAAAGTTTTAAAAAATACGCTAAGCAAAGAAGAATAAAAAGGTATGGTACCCGAAGCATCAAGTCCTTTTGATTGGCGCTTTCTCTCAGACGTTTGATGACTTGCTCTTGACTGTGCAACTTTCTGCTGCTTTCACTCAAAAGACTCTGGTAATGATTCTCCACTGCTTTCTCCCTTTCATTCACTTCATTGCGTAATTTCTCAACTTCATTCCTAAGGTCCTACCAGAAGAAAATAGTAGAACTTGCTTCAAAAAATTTTGACTTTCATGCCTGTTTGACCCCCACAAATTATTGCTATAACAGAACAAGCTAACTGTAAATGCATTTAACAAACATGTACTTCCTTCTCATTTACAGTCTTACAAAAACTTACTTTCAGAAAATATAAAATCTGGGCAAAGCTTTATGCACACATATTTATCACCATGTTATTTACAATGTTGAGAAAAATACAAGCTAAATAGCAATCAAGGAGAAATAATAAAGAAAATATTACAAGGAGTATAACATTTTAAAAAGCACAATTATTAGTAACAATCAGAATGCCAAACTGTATATAATATGACATTGATTGTTTTCTAAATATTTATACAAATGTGATAAAGGCATTGAGGGAACACATTAAAATAATAACTGTACCAAAGGAGAAGGATTGTGGGTATTTCCCAGTTTATTTTCACTTTTTTTTCTGATTTTTGAAAATGTCTTATTTTTTCCTCAATCTCTAAATGCAAGCTGTTATACTTTAATAACCAGAACAAAACCTGCTTTAATACCATTCACAAAGACTTTTTTTCCAATATCATGGGAAATGATCACAATAAAAAGTTAAGGGGGGAAATGGTATACAGTAAGCTGTGACTTCCTTAAAATACATACTATTTATAAGATTTGAACAACCCAAATGCCCACTAACAGAGGAGTAAACTCTGATACACCCTCACTACAGGGCTCTCTTAAGCTATAAAGGAAAAGGAATGAGAATTCACTGTCTACATAAACATTCTCCCCTAAAGGAATCTTCAGCATGTATTTAGAGGAGGTGAGGGGAAGGGAGAACCCAGGAGAAATAAGTACAGATAGCATAATGCCACTTATTTAATCATAAAACAAATTAAATAGTTGCCTATAAGAACAGGAGAGAACAAGAAGGAGGAGACAAAGAGAGGGTAAAACTCACCTTCATATGTGACCATTTAAGTGTTTGCAACATTATCTTAAAAGTAAACTTAAAATCCCCCTAAAAGTGAGAGCATCAAAACAAATCTAACCATATTAAGCTGACTGCGCAAACTGAGGAATAGTAGCAAGAACAGAAAGAGAAAAATCGCTGGAACTGGTGGCTCAATCCTGTAACTCTAGCTTCTCAGGAGGCTGACATTTGAGGATTATAGTTCAAAGCCAGGCTGGGCAGGAAAGTTTGTGAGACTTATCTCCAATAAATTAGTCAGAAAAAGCCAAAGTGGCACTGAGGTTCAAGGGATAGAACACTAGCTTTGAACACAAAGAAGTTCAGGGACAGCCCCCAGGCCTGAGTTCAAGCCCCAAGACCAGCAAGAAAACAAACAAAAGCAAACCATAAGGGACAGAGTCACAGTTACAGAGACAGAAACCATGAGCAGTAAGTAACTCCTATCATAAAATACTGAGATGCAGGATTTATTAGTAGGTTGGGTTTTGTTTTTGTTTTTTGTTTTTATTTTGATTTTTACTAAAGAATAACCCAGCCTCTCTTCCCTAATAGAGAAATTGGTCCAAGAAGTAGAATGTTGGGAAGAAGGGAGACACTCGAGTATATAGCATTAGCTTCTCAGCTAAACAGAGACTACAGGAAAAAGAACTTACTGGAGAATAGAAATAAGTCATCAGCCAGTCGCCAATGGCTCATGCCTATAACCCTAACTACTTAGGAGACTGAGACCTTTAAGGATGGAAGTTCAAAGCCAGGCAAGGAAATCCGTAAGACTCTTATCTCCATTGAACTTCCAAAAAGTTGGAATTGGAGCTACAGTTCAAGTGGTAGAGCACTAGCCTTGAGCCTCAGTCACAGTGCCCAGACCCAGGGTTCAAGTGCAAGGGCCAGCACACACCAAAGTTAAACTGTAATTTTGAATTTGAAATCTCGGTATGCAGTTATATTTTCCTATTTCCTTCCCTCCCTCCTTCTCTTGAGAAGCCTTGAGTCAGGTCCTCCCTAGTACCCATACTGCAATCTTTATCATTTTCTATCATGAGAACAAGTGTTCTTACAGTAGTTCTCCAGGTATAGTCCCTCCAACAGTATAAATAGCATCATCTGCCAACTAAAAATGCAAATTTGGTGCCCCATATCAGGTCCACAACATCAAAGACTCTGAAGCCAGCAATCTGTGTGTTAAGAGGTCTTCCATAGAGTTCTGACACATACTGAAAATCCACTGACAGGAATGCTTGCAGACCTGGAGCAGGAATGTATGAGACATGCCCATGTCTGTTCACACTGGAAATCAAGGAAGCTCCCAAAACCTGAGGAACACAGCATTCAAACAGAATAGGCTTTCTCTCTGTCAAGGGCAGGAAAAAAATGGAATTCTAAGAAGGAAAATAACAATGAATTAAAAGACACCAAAAATCCCAAGTCAGTGATAGAGACACAGTCAGGGGCAGCAGCAGGCTGAGCATGCACAGGCCCTGGGTTCAATCCTCAACACCAAAGGGGGCGGGAGGGTGGGCAGAACTTTGGCTAATAAGAACAACTGCCCCCACTAAAGGCAGCCACATTCTTCTTGAAAATGGCAAAAAAAAAAAAAAAAAGCTAACAGGTGGAATTAAGAGTGCTGATCACTAATCTTAAAATAGAAAAGTTATCCTGAAAAAGTTATCCAATATTAACCACAAAAAAAGGGAAGAGGGAAAGGCTCCACCAACCATTGCTGGCCATCACCAGAAAGAGGTCAGGCATCTAGAAACCAAGCAGCCTATATGAGCTGAAACAGAGAGACAGAGAGGAAAGAGAGAGGGGAGAGAGGCGAGAGAGAGAGAAACAGAGACAGAGACAGAGACAGAGAGACAGAGAGAGAGATAGACACAGAGAGACAGAGAGACAGAGAGAGAAAGAGAGAGAGAGAGAGAGCGCTTCTCCCTGGAGCCTTCTGTAGAAGCACAGCCCTGCCACCACACTGACTTAAGGAGACCTATTTCAGGCCTCTGACTCCCAGAACTGTAGTATTCTAAATTTGTGTTGTTAAGCTGCCAAGTCTGTAGTAACCTGTAGTAGCAGCAATCAAAAGCTAATAGCCTTTGGAGAATGCCAGATAACTTTTTTTTTCTTTCCTGTATGAACTGCACCTTAGGGTAACTCCATGATGAAATACTAGTGCATCTTTACAGAAGTATTCAGCTATAAGATAGTATAATGAAATGAGGTTGTCGCTACTTTGCAAATGATCAACAATGGCCAGTAGTTTCACAAAACCAAGGACTATCAAATACTTGAAAAACCTTAAACATATTAAAAATTAAATGTTAACTTTTGAGTAAAAAAGATGATAAAATTACACTAGACTTTTAAAATTCCAAAACAACTAGACCCAGAATCTATCATGAATTGTACACAGAAATCTGATTCTGGAGAAGAGAAGAAAGAAGGCATGCAATCCTCCCTGGGGCATCGATTCCAGACTCCCCCAGTGAGTACAAGTGCTATGCCATTTAATGGCATAGACTTTGATGGATATATAATCTGCACACATCCTCCATACACTTTAATCGTCTCTGATACTTAATACAATGTACATGTTATATAAGTAGCTGTTATACTATATTGTTTAATACTGACACCATTTTTAAATATTTTCCATCTGTGGTTGGGTAAATCCATGCAAGCTGAACCCAAAGATACAAAGACTAATTGTAATACCTAAGCAATACTAACTGGATTCGAAAACTAAAGAGCTAAGACATGGCATGCCACAGTTCAGTCAAGGCAGCAAGTTCAGCCATGTTCACACGGTAAATGTTCCTTCCCATCCTTGCCCATCTGCAGCCACAAATGTTACATGTTTAACTCTGTCTTGGACCCTCTCCCATTTTTATTTATCCCACTACACTGCAACCTACAAAGAACATACAGCAACTAAATAATGACATAAAAACAAAAAGAAAGTTAAAGAGCATAAATTCCAAATGTTTTCTAAGCATAAAGAGGAGGAGAGTCCACCCACAGAGCGGCTGCAGCCCTTCTGCCATGGTCTGCTTCCTTTCAGCCCAGAGAAAGGCAAGGCAGCTGTATAGTGAACCAGCCCACACAGCAGCCTGCTCAGCAAGATTAAACTCAAGTAGTGTGATTCCTCTGAAAGACAAAATCAAAGTTCAGCAAAATTAAACATCAAGAAGTGGGTACTTGGTGAGGTCAAAGGGAATGAATAAGACAAGTGAAGAGGAGAAGAGGAAGACAATGTAGTGAAGAATCCAATGTATATCCTACAAAATTAAGAATCATAAAGCGGGGCTGGGAAGCTGGCTCAGTGGTAGAGTGTTTGTCTCACATGTATAAGGCCCTGGGTTTGATTCTTCAGCACCACATAAGCAGAAAAAGCCAGAAGTGGCACTGTGGCTCAAGTGGTAGAGCGCTAGTCTTGAGCTCAAGAGCTGAGGGACAGCGCCCAGGCCCAGAGTTCAGCCTTCATGACTGACCAAAGGAAAAAAAAAAGCAGCAGCATAAGGGGTGGATGAGAATGTGGAAAGGGGTGACATTAATCAAGACATATTGTATTCATAAACGGCTTTGTTCAACTCCATTGTACAACTACCTGAAATAATAATTTTTTAAAACTATTTCAACATTTTTTTTTAAAAAGCATGTATTTTAATCACTATTTTCCATGGTCTCCAACCATTTGCTCTTGCACATAACAAATAGCTCTATTCTATCCATAATTTGTTCTTGATTTCTTAATTATTACATGTTTTTTAAATCACTTCCATTTATTTTCTCAGTTAAATCTTCATGAGTGGGATTACCAGGTCAAGGGCAAGTTTTGAGTGTTTGTTGAATAAACTGACCAACTATCTTCCAGAAAGGCATTCTCACCAATACTGATACTTCCTTAAATGTTTCCTAATGTAACTAGTACAAAATGGTTCTTCACAAGTATCTGGACCTTGCATTACCTCTACAGCAAAGTTTCCTTGATGATCATGAATGATAATACTTTCACAAAAAAATGTCATGGGAGGTT